TGTATAAAGAGCAAAATGGAAAAGGCCAACATATAGCACAATTCAATATGTGGCTAAATGAGCGGTGTGAAGGGGAAGGCTTTGGATATATTAGTCATGATGTCAGTAGTTGGTCCCATGAAAAAATGCATCCATCAAAGAAAGGGACTGAATTACTCGGCTATAAATTCACAGATTTTCTGGAGGAATATTTAAACTAAACAGCGGGGACAATGAGTTAATCGATAAAGAGCATGCCTGTCCCCGGCAATCTAAAAACAATAGGGCTATCAGTGCATGTAACATAGATATGTGTGTGGACAAAAATACCAACCATGCTGTCAAGCAAAATCAAGCTTTTAATAACGAGTGCCACACAAAGTGCACTAACCAAATAGGTGGTAAGACAATAGGGGAACTCAGGCACCACTCAGGTTATGTAGAAAGTAAACACAGGGTCGGTCATAAAGGACTCAAATGTCTATACACCGATGCACAGAGTATGTACAGCAAACAAGGTGAACTAGAAATTCAGGTCAATGAGGGTAGATATGATATTGTTGCCATTACAGAAACATGGTGGGATGAAACCCACAAATGGAACATATAGCTAGAGGGATTTAAATTATTTAAAAGAAACAGATCAAATAAAAGAGGAGGTGGAGTTGTTCTCTATATAAGAAATAACTACATCTCCACAGAAATAGAGCACAACAATGACAAAAACTGTCTTGAATGAATTTGGGTCAATATAAAAGGGAGAAAAAATGACATTTCTATAGGTGTATACTATAGGCCACCCAACCAAACAGAGGAAATATGAATGTTTTGCTAGTCATTCCATACAGCATTAACCTTGCGAACTCTCAAGCTTCCTCCTTCCGTTATATATTCCAGATGGACAATATTTAATATTTATTTGCTACGTATATGTAGAGATGTGGGTCTATACATATGTTGTTCATAGTATGTTTAGGTGTGTATCATGTATGTGTTTTACTTTGAGAGTGGGCAACTAAATTTCATTTTGATGTGTGCCATTGTGCCCACAGTATAAAAATGACAATAAAGGTTATCTTATCTTATCTTAGCTCTAATGCAAGCACGGCTTTATAGTATATCCATTTCTAGCTCACAAGATCTTGTCTGCATTAAATTCCTAACCACAGTCTTTGATCTAAATTATTATAGTTAGTTTTTACTGTTTTTATTACTATAGTTAGTTTACAGCCTCTGGTAATTTTCACAGCTGAGCAGCAAAGTGGCTGCATTTGCTGATGATATCTAACAATTCAAGAGGGTAAAATCCAAACTGAATTGTGCAAAAGGCTCTTTCTGGACTGAGTCAAAGGGTTTCAAAGTGCAGATGAAGTTCAGAGTAAGTAAAATGCAAAATCATGCATACTGGCACCAACATCTGTTTTTCATATATCAATGAATGGGATTTGAGCCTATAGTGGCAAGCTGGGGAAGAAATTGTAGAGTCATGGTGAAAATGTTAAAGCATTGGATTTTCACTGGCCAGTCCTAGATACTAGTCTACCAACAGCCATAGAAATTCACTGTGATGGACCAACAGACTCTGAGCCCAACCTATAATACATCATAGAACCAACTGTTATAGGGAAAATCAGAGAAGAGAGTGTTATAAATGCTTTAATGTTCTCCAGAACAACAGGTGAATCATAAATCTAATAAATAAGCCCATGGGCAAAAATCAAACCATTTCATCCAGATCACTAATAAAAATGTTGAACAAGGCCCAGAATAAAGCCTTGTGGCATTCCACTCAATGCTACTAATATAAAGCCCTTTATAAATACTTTCTGAATGTAGTCATTCAGTCACTTATCAATTCATTTAATCATCTATACCAATGATAATTAGAATAGAATAGAATATCTTTATTGTCATTGTGTAACACAGGGCTTTCCAACCTTTTCACCAACTGTACCACTTTTAGGATATGGCAATATTCGAGTACCATCTAGCAAGGTGTCAAAAACTTGATGACCAAAAAAAAAAAAACCCTGTTCAAAGTTGCAATTGCACTGAAATGACTTATGACCATTTTTCACACTTATGACCATTGCAGCATGTCCAGGGTCATGTGATTTATATTTGGATGCTTGGCAACTGATTCATATTTATGATAGTCACAGTGTTCCAGGGTCATGTGATCCCCTTTTGCAAACTTTTGACAAGCAAAGTCAATGGCAGGGCTGCTGGTGGCCAAGTGCTAAGGTGGGACTTCCCTCCCTCCTTCCCTGCCTCCCTCTTTCTCATGCCCACCTCCTTCTGAAGGAAGAATTTGAACCCCCCCATATTTTTTTCTCTTCCATATATTCATCAAACAAGGAAAAGCCTCCAGAGACAGAAAAAACAAGCTGCTGAGTGAACTAGCTTAAAAAGGCACATTCCCCTTTAAGAATTAGCTACTGACTAGAAAGGAAAGTTAAGGAGCGCAGCCGGCACTTAAAGAAGAAAAAAAATGTAAATAAGTACTGGCTGCCGACTAAGGCAGCCTCCCCAAATGGCTCCATTCATAAGTAAAGGAATGCTACAGGCAAAATCCATTCAGGAGAAAAATACTTCAAAATCCCTTGCAGCAAAACTTACAGCTAACAATAGCAGAGCAATAGAAGCTAACATGAGACATGAGCCATCAGCCGTATAGAAATTGCCAACCACTGCTTAAGAACACAAAGCCCTCATTGCACAAATCCCAGAACTTCAAAATCACAAAAGCACATAAGAATCCTTCCACTCTCCATCTCCCTCCCTGTCTTACCTCCAGCTGATGCTATCTTTCTTCATTCCTCGTGGAGGGCAACCCTTTCCCTGCTGCATTTCTTGCCTGTTTGTTGCTGCCAGCACAGGTGGCTGGCCACAGAAATTGAAGATCAGCTCATGGCCGGCCTGCTTGATCTCCTCCTCCTTTCTCATGGGGGAGAGTGAGCCAGAAGTGAGCTTGCAGCTCCAGAGGACTCTCTCACAATAAGTCCTTGCCTGCGCTGGCTCTTTCCCTCCATACACTACACTTGGCTAGGCAGGGCTGCGTACCACCTGCCATTCGTTAATGTGCCACAAGTGCTACTGTACCACCGGTTGAAAAGCCCTCATCCAGCCTATATTTTATCCATTTATTAATGAGTTTATCAATGCAGACTGTGTTGAATGCTTTCCTCAGGTTAACATACACTATATCCATGGCATTCCCCTTATCTATTAAGTTAGTTATCAAAAAGAAATTGTCCAGCTTTGACTGATATGCCAGTTATAGGTCTTTTTGGATCATGATTCCTTGAAAATAGTAATTCATTTCCTTGTCACTTCATAGGTAATCCAATGTAGATGATACATGAAGACAAACTTGGAAGTGTCATGTTCTATTGAATGCAGGACTATCTGCTAATTTAGGACAGCAGATTTAGCAGTATTATCTCTATTGGGTCAGCCTTTCAAGACTGACCAGGTCAAAAAACTAGAAGTCTCTTGACATCTCAGAGTGTACTTTAATGCATTTAAGGTATTAAAATAAAATCTCAAAGGCCAGTCAATGCCCCTCTTTACTTATATATCTAGCAAAACCAAGGCAGAGATTTTTTTCTGAGTTTCTTTCTCACACTTCCTATTTTCTATAAAAGCTCAGCATTCTCTCCCCCTCTTCTCAGAGTCAAATCTACTTTTCCTTACTCTTGCCTGCCATTTGTGTCCAAGAATGGGCAGGCAACAAGTCTGAAATTGAAGGTTTGGGCAAAGCTAGAATATGACTTTTTGTCTCTTGTCTGACAATGGGGAAACTTACATGGCAGGAAACAGGAAGTTTTCTTGGTTATCACTGTCTGACAAATCTGAAGACAGTTCAGGGGATGGGTCTTGCTTTGGTGTTTCAGGAGAAACTGATGGACAAGTTGTAGGGCATGGATGTTCTGCAGAGACAGGGATGTGATGAGGATTTGTCATTGTATTCTCGAGTTAAAAGGCAAGATCCAAAATCTCTCTGATGAGAGAGTAAAAAGGCTTTCAGGGATATTATCACCTTTCAAGGTAGGCAAGGTCAGGAAAAAGGATTTGCTAGGAATTTTCCTACATACGTTAAAGCAATTGAAGTATTGTAACAGAATCCTGAAAGCTGTCAAAAACCCCTCTCTATTTCAGGTTATACTTTCCCAGGACTTTTTTTTTTAATTGTAATTGCTTAGCACTTCCCTCCCCTGAGCCCACATATCATCACAAGTTATTTCCATTGGTTATTGCTTTGTGTCTAGCACAGGGGTTCTCAACCTTGGCAACTTTAAGACTTGTGGACTTCAACTCCCAGAATTCTTCAACCAGCAAAGCTGGCTGAAGAATTCTGGGAGTTGAAGTCCACAAGTCTTAAAGTTGCCAAGGTTGAGAACCCCTGGTCTAGCACCAATTCAATATGCTGGTTGCCCCCATAAAATTTTACCCAAGGAAAGTATATTTGCCACAGATTCAGGCCATCTCATGTAAGCTATGAGAGGTGAGTGGCTGGAGGATCAACAATATATCTTCTCATTGACTGCATCTGCTCTTTGGACCAACCTGCCTACTCTGATAAAGAAGTCCCAACCTTCTGGCCTTCCAAAAAGCCTTGTTATTATATGAGTGCTGAAAGAGCTGCCTTGGATTAATTAGATTAGGTCAACTGCAGCATTGTTTGTATTGGCTCGTTTTATTTTTTTCATTGTAACTCATCTCAAGGTATCAGGAAGTGGGTCAGTGGTAAATAATTGTACGTAAATATGTGTGTGTGTTTGTGTGTGTATGGAGAGAGAGAGAGAGAGAGAGAGAGAGAGACCTATTAAAGAATTTAAAAAAGAAATGATATGTTTTCTTGTAAATAAGCCATTCTTGTATTATTGTTTTTGTATTATTATTTTCAAGTTGTTCACCATAACTCCAGGAACTTTCATCAGACAATATTATCACGCTAGCTATTCACTGAAGTCTTTGATACCTTTTAATTTTTTTCATACTGTTGTTCTCTGTTGCAGATGTTGTTACCTCAACTAAATCAGATGAGAAAGACTCATCTTTCCCCTATGTACCTCCAGAAAGGAACTGGATTCTTTCTTCTGATTATTCTTCCCATCCAGGTACTTTAATCTTTCTTCTTTAAAATATTCCCATCAAACTGAGCAGTTTGCTTTTCTTTTGCCCTACATGCAGTTCGTTTATTTCCAATGAAGAGCTCAGGTGGTATTGGTCTTTTGTTGCAGTTTATGTTTAAACAGCCTTAGTGAACTCTTCAGATTCTTGCCCTCTCTTGTTCTTATCTAGGGAATCTAAGGAATTCAAAAATTTTCAACTACCTCTCATCTACCTTAAGGATTCTAAGAAGACATATAAGTACTATTGCTATAGAGCTTTAAGGCTTAGGGAACAGGTGAATGAAAAATGAGTGAACTGAATAAATAATTTAAGCCAGTGCTGACTTTCAGTGTACTTATGTTTGATAGGGATATAGATTTTTATGTAAGGTTAAATGAGCGTACATTAAATCTAGCCTGAGGATGAGAAGAGATATAATCTGTGTTACAGTTACATAGTTGATGCATTTGTTCATATTTAAACCAAGCCTTCAGAAAAAAATGATATTTATTTCATTCATGAATAAATTGCAGGAATATGGAAAAAATGTGTCAAGCTCAAAACAGACATTTTAAAGCATTCTGAGCTTGAAACAAAACATGTGTATTTTAAGACTTTGTTCAAGATTGAAACAACACTTGGCTGTTTTGAGCAGTCATAGAATATTATCTTGAAATAGTCCATTCAGACCATCAAATCATTCTGATCGCAAAATGGATTATTTTAAATGCTCCTAAGGTTAAACAAAATGTCAGTGTTGAAAGGGTTTTGTTGGAACAAAGTTAGAAGAAAATACTGAGCCATTCTAAGTGTTGTTGCAATGGAACATAGCCAACTTCATGTTTCAAGGAAATATTTGTAGCAGACCTGTTTTGTTCCTACCTTTTTTCTATCATGTACAGCCCTATTAAACTTGTTGGATAAGGTCAGTCTTGTCTGACATCCTCTTTCCAGTTGTAGCAAGGCAAATACTTCTGAAAACCCACAAACATGATTACAAATAGCAATAGCAATAGAATTTAGACTTATATACTGCCCCATAGTGCTTTGCAGCACTCCCTGGGCAGTTTACAACGTAGAAAGATTATTTGCATATTGCCCCCATTTTACCAACCTTGGAAGGATGGAAGGCTGAATCAACCTTGAGCTCCAATCAGGCTTGAACTCCAGACTGTGGGCAGAGTTTGCCTGAAATACTGCACTTTCACCACTGCACCACCAGCAATGATTACCCTCTATTTGTTCTATAGCAATTGGGCATTTTCTCTGAATTTTCAATAGTGTTTTCCAAATTCATTTGACAATATGTTCCATCAATAAATTCCAAAATGTATGAAGAAATATTTGTAAATAAACTTGCAAAAATTGTATAAAAATGTATTTTGTTCTCAACCATTCTTGAGCCTAAGGAGTGATGCATTGGCAGTGTTAATCTTTAGATAAAATTATTCAATAAATATTTTATCCCAATAAAGTCTTATTTATTTTCTGCAGCAACTGTCTCTCGGGAAAGGAAGTTAGTAGTAGTAATATTACTAATCTTGCAATCATTTCTCCTTAATGTATATTTTCTCTGTGCTTTCCATCTGCTCTTCTTGTATTTCTATAAAGAACCTGTTAAATTCAACCATGCAGCTTTAGAAAAAAAATTTCTTACCCCAACTACTTGTTCCTCCAAATTAATTCAGCTGAGTGGAAAACACATCCTATGTAATATAAAACATTTTTTTAAATCAAGAATTAACCATCCCAAACATTTTTATGTTTCTCATATCAAAAACAAAAAAGAAAGAAGAAAGAAAAAATACTATATTACTTGGGGGGGTTCATCCCTCTTAAACTAAAATTTATTTATATCCAAAATCTTTCTATTTCTTTAACCATATTCAAACAGATGTTTAATTTTTAAATATTCCCTCTGATATATCCCATCATCTTTCTTAATTCTCACTTTAGCCTTTTTCTTTTCAAAACCTTTTTCCTAATCAATATATTCCATTTGATCAAAAAGTCTTTCCATAGTCTTGTAGATGTTGTTGTAGATATAAAAGGCAAATCAAGTAAAATGTCTTTGTGGAGAGATTTTTGCCCCTTTCTATTCATTGAAGATCTTTCCTTACTTTCTCTCTTGGTTTCTCTTATCACTTTTTGTCTCTCTGATTCTCGTGGTACTCTTGACAGTTCTGCAATCCATTTTGTCAGATCTTTTTTCTTATCCTCAGATTTATTTTTTAATCCTAGAGCAGTGGTTCTAATCTTTTTAGACCGGCGACCCCGGTCATAAGCAGGCAACGCGCATGTGCGACGCTGCCCCCTGCACGGCACGCATGCGTGGCACCACCCCCTGCGTGGCACGCATGCGCAGCACCGCCCCCTATGCTGCACGCATGCACGATGACGCCCCCATGCACCACCCCCTGCATGGCACACATGCGCAGTGCCGCCCCCTGCGTGGCGCGCTTGCACGGCGGTGCCCCCATGTGCTGCCCCCTGTGTGGTGCACATGTGCGGCACCGCCCCCTGCGCCGGCTGAGAAAAAAATGGCAGATCGCGTTGTTTGGCAACCCCCGTGAAATGGTCGTTCGACCCCAAATGGGGTCGCGACCCACAGGTTGAGAACCGCTGTCCTAGAGTATAAGTCATCTTTTCCATGTCCAATATTTCTTGTAAGCTTTTTCCCACTTGGTCTAGGTCATACTTCCTTGTGTTATTTTCATCTTTAAATCTCTTTCCTCTAATTTATATTCAATTATCTGCTTTATCTCCTCCCTCTCTATTATTGTTTTCTGAGAGTTTTTTTGTTGTGAAGTTAACTTGGAGATGAATTCATTTATATTTTCAAAGTTATTTTTAATTTCCTCATGGTTTAAGATCATTGTTATTTGAATTAGTTGCAACATCACATACATCTCCTCCTGGAAAGTATTTGTTTTTTCTTGATATATTCTTTCTGCAGATCTCTGATTTTCCATGATAGCCAAAAATCAGAGTTTTCCTTTCTCTGCAAACAGCTTTAGAGTCACAGTTAGATACATGTCTGTAATCAAGAAAGGTCAGATGGGTTTTTTTCTAAAGTTTATAGTTCTCGTTTTATATATAGCCCAGAGTGTTTTCTTTTTTTGTCACAGCTTTTTCTATTATTAGAATTTTGAAGGTCACAAAAACAGATTGACTTTTCTTGGGTCTTGCCAGTTCTTGTATTAGAGCAACTGTTGTCGTAATTTTCATCCACCACTAGATGTCAGCACCAGTTCATTTTTCAGTTTTCAAAATAAACAGTTGTCTTCTATTTTCATAATTTAAATTGAAAATCTTAAAAGATTTCACCCATTTCAAACTTATCCAAATTTAAATCTTGTATTCATTTCATTTCAGAATATTTCTATCCCCCATAAAATGTTTAATTCGCCACTTCTGTCTGTAGGAGGGCAAAGTAAAGGTCCATCTCCTCACTTTCAGAGGTTTTTTTCCTTCTTAGGTTTTTTTTTCTTCCAGGAAATTAGTTAATAAATAAAATAGAGAAAATCAATGTTCTTACCCAGCTCTAAAAACATTGTTTACAATCAGTTTAAAATAGTGCTTTTGGGCTTTGGTTGCTTGTAGCTTGGGTAGACTCTGAAATTAGGCTAGCCTTTCTTCTCTTGATTTCTGGAAGGCTTTTCCCAGACTGATTGGGTCAGCCACCGTCTCTCCATGGTCTACAGGACTTCCTTCCTTCTTTGCCACCTCTTTGGGGTGACCTCTGGCCCGTTAAGGGTGCCATAATAGGCAGAAAGTCAGCTGTAGGGTGCGGAGCCCCAGAATCCCTTGGCTACTGCACTACTGTGCAAAACTGGAAGCCGCCTCAATGCAGCTGTTCTGTGTGCCTCAGAAAAAACGCTTTACATGTAGAATCTAGGAATTAGAAATCTTACTAAGTTCTTGCTCTTTGTGTGACAATGAATGTATTGGTTTTCAATGAATAAAACAACTCAAGAAGCTTGGGAAATTTTGAAAAGTGAAATTATAAAAATCCAGTCTAGCACAATACCAACAAAGAATAAAAAATAACAGCTCTCAAAAGAAACTAGCATGGCTGCATAAAGAACTATCTGATAAATTGGCAGATGTGATCTCAGAACCACTGAACTATATCTTTCAAAAATCCTGGAGCATTGGGGAACTACCAGAAAACTGGAAAAGAGTTGATAGAGTTCTCATCTTCAAAAAAGGAAAAAAAAATGGATCCAGGGAACTACAGACCTATCAGCCTGACATCAACACCTGGGAAGATTCTGGAAAAGATAATCAAGCAACGAATCAGCAAACACCTAGAGACAAACAAAGACATTACCAAGAGCCTACATGGGTTTGTCAAAATCAGGTCATGCCAGACAAATCTTATTGCATTCCTTGATCTGGTGACAAAATTAGTGGGTCAGAGGAATGCTGTGGATATAATTTACTTGGACTTCATTAAGGCATTTGATAAAGTAGGTCATAACCTACTACTTGATAAGATAGAAAAATGTGGGTTAAGCAGCATCACCGTCAGATGGATTCGTATGGCTGACCGGTCATACTCAGTGTGTGGTCCTCAACAGAATTGCATCTACATGGAGGGAAGTGTGTAGTGGGGTACCCCAGGGCTTTGTTCTGGCCCAGTGCTCTTCAACATCTTCATCAATGTTTTGAATGAAGGAAGATAGGGAACTTATCATATTTGCAGACAACACCAAGCTGACAGGAATAGCCAACACTCCAGAAGATTAGGCTTAAGATACAGAAGGATCTTGACTTGAACATTGGGCGCTATCTAACAAAATGAAATTCAATGGTGACAAAAGTAAGGTTCTACATTTAGGCAAGAAAAACCAAATGTACAGGTATAGTATAGGGGATACCTTGCTCAATAGTAGTAACAGTGAGAGGTATCTCAGAGTCCTAGTGGACAATCTTGGAAGGCCACACTTGGAATACTGCATCCAGTTTTGGTCACCACGATGTAAAAAAGATGTTGAAAGAATACAGAGAAGAGCAATAAAGATAATTAGGAACTGGAAGCTAAAACTTACAAGGAACGGTTGCTGGAATAGGGTATGTCTAGTTTAATGAAGAGAAGAATGAGGGGGGACATGATAGCAGTATTCCAATATCTCAGGGGCTGCCACAAAGAAGAGGGAGTCAAGCTATTTTCCAAGGCCCTGAAGGCAGGCCAAGAAGCAACGGATGGAAACTAATCAAGGAGAGAAGCAACCTAGGACTAAGGAGAAACTTCCTGACAGTTAGAACAATTAATCAGTGGAACAACCTGCCTCCAGAAGTTATGAATGCTCCAACACTGGAAGTTTTAAAGAAGAGACTGGACAACCATTTTTCTGAAATGTTATATGTTTTCCTGCCTGAGCAGGGAGTTGGACTAGAAGACCTCCAAGGTCCCTTCCAACTCTATTATTATTATTATTATTATTATTAGTAGTAGTAGTAGTAGTAGTAGTAGTAGTAGTAGTAGTAGTAGTAGTAGTAGTAGCAGCAGCAGCAGCAGCAGCAGCAGCAGCCAATCAGCACCACAAACAGTTTAACTTTTTCAAGCTTGCAAAATTTCATTTCCTGCATTTTTAAAATTGACCCTAAAGAGGAATATTGTATCTGGAGAATGCTGAAAGAAATGGAGTGCCGTTATAACTGCCCCATATGACATATTTATCTTTTTCTTTGAGTCAGTGACCAACAACTGAAATACATTCAGGAAAATATGAGTTAGTATCCTCTGTAGCTAGCTCAAGCATGTTGTGATATTCATCCAATCAGTCAGGACTTTTACAATAACAGCAGTGCAATAGTTAATTTTACATGATTTCTGTACTATTATTAAAATGTAGTGGTGAATAATCTGGGACAAAGGATATTCTCTATTTTATGATTGCATATTGCCAGGACAACTTGTGTTGTGTCTGATAAAAAAAAATGTAACTCATTTGTTAAAGTTAGTATCATTGATTATAATAATATCTTGGTGGGTTGGTTGGTTGATTACTTGATTGCCCTAATGATTTTTTTTTTTTTTTGGTCTTTTTTATAATAGAAACTCCATGTAATTTTGGATGGAACTGTTCCTGGATTATGTCTGCTAATAGCTTTGGACAACCTGACTGGCTACTATCTTCAGTTGTTGCTCTCACTTCTCAAGAAGATCAACACAGTATGGACATAATCTCATCCAACAGAGATCTGGAAGGTTATAAATTTGTGCTCCACCTTTATATTTGTTGTTAATTATCTGTCTGCCTAGAGAACTTCCTTTCCCACTTGGATTCATTTCTGTATGGCATCCAACACTGCTGAAGGAAACACTAATGGCTCTCTCCTCCTCTCCACACATATTAGCCTTTAACTGACATAATAGAATGAATATATAAAATATTTTTCAAATGAATATTCCCTGTGCATGCAGCCCACCATGTGTTAAATGTTGCTTATATATAAGAATCATCCAAATGAATAGAGATAAATACTATATATGTTGTAGGGAGCTCTAGTTGCAGAAAATTGGCTCTTTTTTTTTTCTTTACTGGAATCCAACACATTTTCTCTTATGGAAAATAAAAAAACAGAAAATGCTGAAATCAATTCATATGTTAACAGCAGTGGCACACTACATGTTCTCTTCCATTAACTGGAATCAGTTAAGTTCCCATAACATTCAGTTTACTTTCCTTTCTCTTGCAACGAATTATGCTACATGTTTTCACGGATGTCTTTATCCCCAGCGTAAGTCACAACATACATATCAGCTGCTCACATTTCAAATTCTCTCACACAGTTGATAAGGGTGGACAGTGGAGTGCTCACCAAGAAAGATCCTTTGCAATGGCCCTCTTTGTAAAGAGAATACAAAAACACTGCAGTCTGTACAGTTTTCCTTAGACCCATTTCATCAGCCAGGATGGTATCTGTGCCTTGAGCCCAAGAGAAACACAGCCAGTTCAGGCCTTCCAGTTGATAAGGATAAGGGTTCCTCCAGTTACATCTAAGTAATCTGGTTGTCTATCATATTTTACTATGTGTGTTTCTGGTGGTCTCTCTAATTTTCATAATTTCACTTTATTTTTTTTACTGGTCTTCCTTCTTCACCTCTCATCAGATCCCTGTCGTTCTAGTATGCCTGTTTGTAGATATTATAATCCTATATCTTTGCCTCTTCATTTTCCCAAGAAGCTTGGTCATATGGTAGATCTTTCCATTTAATGGGATAATGAACATTGCTCTTCTTATCCACACTATGATTGAGAATTCGATGGATCATCATCCATTCTGGTTTAATCCCATAACAATAAAACCGTTCTTCCATCTCTGCAAACTTGGGATCCTTGTCCTTCCATTTGTGACTCTTCTCTTCTTCTCTCCCAAAGTCTCCTGAAGATGGCTCATCCATATTATTTTTACATTGATAAAAATTGGCAATGCGGTTCATGAGTAGTTCATTACCAACTCTCCTGCCACTTGACAAAGAATTGTCTCTCAGGTCTTCACTCCAGAGGCTTAGGAGAAGGTGCATTTGGGTCTGCATCAGCAGGCCGTGGCACTGGAGTTGGTAATGGAGGCTGTCCCCATTTCCATGTCAAGATTTTCTGCACTTTGCCTTTCAGATGTGGGCAAGTACAGCATGGACAAAGCCATTCTCTGTTGGGGATTTCTGGCAAAGAGGGATTCAAACAGTGTATGTGATAAGATGAAGGGCAGGCATCACAGCAGAGAAGTTCTCCACCATCTTTGCAGACACGACAGAACTTCATGTGGTGATCATCTTCTTCCTCTGTATCCCTCAAAACATCCTCCTTAGTTTCCTCACCCTCAGAGTTATCTTCTTTGGCCTCCCACTGGATATCTTCTCTTTCACAATGGGGGCAGCTCCACTTACCCTCTGGTGCTTTCTCCATATTTGGATCCAGACAAATCATGTGATAAGCACAAGTATCACATAGGATGATCTCTACCCACTGCTGGCACACCTCACAGTAGTCCTGATGATCTGTCTCATAGCCATCCACTGTTGCAATTGAAACATCTTCTCCTTTCTTTTTCCTCTTTCCTGCTTTTAATTTTTTTATAGCTGCAGCTGCTGCGACTGGTAGAGTCATCTGACACAGAATAGCTATTAATATTTGCATCATCAAAGTCTAATTCAACATCCAAGTCATCCTCCTCGCTAGATGATTTTTTATGCTTGGAGCCAAATTCTCCGAGTTTGATTTTTAAAGGTGCCACTTTCTTGATTTCGGGTTTTTTGATGTCAGGGACACAAGGACTAGCCTTGGGTTTTTTTCCACATGTTAGGGCCTAACTCTAACCCTATCTCTTCTTTGGTCTTGGCCTTTCGAAGTGGCACTTCAACAGGGGGCTGAAGAAGAACAGCATCCACATTAGTTACCATGCTCTCCATCTCAGCTACAGCAGTGGCAGCAGGCACTCCTACTGATGCTCTGGAACTCCCTTTGAATGTATTATTTGTGCTGAATTTTCTCCATTTGGCCCCCAGAACCATCATCATTCTTTGCAGCAATAAGCGGCTTGTCAAACTGGCTGAAAGCTTTGTAATTTGTTAGGGTGCAATAATCTTCTTCTTTGAAAACGTGATCAATATCTTCCATGTCCCAGTCTTCTAAAAACTGGGCAAAGGACTTGGGGCCCTTGGAATCACCATCTTCATCTTCTTCCTCTTCCTTCTCCTTACACTTGGTTTTTTTCCTCTTCTCCTTCTTAGGCCAAATTTTTTTCTTTTTCTTTTTGCCAGGAGTATAGTCACTTCCTTCACTATCTCCAAGCTCTTTTTTCTGACGCTTAGTGAGCTTGGATATCTTAGGTTCTTTCAGCTTCTTAGGCTTCTTTTTTTGTCTTGATTTTTGGCAATTCTGCCACAGTTAATAGTTCTTCTTCTGGTTCTTCTTCAGGCTCTTGATGTTGAGGAATACTGTTGTTCAACAGGATCTCCATCTCCTCCTCATCACTGCCAGCAGAGCAGGGCGATGGGGATCCTGTGCCTGATGCCATGTCCTCTGATTAAGAGAGCTTCTGAGATTCAAGCAGCTTGTGCTATCTTGGCACTTTTGTATTAATAATGGTAGTAATGTGCCGACTCCTGGTGCCCCAGCTCCTTATTTCTCGACACCGCCAAAGGGCCATACACATTGAAGTATGTGAAATATTAACTTAGTATATCATCCATTATTCCTGCTTGCTCCTAACCCTTCACAGAAATGCCACAACTCAGTGGCTGAGCATAAGCATTAAATATTATTGGGCACCAGTTAGGACTAGAAGTACTACTGTTTGAAAGTCTAGGGAGCTGTTGTCAATCAAACTAGACTACTCTTCCTTGACCTGATAATCTGTAGAACCACTACTCTCCTCCATTTGATGTCCACCAGGCCCCCATTGCAGGTCAATTACTCCTGGTTAGGAAATGATAGGTTATATTACTATTGAACCTGATGAACTAAAGTTCATCTAACCTCAGTATTTATAGTTGGCCAGAGACCCCTTCTAGGATTTTTTTCTGTGAAATACAAAAAACACCTATGATTTGTGGGTTTGATGATTAGAAAAAAACCCTGTATAATAGAAAAAGTAAGCTTTTTTTGTAATCAAAAATTAAGATATAATTTTGTAACTGTACTTATATTTGCTGCAAAGGATATCAGAAGCATCTTTCTATTTTTTTTTATTCTTTCTTTCTGCACTGTTTGTTTCTTGCTTGCTTCTATGCTAGTTTGTATTAGTTTTTTCATGCTTTGTAAAACTTTTAATAAAAATTTATAACAAAAGAAAAGAAGCAGATTAACGATCTCAGTATAAAGCAGTCTCCTTTGTTTCCCTGCAGAGGGTTGGGAACTGAAAAAAGACACTCTTATGGTGTGTGTTTTCATGCAGCCAGAGGCTATGTGAAGAGTAGCTTCCTAGAAAACACTTATTTATTCATTTACTTTGCAGAAAATCAAAGGAGAAAAGGAAGATTAATGTTGCTGTGTTGCTGAAATGAGATTGGGAATAATTTTACTCCATATTCCCTGAAATTCAGTGTGGGGTTTGTCTTGAATTGATAGTTCCTATTCATGCCTTAGTCACTTCACAGTTGGATGTGTAATGTATTCAACATGAGGCTGCCTTTGAAGATTATTTAGAAGTTATAGCTGGTCCCAAAGGCAGCACTGCAGGCAATGCTGGGTATATTTTGATATACCCAAGTGAACCTATTTCTTTATGAGCTACACTGGGCTTCCAAATGCAATTCAAGGTGCTGATAATCACCTATAAAACTCTTCCTGGCATAAAACCAGGTTATCTGAGGAGCCATTTATTTGCCATGATACTCATTCATCAGAGTTTGTGCATTTTTGGTCCTTTCAGTTAATCAATGCTACCTATTTAAACCCAGAAACTCTGCCTTTTCTATTGCGGTAAAAGATCCACATATCTCCCACCTAAATAAATGATGTTTCACAAATCTTTTAAAATTTAGCTCTTCTTCCAGGCCTTTTTTTTTTTTTTAGAGAGGTTGTGGAATCTCTTCTGGTTATATTTTTTTGATATATGAAATGTGAACTGTCATCTTTTTTTTTCTTATTGCTTTCCATCTTTTTTTTTTTAAGTGTAAGTTGACCAGAGCAATTCTGGAGAGATAAAGCCTCTAAATTTATTCATTCATTCAGTCAGTCAGTCAGTCAGTTAGTCAAAGTCTTTTGCAGACATACTTTTTGGGCGGGGAGGGGGGGGGAATAGTAGTGTATGTATATATAACTTTTGTCCTAGTTTCATTTGTTACCATGAAGTCAATCAAAGTTAAATGATTTCCCTCCACTCTCTTCTATAAAAGGGGCAGTCAGTTGTTTGTGGGGACAACCATTCCTTTCTGATCCCACCATGTCAGTATTTTGTCAAGGCCAGAAAAAGCTCCTCCAGGCAGTCACAAAATCTCTCTTTGTTTCAGGAAACAGATAATCATTATCCAACTAGATAAAATTTTGTTTCTGCAACAATTACTCCCATGTTCATATACTGTAACTTTCTATTTCATTTACATATGTTGTCCCAAGGACTTACATAGAAATGAGATTTAATAAATATATCTCCTGATTTTTTTGCTTCATTTCAGTCACAGAGCAGAATGCTTGAAAAACTTGTTTTCTCAATTTAGGGAAGTTCACAACAATTAAGCTAGAAATCCTAGGGTCACAAACATGGAGAAAAGTCTCATTGATAAGAGCTATTTTTGAATGAGTATGGATAAAATCAGATTGTATCTTTGAGAACATTTGCCACAGACCATGTAGGTGTTTATAGAAAGGTCGATATATGATATAATTCTATTTTCCTCATTTATTTCCAGCTTTTTTATTCTTCTCTTAAATAATTTAATTCATATTTTTTATTGAGGCTATTTTCTCAATCTGTCATTATTTCTCTATACATTTATCATTTCTCTTATTGTTTTTCTTTGCTCTTAATGTATTTCTCCCCAATCTTTTGCTGTAGGGAATATTCTTCTCCTGAACCCAAGCAGGTTCTTGGATAGATGCACATTCAGCCTCCACAGTCCAATCCTGCCATGGAGCTCCAGCTCATGTTTGTTGGAGCTGGCAGTATATTCACAGGGCCTCAGTCTTGCAGGACTCTCTGCTGAAGTGCACTATATGGATACAAACCAAAGTAAAGTGGTTCATCTGCAAGAAGGACATGAGGAGGATGCCTGGTGAGTTTCGTTCCTGATCAAACACTTGGAATTTTTCCCAAGGGGAGTTAAGCACCAAACATGCACTCTGAAACACAAATAATTTGAAGAAAACTGATGAGACACAGCAGGCTGATTATCTTGAAAGCCCTTTATTCTATCATCTAATGTTAAGAACTAGGGCAGGGGTAGGCAACCTTGGCTCTTTTATGACACGCGGACTTCAACTCTCAGAATTCCTCAGCCAGCTATGCTAGTTCAGGAATTCTGGGAGTTGAAGTCCACGAGTCATAAAAGAGCCAAGGTTGCCTACCCCTGAACTAGGGCATTGAGAGGATTAGTTTTTTTTAAAAAAAAATATCCGAATGGAGGGTCCCAGCTGCACCAAAATTAAGAAATCTTCCCAAATCTAGGACAAACACTTGAGTTTGCAACTCCAAACCTTGCTCTTTTGCTAAGCATCCAAATCCTTTGCTAAGGAATTTAGTGAAAGATTTGGTTTTCTCTTGCATTTTCCCTAGCATTTTTGCTAGAGAATTTCTAGAAGCTTGGCACTCTGCCAAATCAGTCATCAATAGCTACATAGATGTAAACAATATCTACATAGTATGCAGAAGAGACAATCAACTAGCCCAAAAGGGAACAAAAAGACCCAAACACCTCTCCACCAGCAATCAGCACCCAGATGAACATAGATGAACTCCGAGATTAACATCAGCCCAACAATCAAATAAGCAATACCCCAATCAGGGAACTGCCAAACAAGCCAACAGTAAACAGCTAAACCAAAAAGCCTCTAAGATCACCCCCAGCAATACTGCCGGGGGAAGCCACTAGAATATAAACTGAGAGTAAACCCTACTCCTGACTACCACTCCTGACTAGCAAACCCTATTCCTGACTAGTTTGAGTAATGAAACATTTACAAGAAAACCACTAAGATCAGAAAGCAGCAAGGACCCCTCATTTCAACCCTGAGCTACAAATACTCTTTTTTATTTTTTTCCCAGAATTCTCTGAAATGTTATTAGTATTGAAATAATGTCTAATTACTTAAGTTTTTATCTGATGTATGCTGTAAGTTGTGTGACTATATGTCACAAAAGCCAGGCATCTTGAGAAGCAACTAAATAATTTGGTTCTGGTGTAATTTATTGTTTTGCATTCTTGAGACAGTTCTAGTAATTATTCTCTTCAATTCATGTGTAGGAAGCTCTTTCATTATAAGAAAAACTCACTAATCCTAGGATGGATTACCTTTCTTTTTTCTTTGTTTTTTCTTTTTTATTGAGGGTTGTTTTCCCACAGAGGTAAACTGTTTAAGAACCCTTAGAGAAGAAATGGCAAATTGAGGATGAGTGTGCTAGGCACAGCCAATAATTGTGGTGGAATGAAGAACTGTCAAATAGACCAGCTCTCAAGAAAGGAGTGGACTTGAGAGCATCCACAAGTGTTCCAGATAGCTTGGGCTAAAGTTTTTTTTTGGGGGGGGGAGGGAAGAATAAGAGCAAAGTTGTGATTAGAACTTTGATTTTGGAAAGTTAAGGGTCCAGATAGATCTGAAATAAAATTTTTGAATTGATTATAAGAATCTTTCCCATAGGAAACCATGATAGGATGAGACTTTGAGGGTTAGTCTCTAAAGGGAATTAGGAGCCAAAGATTATAATTAAAGGAGAAGACCACTTAAATTTGACTTACTAATATGGAATGAAGCAAAATGTTAACATTGAACATATTCAGTTATATTTTTGAATACAGTGGACCCAGATGTTAAATTTATGAGTGGCTGCTTTATAGAGAGACTGTTTAAAAGATACTATGGAAGAGGAATGAGTTTTATTGGACAAGATTGAGATTAATCTGAAAGTGGATTTAATAATTACCAACTACAAGAGTAATATAGAAACATGATACATTGACACATAAAAGACCCCAGCTGACATTTTAATAAGTGAAAGGGATATTTATTTTATTTATCTTTCACATTTCTGAACTGTCCATCTCCCTTAATATTGTATACAAATAACCAACCAAGAAACTGACCTAGAGAAAAGAATGAAACAATCAATATCTTCAAAAGAATAAAATTGACTTGAGAAGAAAAAAAACAACAACATACTAACACCCCTCATCAGCAGAGGAAATGGCAGCAAAGTAGAAACACATCTATTGTAAAACCACGCACATTAACCAAGTGCTTCACTACTAAAGCCACTTACTAAAACCACAGAGCAAACCCCACTCACTTCCAGCACTGAAGATGTTGCCTAGTTAGGTAATGAAACATCTGCAGGAAAACAACTAAGCTCAGAGAGCACCAAGGGCTCCACAGTTCAACCTTGAGCTACAAATACTCTCCTCTTTTGTAATACGCATGAATCTTTTTGAAGTTAGAAACATGATCAAAGGGGTGAGTGGAAGTCAACCTTTTTGCGCTATCTTGCATTCTCATGATGCATCACAAAATGTGCTGATTTTCCCCCTTAAAAATGAAATAGATGCAAGTTTATCTAAACAGGCCTCTCTTCAGAGCCCCACAATAAATATGCTGTTTCAGACCCTTCATGTCTTCCTCAGGAAGAGGCGTTCTCAGCAGAAAACTCTCAGACACAACTCAGATAAGATTCTTTATTGTAGGCAAGAATGGAGCAAACAGATTATCATTCATCTGCCCTGTAAGAAGTGATTTTTATAAGTCTTGTTTTAGTGTTTAAACTGTAGTCTTTTTCCTCCCAAGTGACTGATTATGGGATACTTGGCATTTGACTTGGTGGCCATGTGGAACTCAGACATAATGGGTACATTATGATTCTCTCTAACTTGGAAACCACGGATTACCATACCTAATCAGCACAAACCCTTCCTTCCTTCCTTCCTTCCTTCCTTCCTTCCTCCCTCCCTCCCTTCCTTCCTTTCTTCCTTCATTGCCAGAGATGTGTTGACCTCTGCTTTATGTTTGTACCTATATATGAGCATGGAGCATTGTTAGCTAATTTAACAAGTTGCATCCTTTTAACATAAAATCAACATTAAAAGTATTGCCATGCTGAGTTTATCTGAATTACTGCTGCAACAATCCATCTTTCACTGTGTACACCCAAGGCTTCATTCTGAATTCCATTAAATAAATTAAATTGGCTCAAAAAGCTTCTTTCCTGGCTCAAGCAACAAAGGGTGCTTACTGATACCTCTGGAAAGGAACTGCTTCTTTCATAACTTGCACTTTGAGAATCTACTATAAAAGCGAATGGCTCCAGAGTTCACTGATACCTCCCACAAGAATCTTACTAAAATTCAAAGGAACTTTACAATTTAATTTTGAAAGTTCTAGTAATTTTTTTTTAAAGCAATTGTGGCTGCTTCTAGAACTTACAAGATATAGCCTTGTTTTTAAATAGTTTTTAAAATGGATTATTACTCCATTGTGCTTTTGATGCTATTTATAATGTGTGGTGTTTTTTATTATTTTTCTTGTATTGCTCTTAAATGTAAGTACATATTTTAAGAAATTGTGATTATATATCATGTGTACAGTACTGGTATGAAAACTAGATAGTCTACTATAATGCACACAATAATCTGGAATACTCAATTCGTGGCTTTTGTTGCTGTGACACTGCAGTGCTAGTGACATAATTATGACTCAGAGTTGGACAACTGAACAACATGCAGGAAACATCCATAAGTACTGTTGTTTAAGAACTAAAAGATCTAATGTAATTATGTAAGTTGTGTAAAGGGCAAAAACTGAACATCAAAAATATACCATGAGTTACTATATATTGGTATTGTTATTTCTGGTAGATATGTTATATGAAGTTGTTGCAATTAGTGAATACTGAACAATTGCTCCTAGAGGAAGTACACATAAAGGTTCATGCAAACCTCAGGTCACATTTTCATCAACAGATCAATACATAATCTAGTTTTATGTGTGTTTCTGTTTAAAGACACCTTTTGGCCTTGACTTGCCCCGTGAAATTCAAGGGAGTGATTGGTGGAACTTTTTTTTTTAAGAAGCATCAACAAGGATGACATATCAACATCAGGCGGTTCTACTTCATGACTTTAGCTTTCATAATTTGTTGATGGTGTTGGCAATTTTCCCTCCTGAACTGGCTTGAAAACATGTGTCAGACTTGTTTACCTGGCTTTTTGCCTCAGATCTTTAAGAATTTTGTTGTAAGAGGTGAATGCTGTGGAGATTAGGCAAATTTCTCCCATCTGTATATTTTATGTAGGCAAAAGTCCACCAAAGAATGACTATTCTTTCAACATTAATGTCTATAAACAGGGAGAAAATCCCGCACTCTCCAGCACTGATGATGTTACCTAGCTGGATAATTAAATATCTGTAAACAAACAGGGAGCCTCAAAGATTCCATTTTAAAAGTGTCTTTTGTAAATCCAATATAGAAAAGTTATCCAGGTCACTCTTGATTTCTTATTTGTATATCCCTTTTAATTATGAAAACATCATTTCATTTCTCTAGTGTAGCATTTTTTTCCACATCAATCTTTTAGCCTGTCATTTTCAAACCCATTTTCAAATCACTCTCACTCTTGTCTGGTAAAACTTGTTCCTTTTCTATAATATCTTTTAAACACATCTACAGAGGCAGATATTCTTAAAATTAACTTCTGGCTCCATTGTTCAAAAATATCCTTCAATATGTTCAGTGTTAAGATATTTTGTTCCGTTCTGTATTAGAAAGTCACATGTAAGTGTTCTTCTTTAATAGTCATTTTTAGTTCCTACTGATTTCCTCTCGTGTCCAAATGTTTGTGGAGATTCTCCATCATCCAGGTCATAGTTGTCTCAAAGGTGCTTTTTCAAAAGGCAATTGGACTTGTTTTTTCCTCGAAGAAGACAACAACGTTTTGCTTCTCATCCAAGAAGTTTCATCAGTTGTGACTGGATGGTGGGGGGATGGAAGGATATGTTCTGAAAGGATGGTGAGAGAGGGAGGGAAGAATTATATTTCTTTGCAGTCATCTGGTAGCATTCTCTCTGAGAGTTATACTACATACCTGACCTCTGATGGGGTCTCCCATCTCAGGATTGATTGCTGAGGCGGTGTTGCAAAAGCTAGAACTCACAGCAATGAAGGATTACAAGCCCAAATTTTGGACCAGGTATGTAGATGACACATTTGTAGTCATCAAGCGCCATGACAAAGCTCCCTTCATGGAAAAAGCTGAATGCCATCTACCCTGACATCCAATTCACTGCTGAAGAAGAGGTGAATAACACCTTACTCTTCTTGGACATACTAATACGTCACGAGCATAATGGTGTACCGCAAAGCCACCCATACTGACAGAATAGTCCATAGTGACAACAATTATCCTACTGCCCATAAAATTAGCTGCATTCACACCCTGTTTAATAGAGTAAACACACACTGCAGCATGGCAAGTGAAAAAGCCAAGGAATATGCACACCTCTTTCAGGTATGCATACAGAACGACTTCGTCCAACATCATCACCAGCAACAGGCACCATTTGCTGCAGATGACAGACTTCCAATCACTACTACTTGGACCACACTCTCCTATATCCATGGAGTGTCAGAGAATATTATCTGAGCATAACAGAATGGTGCATAGACCTATTCAGACTCTTCAAACACGGGTAATGTGCCCCAAAGAACCCTTGCCCATGAGTAAGATGTCATCAGTGGTATATCAAATTAATTGTAATAATTACGCTTACAATTATGTAGGTGAGACCACAAAGCGTCTTCGGATGAGACTGCATAAACATCAGTTGGCCATCAAATGCCATGAGCAGCAGTCCCAAGTGTGGGCTCACACTGCAGAACACAACCACATGTTTAACTTCACTGACGCCAGGGTCATTGCTCATGATGCAACAAAGGGCGCCCGTCTGCTAAAAGAGGCATGGCTATCCAACAAGCATTCCATCAACCGGCATATTGAACTGTTACCAGCTTATCAGATATTACGCTGGCAGATATCTTTAAATAAGAAACTGCAAAGATGAAACAGCCACAGATCCTCACTGATACAAACAGGTCAACAGAGGATCATACCCCTTCTTCAATGGACTTAGGGCACAGCAAATGATCGAGAGGGGGCAGACGGTGTGATGAGTGACAGCAAAAGACTTGGAACCAACATGGACAGGGATAATGACAGCAAGAAAGAACAACCAGCTGAAATGGCAGCATTGCATATGCAAATGCCAGAAAAGCAGCGAGATGACTGTGCGTGGTAGAACACACACTGCACATGGGCAGGGCACGAGGAGAGGAGCAGGGTGCCTAAATTCAAATAGGTGTCAACAAGCATGATGGAAACAACAGAGCAATTAACTACGGGGGGCGGGAGCTGAATAGACTGATAACACGCTCATTAGCCAAATGCTTGGCGTTATAGAGACTATAAGAACGTGAGTCTCAATCCTGGCTAGAACTCTCACGATGTCAGCAGACGCTGACGAAAGCTAAGTTTTTAAATAAATTCTTCAGTCTCGGTGATCTGTGTTTTAGTTTTTGAATATATATATATATAGGTCTTTGGTTGTTCGGGTTTTCTCCCGCGTAAAATTGGAAGTGTCTTGGCGACGTTTCGATGAAGTCCCATTCGTCATCTTCAGGCTGGTGTTTTCAGCTTCGTGCTTCGAGCAGCAATTTGTGGTCTTAGCTGTTTCTTCCTTTTAACTGTCAGTGGGGTATGAACTGATTGGGTGGGAGCTTGGCTGTGTTCTGACTGGGTGGAGGTGTGTTCTGATTGGTTAGGGGCTTGGCTGTGCTCTGATTGGCTGGGGGGTTGGCTGTGCTCTGATTGGCTGGGGGGTTGGCTGTGCTCTGATTGGCTGGGGGAGTGTTCTGTTTGGTTGTGCTCAGGTTAGTCTGAGTTGCAGAGGGGTTTAAGATTTTGGGCTGCCTTGCTATTTTTTGGCTTCGCGTTCGTGGTCGTGCCTGCTCTTCATAGAGGGTGTCAGTTTGCTTCATGTATGGATTGGAGGGGTTTAAAGTGGCTAATGATGCAGCTGTGGTCTGGCTTCTGGTTTGTGGTCGTGCCTCATCATCGGTGTGGCTTTGAGTTTGTTTTTTGCATGGATGTGTGGTGGTGACATCCTGTGTGGTTTTTGTGAGTGTGGGTCTGGTATCATTTTTTGTGTTAGGGAGTCGTTTGTCAATAAGGGCGGGTTTCCAAATGGCTGGTAGGCGGGAGGTATCATCTCGTTTGTTCATGCTGTGTGGGTATTTTTCTATCTCGATGGCTTCTCTGATTATTCTGTTATTAAAATGTTCACTTTTGGCAATGGTTCTGGTATTTTGAAAGTCAATTTCATGTCCTGTGGCTTTAAGGTGTTGGACCAGGGAAGATGTTGGTTCCTCTTTTTTGACTGAGTTCTTATGTTCTTCAATGCGTGCACTTATTCTTCTGTTGGTTTGTCCGATGTATGTGGTGGGACAAGTGGTGCATGGGATGTGCACATTGCTCCTCGAAGCACGAAGCTGAAAACACCAGCCTGAAGATGACGAATGGGACTTCGTCGAAACGTCGCCAAGATACTTCCAATTTTACGCGGGAGAAAACCCAAACAACCAAAGACCTACATACAAACACCCGCGAAAACCTCAGAATATTATATATATATATATATATATATATATATATATATATATATATATATATATATATATATATTTAATGATGCAATCTTCGATCTCTGGGAAGAGTATACTCCAGTTATTTATTGTTAAAACCACATTTAAAACAATAAAAACAGTTATATACAAAAATTAAAACAACTTAGCTTTCGCTGGTCCTCTGCCAGCATCCTCAGAGTGGGGCTTAGGGGGTGGGAAGTTCTTTTTATCCCCTTCCCACCCCCTAAGCCCCACTCTGAGGGCGCTGGCAGAGGACCAGCGAAAGCTAAGTTGTTTTAATTTTTGTATATAACTGTTTTTATTGTTTTAAATGTGGTTTTAACAATAAATAACTGGAGTATACTCTTCCCGGAGATCGAAGATTGCATCATTGAACAAATATGCCCGGGATTTGTATTTTTATAACCATTAAGGACATATATATATATATATATATATATATATATATATATATATATATATATATTTTCTGAGGTTTTCGCGGGTGTTTGTATGTAGGTCTTTGGTTGTTCGGGTTTTCTCCCGCGTAAAATTGGAAGTGTCTTGGCGACGTTTCGACGAAGTCCCATTCGTCATCTTCAGGCTGGTGTTTTCAGCTTCGTGCAAAGCACAAGCAGTAAAAGCAAGAAAAGAGGAGTCATCAGTATAGAAGCCATAATTAAAAAGCAGTTAAATCAATTAGGACCTACGACAAGATCTAGGAGCCGTGTGCAAATGACGGCTCACCTATAAAGGCACTCTCCCACAGACCAGCATTAACCCTGACGATGTCAGAAGTATCTGACGAAAGCTTGGTGATCGGTGATGGTATTAAACTTTTATAGTTTATTATATTCCTGGTGTTCACGTTTTATTGGTAATTGACTATATATATATATATATATATATATAGATATATAGATAGATAGATAGATAGATAGATAGATAGATAGATAGATAGATAGATAGATAGATAGATATTTGTTTTCTGCAAAATATTATTACTAACATCTAAACCTTTACTATATAATTGACCAAAACTGCACAGTTCTAAAAAATATAACTTGAGATAAGATATATGAAATCCTTTGGATACATTGATACTCTTTATAGATAAACACATTTATTAACCATGTCAACTGCTTTGAAATCCTTTGGATACATTTGTGTTCTTTATAGATAAAGACATTTATTAACCATGTCAACTGCTTTGATTTTCAGGGTGAAATGGAAAATTCTAATAGGCCCAATTGGACAAATGGAAAGGCCTTTTGAGATCACTTTGCTGTATTCAAGTTGTGAGGAGAAGAATTCTGGGGTTTTGGCACTGGGCTCATTGCAACTTCAAAATTGCCTTCATGGTATGTAGGAATTCACATTTGAAAAAATTGTGATCATTGGATAAGATAAACTGACTGTTTCTGGCCTAAGATTCAGCAATAGGCTGTGAAGTAAATAATTTTAAAGTCTATTATTATAAATTTTAATTTTACTATTTTATATCTTAACTACAGTAAGCAAACTGTGGCCTTCAAGCCACACATGGCCCCATAACCCCTATTTTGAGGTGTCCAGAAGCTCTCCCAGGATTATGCTGAAAATTCCCACCAGTTTCCAATGGAAAATTAAACAAAGTGTGCTATGCTTTAGGTTTGGAAACATGGAAGGAAGGATTGTCCCCTAAATCTGAAAAATGGGTCCATTCTCTTCACTACTTACAGCTTCAGATGACCTTGGTCTGAAGGTTGCATATATCCAGTGCAATTAAATTTCAATCCATTGCATAATTGGTCCAGATCCAGATAATGATAAAAACATTTAAAAATGTTTATCAGACTTCCTCCAGACTGATACACATCCTAGAAAGCTCATAGCCACTGATTCCAGGCGGTAAAAGTGGTACATTTTAAAAATCAAGTCAGAGAACACTGACTTAGATGTTGATATTTTTGTTTGTTTTCCCTTCAGATAAAGTTTTTTCCAACTTTGATAAGGGCTCTCCTACCTCCTGCCCACATGAGGGCTGTGTCAGCCACCTAGAGGTTTGCAGTTTCAATTCTGATTGTCCAACCAAAGAAGAAGATGAATCCCTCTGTGGTAAATGTGAACCTGCCTGCCTCTTTCTTTCAGCGAGTTCTTACTTGTCAACTATTGTAAGAATAAAAATATTAAGCCCAACCTTTTGTTCTTTATTAATCCTGCAAAAACTTCAGTGAGGAAGGAACAAAAAATACTGATTGGTACTGAAAGCAGGACAAAAAGCAATGAATGAAACTAATCAAGGAGAGAACCAACCTAAAACTAAGGAGAAATTTCCTGACAATTAGAACAATTAATCAGTGGAACTACTTGCCTCTGGAAGTTGTGGGCGCTCCAACACTGGAGGTTTTTAAGAAGAGATTGGACAATAATTTGTCTGAAATGGTATAGGGTTTCCTGCTTGAGCAGGGGTTGGACTAGATGACCTCCAAGCTCATTTCCTCTCTCTTATTTCCTGTTATTTTAACAAATGACTTTTATTTCCAGTGCTAGCATTATTTCCTAGATCAGTAAATACCTTATTATTTGGGTCTTGACATTTTGATGGATGCTTATTCCTAGGCAGCTGATTTTTTTTTCAGTTTATATGTTTAATATTAAGAATAGCAAAAAGAAAAAATATTTAATGATTTTAGTAGAAATGTAAATTTTCTGTACCAATGAGTTTTTGTACACAGTTAACCGTACTTCACAATATACTGTATTGATCTTTTTGTTTGTTTCTTGTAAAAATCATTCTTACTGTTTTTTTCCAGATAGCCTAACAGAGGGGGCACATTGTTCTTTTGAGGAAGGTGCCTGTGGCTGGACAATGGATGGAAATATAAATTCTTCCTGGGCTATTAGTGATATTTCAAGGATGCATGAAAACTGGATTGGAGGATCTGCCTTACAAGCCACTGGAGGTATATTTTTTATCCTTCATCTTCCGTTTTAGCTGGAAGAGCATCTCCATTTGGGATGCTTTTATTTATTGAAACGTTGAGCAACTTTAGAATAGAATAGAATAGAATAGAATAGAATAGAATAGAATAGAATAGAATAGAATAGAATAGAATAGAATGGACCTTGGAGGCCTTCTGGTCCAGCCCTCTGCTCAAGCAGGAGAACCTATACCATCTCAGACAAGTGATTGTCTAGTCCAGTGGTGCGAACCTATGGCACCGGTGCCAGAGGCGGCACTCGGAGCCCTCTCTGTGGGCACACGTGTTGTTACCCCAGCCTTGCCTCCCCCCCCCACAACCCCCTCCTCTCCAGCAGCCCCCCTGAAGGAGAGTTGCCCTCGAGCGTGGCCCACACAGAGCAGTGCAGCCAAGGACATGGCAGCCAGGCAGCTTAGACAAGACTTTGTCCTCACACCCCATCATGCAGTTGATGCTGCAGGGCATGGGCAGAGGGTTTGGCTGCCATAGCGCTGTTGGGCTGCCTGGGCATCTGCGGCAGGCCCTGGAGGTAGTGGGTGGTCCTGTGGGCAGGCAGGGCAGGGGATGGGGGGCAGAGCAGGGGCGGGGCAGGGGTGGAGCAGGGGCAGGGCCAGTTTGTGGGCACTCGTTCTCTAAAAGGTCCACCATCACTGGTCTAGTCTCTTCTTAAAAATCTCCAGTGATAGAGCACCCACGATTTCTGGAGGCAAGCTGTTCCACTGGTTAATTGTCCTCACTGCCAGGAAGTTTCTCCTTAATTCCAAGTTGCTTCTCTCTTTGATCAGTTTCCAACCATTGTTTCTTGTCTTGCCCTCTGGTGTTTTGGAGAATAATGTGACCCATTCTTCTTTGTGGCAGTCCCTCAAATACTGGAATACTGCTATCATGTCTCCCTTATTTCTTCTTTTCTTTAGACTAGCCAAATCCAAGTCCTGCAGCCATTCTTCGTAAGTTTTAGTTTCCAGGCCTTTGATCATCTTAGTTTCTCTTCTTGTATGCTTCTGAGCCATATCTTTTGTAGAGGGATGTTCATAGTGCTGCCTTGAGAGAGTGTCCATCTGTGAAGGAAAACATACACAGTCTCCTTATGCGTGAAATCAGAAAACAGCCTGAGGTGACACATGAAGCTTTGTGTTTTTCAGAAGAATACTATAAGACAATCTATAAAATCTGTTTTGAAACTGAAATTTTCTACATTCTATAAGCAATTGATATTAAAGTTGGATTTTAGCCATGGACTAGCAGGTGAAGATGCATATGAAAAACTTATTTTGAAATACATTAGGAGTCTATAGGGAGAGTGAAATGGTAGTGATAGAGAAAAACAAGAATGCTCCCCATTCCCTGATGGATTTTCCACCTTTATTTCTAAGATGTTGGCAAGAATTCCCTGACCTTTGTTAAGAGCTACTATAGAATATCTCTTTTGAAAGGTAAAAAGGGAGATGGACCTCTACAATTCTTCCCTTGTTCTAATAAGGATTCCACTCCCTACATGTTTTATTGAGGGAGGGATTTGTGCATTTCAAATCCCGTCAAGAGACCCATAGAAATGGATGGCTTCGTTCTCTTCTCCTTATCCTTTTTAACAAGACGATGATTTTCTACATATATGCAAGGTTCCCTTAGTACAGGGGTGTCAAACTGCCAGCCCATGGGCTGGTTGCATCATATGGAGGCCACACCCACAGCAGCTCCAGCAATGCAAAAAAAGTCACGATATGTTGCGATACGTCACGTGACCCAGCAAATTTGACACCTGTGCCTTAGTATGTAGCTTAGGTATCCTGTCTATGGAATCAGAGTAACTCCCAGCAAGGAAAGAGTATAGCATTTAGGTTTTTTGTTTAGAGCAAAATCAGATAAGGGGAAACTGAAATATATAAAATCATGTGTGATGTGGACAATATAAAGTTTCCGGTGAGGAATTATGCTGGGCAGATGTCTCCAAAGGAGCAAAGGGACACTGTAGCCAAGAATGCTGCTAGAGGGTGGATGCCAAACTGCATAATCTCTCTGGATCAAAGAAAGATTGTAAGATAACCATTTTGCACAAAACATTTGCCTTAAAAACTTTCGGTGAAGAATATATTTCAGCAGACATTAAAAAAGAGGAATGGAGATTTTATATGGTAGATTTGTGAGGCACAAGCTAATTTATTTGGGGTCAAAACTATAATGTTGGGGATTTATGCCTCAAATGAGGATAAAGGAATGTTCTACAAACCACCTCTGGAGAGATTGATGGATTTCTCTAATGAAAGTTGGTGTTTAAAGAGAGATTGGAATGGAAATGGACAGAACTTCGAGAAAAATATTAAATATTAAAATTACGTAGGATAAACTACCAACTTTTTCTGGTTTGATTATTAATTTTGGGTTGATTGATATATGGAGATGGAAAAATGGTAGTTCGAGAGAATATTTTATTTTTCAGAAAAACACAACTCTTTTTCAAAAGTAGATGTGATTTGGATTTAAAGAGTCTTGGCTACTAAAATATCTAAAATGGAAATTTTACTTTTTCATACCAGAATCCTGTGATTTTGGTTATAAAACAAAAACTAGATTTTTTAAGATGGCGATTAAATGAAGTATTGTTACAGAAAGAAACAATTGTTGAGGATTTTAAAAAGAAATTAGAAGAATTCTTTGAAACTAATTTAAACTAAGGCATTGACTTGAAAATGGTTTGGGATTGAGGTAAAGCCCTTATTAGAGGTTGTCTAATTCAAGATAATTCTGAAATTAAGAAGAAGAAGAAAGAGAAAAGACAAAATATTCTGGTGGAGATAAAAAGAAAAGAATTAAAGAACTTCCTGGGGAATATAAGTATCTCTCAACAAATTAAGATTTTAAAACAACAGTTAACAATGACAAAAATGGAAATAAATCTGTAAAATCTGTAAAACATAGACTTTTTGAATTTGCAAAGAAACCAAAGAAATGGTTGGCATATAAATTATGAAAAGAAAGGGAAAAGAAAATGATATTGAAATTACTAGAGGTTGATTCTATATGAACAGATAATATTGCTATTCAAGGAACATTGTATCAGTATTAATTTTATATAAAGAACATGATATTTCATTGGAGAAAATGGAGGAATAGCTTAGAAAACAAAATTTACTGAGAATCACGGAAGAACAAAGACAAGTTATGTATGGACCTGTAACAACAAGGACGTTTTGGAAGTTATACAAGAGATTAAACTAGGAAAATTTCCTGGATCAGATGAACTATTAGGTACTATGAGGATGATTATTATTTTTTTACAATTTTTACAAAACACAATGAATTCTATTTTACAGGGAGGAAAATGCCAGAGACTTGGAAAGAAGCCAATATAGCATTAGCACTCAAAGAGGGACAAGATTTGACTTTAACAAGACTAATGCCATTGAACAAAGATTATAAATTGCTTACAACAATTTGAACTGAAAGATTGAAAATAATTTTGCAAGAATTTATTCATGAAGATCAATGTAGTTTTTTACCTAAAAGATAATTGAAGGGCAATTTTAGGAATGTGTAGGATATTAAGGAAATATTTGAAAAAAATATAATGAAAAACAAGCCACATGTTTCTTTCTAGATGCAGAGAAGGCTTTTAACAAATTGAATTGGATGTTTCCGTTTGATGTTTTAGAAAATATGAACTTTGGAGAGAACTTTATAAACTGGGTAAAATCAATTTACACTCTTCAGACAGCACAAATAATTGTTAATGGAGAGCTAACAAAACCATGTGAGATATAAAAAGAAAGAAGACAAAGTTGCCCATTTTCCCTTCTTGTGTTTATTTTAGGTATTGATATATTGAACACAGACGTAAGATGAGAAGAGAGGATTGTGAGTGTAAAGATTTAAAAAGAGATTCATGAGCTTTTGCGGATAATTTGATGTTGGTTTTGGAAGATCCTTAAAAGGAAATTAAATTATTAATAACTAAATTAAAAGAATTTAGTGAATTAGCAGGTCTCAAAATTAATAAACAAAAGAGAAATACATTAACAAAAAGTATGAAAATACAAGAGTAAACAGAACTGATAAAGAAAATAGATTTTAAAACTGAAAAAGGTTAAAATATTTGGGCATCTGTTGATAAACATGGCCTGTGTGTTATTTCAAAATTATTATATTAAGTTATGGAATGCATTCAAAACAGAAATGTTAAAATGTGATAAAGTGGAACTCTTATTGTTGGGGAGAATATCTGTGATAAAGATGAATGTTTTACTTAGAAGGTTATTTTTGTTTTTTGACAGCCAGTGTATCATTTAAATAGTGGCAGAAGGATACTTCTAAATTTGTATGGCGGGTGGGGTGGGGGGAAACCACAAATTAAATATAAGGTATTACAAGATGCAAAGGAAAGAGGAGGATTGGGTTTACTTGACTTAAAATTATACTTTGCTGTTTGTTATTTAGTTTGGATGAAAGAGAGTTGCTGGGAGTTGCTGAGATATAAAAAGTTACTTGAGTTAGAAGAACTCAAATTGAGATTTGGATGATATGGATGTTTGTCAAATGTCAAAGCTAAGCTTAATGTAGATTTTACATTAGATGTGCCATTCTGAGAATACGGAATGAATACAAATTTATATTGTCAATTTATTCAAAGGGAATATAAAATAAAATCAAGGAAAGATTTAGTAACAGAAGGATATACAGCATTTGGCAATGGTTATATACAATTATCAGATTTTATAGTTTTGAACAATTAAAGACTGAATTTGAAACAAAACTTGTACAGTGATGAACATGTTATTGTTAAAATGTATAAACTTGTTGAAATTTGAGACAGAAGAACAAGTGAAAGAATGTAAGATAAAACGGACTAAACATTTTCGTTATAGTATACAGATGGAATAATGGGAAAATATGTGACTGAAAGAAAATTTAGAATAAGGTCTAGTGCTAAAGACAATGTTTATAAAACAATGTATCATTGATATAATGTCACCAGAGAAATTGTCTAGAATGTACGAAGGTATTTCAAATTTATATTGGATATGTGAACGATATGAAGGGATATTGGACGTGCAATAAAATTTGCATACAAATATGTTCACTAATTCAGAAGATTTTAAAGATTAATGTACAATTGAAACCAGACGCTTTTATTCTGGGACTAATGGATAGACACAAGTATGGAATCTTGTTTTTATATAGTTTCAGTAAGATTGTTATGTGCTCAAAAGTGGGAAAGTATGGCATTAGCCATGATGGAGAACTGGTTGATAAAATGATGGAACTTGCAGAGATGATCAAAGTCACCTCTGTGCTTAGAGAAAAGACATCTACATTTATGGCTGACTGAAAATGAAGCAAAAAAATTAACTGTGGTTTTGATGATTAAGAAAAAATAGACAAAAGAAAAATAATTAAGAGATCATTTTGTAATCATACTTGTATTTGCTACAGAGAAATCAGAAGTTTCTTCCTTATCATTTCTTTTTATCTTTTGCTTTTGCATTTTGTCCTGCTATTCTCTCTCTTTTTTATTCTCTTTATTTTATGTTAGTTTCCAGAATATCATAAAATAATGTTCCTGAAGCAGTATGTTTGTTCTAATGTATTGTAAATTCAACTATAGCTCTGTCCCAAAAATACCACTGAAATCTAGTTCCAAATTTTTCCCCCAGGTCATTTTCTCTATCTGCATGTCAATAGTGAACACACAGACGGTCTTGCCCGGACTTACAGCACTGACCTTCCAGCCATTCTTTCCAATGGATCTTATAAGGTACTTTAACCTCTTCCTTAGGCAATTAAATCTCACTTTGCAGATTTGTGTGTGTGTGACATGCAGGCTTTTTTTCTTGTCTTTTTTTCATTATATTCATTAAATTATATTTTTTTTGGTCAAAAGTATCAAAATGATTCTGCACAAAAGATCTGTAGTAAGAGTTCTATTCGTAATAACCATCACTGTGCATGCCATAGAAACAGGGTATACAATCAGCTCCAATCCAGTTTGAAGCCAGATCTAAGTTGATTTAAAAAAAAAAAAACAAGCATATGATTCTATTTGACAGTTGGATTCAATTTTCTGATTTTAAGAAAAATCAAATTGATTGTGAAAATTGAGATTTCTCACAACTTAAAGAGCGGGATTGCCTTGACAATGCAGGAGAATATGGCAGGAAGTGTTCCCTTGTTCCTATGCCATCCCAACCACCAGTGCACAAGCACTGTAATATGGACAAACTGTGGAGCACCCTGAACTGTGTTCTGGATGATCTTCACACGCAGCCCCTGTAGACTGTGTTACAGTAGTCTAACTAGGAAATAACGAAGACTCCGATCTAAGAAGGGATGCAGTTGGTGCACTAAATGAATCTGCTTAAGAAACAGTCACCTGCTTCTTAAGCAGGAGCTCCAAGTCCAGGGAAACCCCCAAACCATGCACCAGCTCTGTCCAGGGGAGTGCTGGAAAGAGCCATTGGGGAGCAACCTACTAAGCAGAGATGCTGGAATCCAACCATCTTCCTGAAGGGCTGAACGTCCAAAGGCATCCTCACATAAGATCTGATGCTTTTCTGCCATTTGCCTACTGATGACCGCTTCCCTTTCCAAACAGGCACTTTACTCTGCTTAAGGGAAAGTGCATTGCCACAAGTTGGCAGCCTGGCTTTCCCTCTGCTGCCAGCTAAGCAGGTGAGTCAGCTTCCCTGCATTAAAATATGTTTTACGTCCTTGCCTCTGCTGACTCATTGCTTCCAGTGGATGAAAACCCATTTGTAGATGTTTGCCTCCACTTTCCTTCCTTTTATTTGCTTTTAAAATTAAATTAAAGCAAAACGGAAAACACATTACTCCTAAGATAGGAAAAGGGGTGCTGAGACAGCTAGACAGATTAACCAGTTCCAGACACAGCAGTCCTGGCTTGTCTCTTTCTGTCTTCAGAAGAATCAGATCCAGAATGTCTCTGCTGAAACATGTGTTTTCAAATGCCGGTTGCCTAGCCCCCCAAATCTGCCCCGTGCCCCACATTACTCCATCTAGCCCAGTGGTTCTCAACCTTTCTAATGCCGTGACCCCATAATACAGTTCCCCATGTTGTGGTGACCCCCAAGTGGGTGTGGCCACCAATAAGGGAGTAGGTCAGCTAGGGAAAAGGGAAAAAAATGGCGGACAACGTGGTTTGGCGACCCCCATGAAATGGTCGTTCGACCCCAAATGGGGTCCCGACCCACAGGTTGAGAACCACTGATCTAGCCTAAGGCAAGAGCAACTGGGGCCTGACCATGGAAAAGTTTTGGAAGAAACTATCCCAAAGCATAAAATAACAGCCTAATCAAAACCCTCAGAACTGGCTGGTGCTTGACATAACAATATTTTGTTCTGTAAATCAGGATCCAAGATTGTGGGCACGTGAAACAAAACTCTAATTAGAACAACCTCTTTGAAGATGAAAAGTTTCAAAGTAAAATAGTTTGCACACCTCTTTTCCCAAACTCTTTTTCTGTGACCAACAATCATATCATGAATTATATGAAATAAAGAAATAGTTGCAGGTATCAGAATCAAACTTCTCTTCAAACAAGCTTTGGGCTACCTTGGTGTTATAATCAAAGCTGGAATGGTGTTAATGCAACTGAAATACAGAAGTGGGATGATTAAGTAACAGCAGATTCAACTCTGGTATGAAAAAGACTTTTTTTTTCCCCTGAACATTTTATCCCAGAGTGAGCTGACAAAATAGAGTCTCCTTTCATTTGAATTAGTAAAGTCTAATTAAGAAGCGTAGAAATAGCAGGATATTAGATCAGCTTTAAATTTGTGCATAATGCCCTTATTTGTTCTAAAGCTAGTTACCATAGTTTCTCAACTTGGATGAAATGGATAACTATGATAAGAGATGTCTGGATTTCTTTGCTCTTGCTCTGAAGAAAGAAACAACCAAAGGGAGCACAAGTACAGACAAAAGACTTATTCATAGATTAGCTTATTAAGCCATTGCCTATTTCTGCCGTATGAAAGTGATACAAGGACTCAGAAGTAGAATCTTTCTCTCATTCCAGTAATTTAACCAAGCTCTCTCCTTAAACCAGCTCATTTATCCAATTCTCTCACTTTGTTTACTTCATCCTTCTCTTGAATGGAAAGGCTTACCAAAAATTGGATAAATAATTATCTTTTATTCAACTTTGTCAAAACGTTGCCAAGACACTTCCAATTTTACACGGGAGAAAACCCGAATAACCAAAGACCTACATATATATATATATATATATATATATATATATATATATATATATATTCAAGAATATTGGTAAAAATATGACTCCCGGGCATAATTATAAATAAAAGAATAAAACACGATCACCGGGAGAGTTGAAGTAAAAATACTTTACTAAAAATATACTAATACTAAAAAGTTGCCAAGCTTTCGCTGGGGGGACTCCCCAGCATCGTCAGGGCTAAAAGGCCATTGCAGTAAAGGTGGTTTAAGTAGGTTCAAGTAATGTTTGCGCACGGCTCTTAGACCGTGTTACTGGCCCTGATTGGCCAGCTGAAAGCCAAGATGTGTCTATAATGTTATGTTCTTTTCTTTGGATGCCCTTCCCTATCCCTCCACTATTGGTCTTTAGAGGCGTTAGTAACCTTACATCCCCTCCTCTTCCGATAATACCAACGTCTGCCGTGTCGGGGGGAGGACTTGATCTGATGTTTTCTTGTGTTTTACAATGGGGATAGGGCTCCACTAATTGTGGGTTAATATCCCTTCCCAATTGTGTATCTCTCTCCTCCTTTGTCATGTAAACAGCTCCTATCCGGGTATGGTATGCCTCAACAATCAAGTCTTTATTCCCCACCTCAGTCTTCCTTACATACGTTCCCTCCCGTTGTTTGGCACTCAAACCGCTCTCATTACTCTTCCCCTTGCTGATCGAGCGGGTTGTCATTCTATGCTTTCTCTCCCCTCTCCACATGGAGGGATAGGGAAGGGCATCCGAAGAAAAGAACATAACGTTATAGACACATCTTGGCTTTCAGCTGGCCAATCAGGGCCAGTAACACGGTCTAAGAGCCGTGCGCAAACGTTACTTGAACCTACTTAAACCACCTTTACTGCAATGGCCTTTTAGCCCTGACGATGCTGGGGAGTTCCCCCAGCGAAAGCTTGGCAACTTTTTAGTATTAGTATATTTTTAGTAAAGTATTTTTACTTCAACTCTCCCGGTGATCGTGTTTTATTCTTTTATTTATAATTATGCCTGGGAGTCGTATTTTTATCAATATTCTTGAATATATGTGTGTGTGTGTGTGTGTGTGTGTATGTCATACTTGATGTGGAAATTTAATTTGTTTGTAACATATTGCCCTCCTGAATGTTTTGGCTATTGGAATACTTAAAAATGGAAAGAATAAAGAAATGTAGCATAAATACTGTGTTTCCCCAAAAATAAGATCCACCCAGAAAATAAGCCCTAGCATGATTTTTAGCATGTACCTAATATAAGCCCTACCCCCAAAATAAGTCTTAGATAAGAGTCCGCCTACTCTTTCCCACCATCTGGTTTCTCCCGGCTGCAACGGGACAGGAAAGAGCACATCGCACCAGTGCCGCTGCCACAGGTTGAGGCAAGGTAGGTGGGGAGGTGGAGCTGCCCCGCCCACTTACCTCGGGGCCCCCGCAGCCAGGCCACCCACACCTTCCTCGCCTCATAGCAGTGGCACCAGCAGTAGCAACAGCCCCATCCACCAGGAGCCCTCCCACTTGCCTGGTTGTTCTGAGTTGCAATGAGGCAGGAGAGGGTGCATTGCACCAGTGCAACCACTACAAGGTGAGTGAGGCAGGTGGGGGATCAAGGTGCCCTATGTGCCCTGTACCCACTTACCTCAGGGGCCCCACTCAGTGACCTCTCCCTGCCAGTTCAATGACCCGGCTGCCTGCCCGCCTTTTCCTTTCACTCTCCTCCTGAGCCAGACTGTCATGCTACAGAGGATGGGTTGGGGAAGCGCAGTCACCTTACCCAGTCCCATTTCACCATTTCAGAGCCAGGAGGGAGTGATGGCGAAAAGCCTCGGCTGTCGCTGCGCAACAACTGCATCTGCCACTAGAGGGGCTTTCTTCAATCCCTGATGGCCTTGCCCTGCCCCATCCCTCTTAGATCACCTGCCTGGCGGCAGCTGCCACTTCCTCCTCCACCACCTACCACTTGGGTCCTGCGGCGCTGCATCATTCTGCCTGCTCCCTGTTTGCTACCTGCATTTGTGGTTTCAATGGCGGTAGGTGTGGAGGCCTGTGGTAGGCTCTTTGCATTGTCCCTGGGCTGGCAGTTTTGGCCACCGGCCCCCTTCGTGGCTCTGGGAGAGCTGGCGGCTGGAGTCATGGCAGCGAGGGCTTCAGAGCACCCCTGCCACCAGCCCTGGTATAACTCTCCTGTGGTGAGCCATGAAGGGGGCCGGTGGAAGGGGTCCCCCAAAAAATATATAAGACCCAGTCTTATTTTCGGGGAAACACAGTAGTAGACAGTCTGCATTAAGACTGGCCATCTGGAAAATTCAAAAAGGGAAAGAAAATGGCAATCCACTTATGCATCGATGTAAGGATATGACAATTTTGTGTGTTACCAGGATTTTTTTAATATTAGATTAGGCAGCAATTCACATCCTGATAGTTCAGCAAGTTTCCACCTTTCCCCTGTCCAGAGAAGAGAAAATGAATACAGGTAGTCCTCAGTTTATGACCACAATTGAACCTAAAATTTCTGTTTAGCAAGGTAGTTGTTAAGTGAGTTGTGTCCCATTTTATGACCTTTTTGGCTGTGGTTGTTAAGCAATCAATCGGATGTCCCCCATTGACGTTACTTGTCCAAAGCTCCCGAAGGAGGTTGCAGATGACCATCCCAGAACCTTGGAGCACTGCAAGCATCACAAAACCGCACCACACGGTTGTCAAGCACCCAAAGTTTGATCACTTGAGTGGGGAGGTTGCAATGGTGGTCACAAGTTGTAATTTTGAACGGTGATTAAATAAATGATTGCAAAATGGGGAGTATGTGTACATGAAAATTGAAAGGCAGACATTTTTTCCTCTCTTATATCCATATAGAATTATAACAATTGTTGCATTGATCAGCGATAATGTTTCATGCATCTGATCTGATGAAGTGGATTTTAATCCATGGAAGTTAAAACTGCTACCATAAAATGTGTTAACTTTCTTTCAGCTTCTGCCCCAAGGTACCTGACAGTGACATGGGTGGCATATACATTTAATTAATTTATTATATTGTAATAAATTCTATGGTTACACTTTTTCATGAAGTTCTTCTCTGATGCCTGATGGTGACAATGTTGCCTTCACTCTGGATCAAAAATTACATGTATTGGCCTGGCTAATAAATAGCTTTTTTTTTCCAAGGGCTTTTTATTTTTGCCCACATTAGAGGAAACAGAGCATAAACTAAGATCACATAGCTTCCTGTACGTATAACAGCTCATTCATTGCTTCCTCCCTACAGGTGCAGCAATTGATATCCTTTCTGGCTAGCTTCATCTTTTGTAAGACCAGAAAATTTGGTTCCAGTTTATATGTGATAAAAATCATAAAGGCAGAGAAGCATCTGGCTAATGAATATATAAATGCTCGAGTCGAGATGTCTTTTTATATTTCTCATCTTCATGTAATTCATTCCCAGGAAGTTGTGTGGTATTATTTTTATGAAGCTCATAATAAGATCTCTCCTATGATATAAAACTTTTATATCTATGAACCAAAGCTATAGTCCTCAAATACTGTATGGTACTTGCAAAGGACCTAATATACAGCTTTTGTCTGTCTCACCGCTTTACCTTCACTTTAGGTCCAATTCTCAGCATATGTTTTTGGCAACTATAATGGCACCCTTTCATTCACTGTACAAGAAGTTGAAGGAGCAGCCAATGGCAGTGCGGCACTACTGATATGGGAAAAGTCAGGGAGCTGGAGAGATCATTGGTTTCTCATAACTTTGGAAATGCCAAGCCTTCAGAACAGGTAATTACAGCACCAGGAATATTCATCATTACTATCATTACCTGTGATTTTTAAGGGTGAGACAATAGATGGAGGATTCCTAGACAGTGCCTTCCCCCCAAGTCCTCCAAGCAAGCTTGCTAGTTTGTCACAAAAGTATGCTGTTATATAGCCCTATGAAGCCTAGCTCTTCTTTGTTTTTTGTTTTTTTTTAAACACTATATTTATCTTACAAAAGAGAAATCATCACAAAGTTATATATGCAAAGTTCTACCTCTTACTCTGCTGAGGGGAGGAGAAAAGAAGAAGGGCTGGGAAGAAAGACAGAGGAGGAAATTGCAAGTGGGGAGGAAGGTGAGATTTACAAGGGCCAAGCTGGAAGGGAAAGAGAAGATGGGTTCTGACTTTTAGAGCACCTACTGTACGGTAGCAGAGAAAGCACCAAAAGCAACATAGGCCTAACAGCATTTTGCAACCTGCAGAATCTTAGGAACAATTAAAAGAGTCTAAGTGGCAATAGAAGAGAATATTTTTAACTTAGGGTTGAATGGTGCCCTGTGAGCCTAGAGGTTTGATGATGTACTGATGAAGTTAACTAGTTTGATAATGAAACATCTGCAAGAAAACCACCAAACTCAGAGAACATCAAGGACCCCACAGAGTCCAATTAATTAAACACTCTTTTGTTTCCTATCTCTCCATGCCCCACCCCCTCTTGATTTTGTGAAAGAGTGGCTGTCTTCAAATTGAAATCTTTATTTTAGTGATTTTGAAAAAAGGAAGCAAGGGCATTCTTCCAATAAATTTATGGTTTCAAATTATGTTGTTTTTGCTAATTTCCAACTAATAGGTTTTATTTTATCGTGTAAACAGCTATTTTAATTTTATTTGATATATAGATTAAATTTAAATTATTAAAAGTAAACTGTATGTTTATTCCTTGCTCATTCTTACCCCTAATGTAATCTTTAATTTTATTAATGGGGAAGGCACATAGATTCATTTTATAGGGTCAAATTGCTTCAAACTTTGAAAACCCCTGCCCTACATTGTACCATCAATATGCAAGACACTTTTCCAAAGAAACACATTTTGCTTTAAGAAAATTTTGACATAAAACAGGATGGAGATGGAAATTGAATAAGAATATATATGTGGTTTAATCAGTGGTGGGATTCAAATTTATGAACAACTGGTTCATTGTGTGGATGCCACTTCTGGAAGTCTGTTCTGGGCCTGGGCAACAAAAAAATAGTTACCGGTTCTGCCAAACTGGTGCAAACTGGCTGGATCCCACCACTGCATTTAATATATGTTCTTAGGACATTATCACAGGGATACAGCTCCAAATCTGAAAGACTTCTGGGTCCTACAATGTGAACAATTTGTTTCTCACTTTGTGCTGAGGTTTTAAACTATTTCTAAGTTGTGGTTTGTGGAGTTAATAGTAGGGCTGTGCTAAATTTCCCCACAGAAAGGAATTCTTGTCTCACATCTTCTCCCAGCTGCTGAACTCAAGTCCTAGGAGAAATGCTAATTTAATACATATAGTACAGTACACACACCAATAGCCCAGACAAAGCAAGCAAAGGTGAAAATTAGTTCTTTTTAGTATTGGAAGAACCTGTCTGCAAGGTATCAGGCTGCTGGGGACAAGGAGTTACTTTCTGTCTTGTCTTTTGTCTGCAGTGGCAATGAGGCATCTTTTACCGCAAAACTTCAGCACAGTGATTTTTGTTCATTAGTATTTCAAGTTAGCAGAAGTGAAGACGAACATAGATTGTCTTTAATTGCTTCTGAAAGTTTGGTGAATGAAGAATGTAGTAATGTGGAAATCTTAGATTTAGTGAGGATTGAAACTGAAGAGATGGAGAGAGAGAGAGAGAGAGAGAGAGAGAGAGAGAGAGGGAACTTGAAATGAAATGTAATGGCTTTAGGATGGAGTTTCAAGCATAAGGAACAACAAAGAAGAAAAGAGGAGTTGCAGATAAACCTGACAGAGAGAACTTCACATTCAGGAATCTAGCATTTTTCATCTCTCTGATCCCACAGTCTAGCAGCATGACAAGATCCCCTTTTTGAAGAGAATACTAGGTGTTATTGAGAAGAAGTGGGGTTGAGGAAGGACCAGCAGTTTTTTTACTTGTTTACATGAATGCCAGGGTAGGAACTGAGAGACGTGACTGAGAAGAAAACCAAAGTGAAAGATGTAGCTGCCAACCAATTGTTAAGGATTGATAACCTTCTTTCAAGTTGAACTTGGCTCTTGGAGATTTTAATAGACACATCCATGTAGTTTTCTAGGTAGCAGCATGGAAGTGCCTTGTCATCACCTTCTTTAAATATGCTACAAGACTTATAAAAGTCCTCCTCAAATGGAAAATAACCTTTTAAAGCTCCTGGAATTCTTCTCTATTCCAGTTTAAACTCTGGATGTTTGAAGAAGTCTTGAATACTGCTAATGATGAATACAATGTACAAATATATACACATCACTTTGGATGTATTTTCTATGATTGTTGCAATCAACTGTTCTTCATGCTTATTCAGTTTCCTTTAAAAAGAGTTTGTATTACCATTATTTTAACTAATTGGAGATTGTGGGTTGCGTGTGTGAGAGAAAGAATGCCATAACATTATGTAGCCAACAAAATGCAACTCCACAGTGGCAGGTACAACCCTATTGTAATAATTAGTGTCCTATTCTAAAATTGATACAAGTAGTGTATTTACTGATTGGATATTGTCATTGTTCACTTGTTCAATGAGGAAGAAAAGGGTAATATATCTTTTGCAAAGAATGTTATCTCCCACTATTTATGTAGCACTATATTTATCTCCTTTTTGGAGCCTATAATACAAAGCTACATAACTTTTTTATGTTTAAAAGCCTCACTTGGTCTTCCAGATAAGAAAAATGGTGAACTAGGTGTCTCCAAAAGACCATGGCAAAAAGCTCAGACCAGTGGAAACCCTTCAGATCAGGAGAAGATGTTACCCACTTGTGCTCTGGACAGTTGCTCCACACAAGGTAGCCACAATATAGGACAGTGCTGGCGAACTTATGGCATGGGTGCCAGAGGGGCCACTCAGCCCTCTCTGTGGGCATGCATGCCATCGCCCCTAGGGCTTCAGCTGGGTTTTATAAAACCTTTTCGTTTTAAGGCCTCTGCCGCTGCGTAAAAAAAAAAGGTTCAATCAGTCAATTTCAACTTCTTGCGGGGAAAAAAAGATCTTGCAAAGTTGGAATTGATTGATCGAACTTTTTAGTCCCACCCAGTCTGCTGTTACCACCACAGCCACGCCCAGCCAATGGGCCACACCAAGCCAATGGGCCACACTCAACCGGCACCCGACGATGCATGTGAGTTTTGGGTTGCAATTTGGGCACTCGGTCTCTAAAAGGTTCGCCATCACTGGTATAGGAGTTGTCCTGTAGATCTGGACACTGGGAAATGAGGGAACAATTATGCTTTCAACCATGGCAGAGCCTTTAAGGACAGTGGGTTTGACCACCTCATTTTCTAATCATCCTTGAATTTACAATTACTTTACAGCTAAAAGAGATCTTCCAGACAAGTTTGAAAAGCTATCTGATGAGTAAAATTCCATGTCCAAATAAAAGAAAGGCTAACCAGCAGTTTAAAGAATGTAAAGTATATAAAATAAGTGGCCAAAAGCTAAATAAGAATTTAATTTAAGAAAATTTTAAACACATTAAAGGACTGGATAAATTTGGAATATTGGGACATTTGTTAAGATCTTTTTAAAAAATTGTATAAACAAGCCAGCATTTCCATTGGAACACAAATTGTTTAATCTATCAGGAAAGAGATTATTGATTTAAAATAAAAACACAACCCCCCAAGACTTCATAAATATACAGATGATGCAGCAAAATTTCAGGCAAGAAAAATGACAAGCAAAGATATGACACTGGAGACATTTCAAAGCATTCTTGAAGAATTGGGAAATAAACTTATAACTAATTTGACAGCAATAATTTCTGCACCTGTAAATGTATTTTTTTGAAGAAAATAAATGAACAATATGATAGATAACCAACTGCCAAAGAGAACCATCTGCTGTACAAGCAGGATTTTGTAAAGGAAGAGGAACACATGATCATATTGCCAATATATATTGGATAATGGAAAAATCAAAAGAATATCAAAAAGATGTCTACATGTGCTTCATTGACTACACAAAAGCCTTCAGCTACATTGACCATGACAAACTCTGGAACTGCTTGAAAAAATTGGGAATATCACCACACCACATACAACTCATCCAGTCACTGTACTCTGTTAAGAACAGAATATGATAAGATAAGATAAGATAACCTTTATTGTCATTTTTTTACTGTTGGCACAACGGTACATATCAAAAATGAAATTTAGTTGCCCGTTCTCAAAGTGAAACACATACATGACACACACCTAAACATACTATGAACAACATATATAGAGACCCACATTCCTACATATACATAGCAAATACCGTAAATGCCGGCGTATAAGGCGACTTCCGTGAGCGCTGAAATCGGCGCCAAAGACGGGGGTCGTCTTATACGCCGAGTCATCTTATACGCCGGAAATACTGGTAGTTTCCGGCGTATAAGACAACGTTCTAGGAATGCGGCCCGGCTATAAAGACGGGGGTCGTCTTATACGCCGGGTCGCCTTGTACGCCGGCATTTACGGTAAATATTAAATACTGTCTATCTTGAATATATAACGGAAGGAGGAAGCTTGAGAGTTCACAAGGTTAATGCTGTATGGAATGAAACTACGGCTGAATCTGGATGTTCTGCTACGGATACCACAAAGGCTTCTCCCAGAAGGTAACAAGGAAAACAGGTCGTGAAGAGGATGTGTAGTGTCCCAGATAATCTTATGGACCCTGCTCAAGCAATGCTTCTGTGCTATGTCCTGAATGGGAGGGAGGGAACTGCCAACAATCTTTTGGGCCATTCTCACCACTCTCTGCACCACCTTCCTGTCTGAAGCAATGATGCCTCCAAACCAGAGATACAAAATAGAAATACAAAATGGTTCAGAATTGGAAAAGGCACTTGACAAGGCTGCATCCTGTCATCTACACTATTCAACATGCACACAGAAATAGTTATGAGAAATACACAGATGAAGGAATCTACTACTGGGGTTAAAATTGGTAGTAGAAACATCAACAACCTTCTATATGCAGATGATACAACATTGCTCAAAGTAAGGAGGATCTGGAGTGTCTAACCCTGAAAGTCAAAGATGAAAGCAAAAAAATTTGGACTGCACTTTAACATCAAGAAAACAAAATGTCAACTCCAGGGAACACACAGGCCAGAGCGCAGAGCAACAATGAGACCATTGAAACAATAAGGGAATTCATCTTCTCAGGCTCTGAAATCAACCAAAGTTGTGGCTGCAGCCCTGAGATCAGAAGACATATAACACTTGGAAGAACTGCAATGTCTGACATGAATAACATCTGGAAGAGTAAAGACATCAGCCTCACAACCAAATGCAGATTAGTTAATGCAATATTTTTTCCAATTGCTACTTATAGCTATGAAACTTGGACTCTGAAAAAGGCAGATAGGAGAAGAGTGGATACCTTTGAATTGTGCTGGAGGCAACTATTACACATCCCATGGACTACAAAAATAATGAACGAAGAAACCAAGATCCCCAAACAGAGGCTGAGTCATGTGATAAGAGCTGATTTCCTCAAAAAGTCAGTCATGCTAGGAGTGATCAGCAGAAAAAGGAGAAGGGGTTGTCCTAGTACCTACTGGCAGGACACTTTGAAGGATGACACTGAGATGACCATGGCAGATATGAAGGAGGCAGTACGAGACATAGGGGCTTGGAAAGTGCTAATCCATTGAGTGGCTGAGGGTCAGACACAACTGAATGGCTGTTGATGATGACAACGGCAGATTAATTAATGGGAAAATATTGAAAAATAAAGAAATTAAGAATTATAAGATAGAGATGATAGAGTGGAAATGCAAATCAAAAGATGCAAAAGGGCTTGAGCAAGAATTTATTTTGGATTTACAAAAGAGGTTTTATAAAACCTTAAAGAAATATTTGAGATGCGAGAAAGTGTGAATGGGGATTCAATCCTACAACAGCAACTTTATGAATTAAAGATTAAGACTGTTAGTAGTTCCTCCCACCCCTATCCCCCCAAAAGGAATGTAAAGTTGATTTATATGACCAGCAATAAAATAAGAAACACTTTTGTAGAATTCTGGAAACCTTTTGTTAACTTTTTGCCGACACTGAACAGAAATGATGGGTTTTGGATGTGTGAATGGATAAGGGAGACCCTGTTATGTGAAGTGGACCACATAGATAATTTCACAGAAGGTTGGAAATTATTAATTTGTCTCTACAAATTAATCTTCCCGAGGAAGATCAGAAGTTGCTTCTTTAAATATTCTTTTTTTTCAATCTCTTTTCTTTTTTTCTTTTCTTTCTTGCACTTTGTATTGCTTTTCTTTCTCTTCTTTTCTTCTCCTCTTCTATCACTTTGTATTATCTTTTTTTTTTTAAAAAAAGGCCTGCTTGGCCTTTGAGAGGCATACTGGGAATTGTGCTCCAAAATATTGTTGAGGGGTCCAGGATAAAAAAAAAAATTAAGATAATCTTAATTATCTAGATTCTAAATCTATTTAGAATATAATGATCACTTTCTAGTCATTTATATGATACATTTCTCATTTCTGCTTCTACTAAACATTACAGTTTGGAAACAGTAATCTCACTGAAGCTGCATGCAATTACAATATTGGAGTTTGAGGTGTGCACTTTAGCTCTACCACATTGTAGCAGCAAGGCTGAGCCCATAATATAGAAGAGTACAGATTTTAAAATTGCTCTTGTAGAAGGTTACTCAAAAACAAAAAGGGATTGAATAGAATATATAAAAATAAATACATTTTTACAGATCACAAGATAGACTTAAACTGCTATCATTGGCTTTGTAAAATGGTTGATGCCCCAATTTAGATTTAAGAGTTTCAAAAAGATGAATTTTCAAAGCAAATTATTGTATTCATGCATAGATAAAACATTAATTGAGTTAGTTAGCAGCACTCAGGCAAAGCAAATTAAAGGATTTTAACCCCGTGCTAAATTACAAACTTCTCTCTTCCCGTACAGAATGAACTCTGGAAACAGATGCTTCTTCTATTCTAATAGTCATCTAGAAATTCCCTCTTTCTGAAATCCCACTATAAATAGGGGCTAGAGGAGAATAGTCTCATCTCTTGTCTTTCTGCTTTAGTGTAGACTTTCTTGTTTCTCTCTGTTCCCCAAGACACATACTGCAATCATCCTATCTAGGAAGAGAGGGTTTGGAGGATTTGACCCCTTAAGTGACATAGTCCAGATCACCTCTGAGTCCATGTTAATTAAAACTCAAAAGTCACGTAATTGTTATTTAACTTGGACAGCTGGGATAACAGGCTTGGGGCCCATCTTCCATAGCACAAATAAACTAAAAGGAAGGCTGCTTTTTATATGGAAAACTTGGCTTTATAGCCCCAGCAGCTAAATACCTCTCCTGATTGGGCACAATCCTGTTTAATATTTAAGGAAATACTAGCTGGGAATTCTAAGATAGGCAAGCCACACAGATTACCATTAGCTTTCATAATAATTGTTTTTATTTATTTATTTTATTTGTAAAATGTATTGGCTGCCCATCTTACCACAGGGTAACTCTGGGCGGCTTACAATCTTAAAATACATTTTATGGTTTTAGTCCTTAAAATGCCACACAACTCTTAATTGGTTCTGTTGTGTCACAGGCAATTTTGGCAGGTTTATTTTGAAAACTTAATATATTTGTTTTCATGGACCTATGAAATGCACCAAAGTAAGGAGCACCCTTATTTTTTTCCAAATAGTATTGCTGGTTTACAGTTTCAATTTTAGTTATCATCCTTATGCATTTTTTGAAATTGTTCATTTTCGCATTTATTCATTGACTTCTATTCTGTAGGTTAATTTTTTAAATATCTTTTCTTCTGCTCTCTCAATATGTTTTGTTAAAAAAAGCTTTCATCTGGAGCTCCTCGCTAACTGGGGTTGGAATTCACAAGCTGATATTGCTGTGGACAACATTACTTTTGGTCTGGATTGCTTCTCTAATGGTGAGTTATTTCTAATTAAGGAAGTACTATGTTCTGAGGGTATAAAAGCAAGCAATTATTACTTCTGCATAGAACTTTTTCCCCATAAGCCTTTTCTAAATCTAACATATATAAAACATCTTTTGAGATAATTGCCACAATAAAGCAAATCCACCAGAGATGATAAAAAGTATAGCAGTTGCATTTCCAATATACATTTGAAATTCCTATATACATTTTTGACAATTTCTCAGATGTTAAATACCAACAATATTCTCAGATGTTAAATACCAACCATCTTATAGAAAAAAACTTCTTTCAAATTATTATTCAATATAAATTTTAATCCATTAGTCCACCTATTTTTCCTGGCTCAAAAACAGTAACTGTGAGAGGGACCTTGGAGTCTTAGTGGATGATCACTTGACTATGAGCCAGCAGTGTGCAGTAGCACTATTACAATTCTGGGCTGTATAAACAGAGGCATAGAATCAAGATCACGCAAAGTATTAATACCACTTTACAAAACCCTAGTAAAACCACATCTGGAATGCTGCAACCAATTTTGGTCACCATACTACAAAAAAGATGTTGAGACCTTGGAAAAAGTTCAGAGAAGAGCAACTAAAATGTTCAAAGTCCTGGAGACTAAAACATATGAAGAACGGCTGCAGGACTTGGCTTTGGCTAGTCTAAAGAAAAGAAGAAACAGGGGCAACAGGATAGCAGTATTCCAGTATTTGAGGGGCTGCCACAAAGAAGAGGGCATCGAACTATTCTCCAAAGCACCAGAGGGCAGGACAAGAAACAATCGTTGGAAGCTGGAATTATGGATAAACTTCCTAACAGTGAGGACAATTAACCAGTGCAACAGCTTTCCTTAGAAACCGTGGGTGCTCCATCACTGGAGGTTTTTAAGAAGAGAATAGACAGTCACTTGTCTGAAATGGTATAGGTTCTCCTGCTTGAGCAGGCGGCTGTATATAGAAGACCTCCAAGTCCCTTCCAGCTCCTATTCTATTGTATTCTATTCTGTTGTATTCTATTGTATTCTATTCTATTCTATTCTATTCTATTCTATTCTATTCTATTCTATTCTATGGCTCAATCTTTATAGTATCACCAAAATTCTTTGTCCATTAGATCGTATAATGTTTAACATATTCATTTTCCAAATTCAATGTCAACAACAGTTTATAAATCCTAGCAATAATATGTTCATCATTGGCACACAATGCAATTTTAAACTCTGTTTTTGTATACTCAAAAACATGGTTTTTCTTATCTAGGTTAAATCTTTCTTTTAATTCTAAATAGAGAACCAATATCAAATATGAGAGGTCTTGTTGGTCTCTGAGCTTGGTTGTTTTCTTGCAGATGTTTCATTACCCAAACCAGGTAACATCATCAGTGAACATCGATGAAGTTACATAATTTGGGTAATGAAACATCTGCAAGAAAACAACCAAGCTTAGAGGGCAATAAGGACCCTTCATTTCAACCCTGAGCTACAAATATTTTCCTTTCTTAATGTCAGATGTGTCCTTCCAACTCTAGTCCTCCTTTCAATTTCAAATTGGGTTCTCCTTGAGTAGGACATAATATCTCACTATACCCAGTTGGCATACATCTGATTAGAAAAGGCTGTTGTACAACTAAGACACCATGTTTATTTTAAAAATACTAGAATATGTCAATCAGATGATATTTTAAAAAACATTCAGGTTCATTGATGCTCCCTGAATTTCTATAAGCTGTATTGTTTTCCTTCAGAGAAGAAGGCCATTTGTTCATCTCTTCTAATTCAATTACATTTTGGAGAAACCCAGCAGCTTTCAGTAATAAAATTACATCCTTCTTTGCCAAGGGAGACTTTGGAGATCCCTGACAGTTCCAATTAATTAATCAGGCAAAGAGACTTAAGTCTGAAGATTTGCAGGAGAGAAGTGGGAGGAAGAGGAAGAAAGGAAGCAGAGCCGGAAGAAAGCTTAATTTTCTTTCCTCGTGCGTTCCAGCTATTCAATCCATCTCCTTTCATTAAAGAAAATGTTTTGTGGTCTGTATGAATCAAAAGGAGTGGCTGAGGAGTTGAATGATATTTCACTGCTACGGCTTGTGAAAATGCAGTTTTATTAGCTGGCCCTCTTCTTCCTTGATATTGAATGCTTTTTCTACTGCTTAGTGTAGTTTCCTGATTAACATTCTGGGCCTAGAATCTGTTGATTAGAAAATGCACAAGTTGCTGCTTGCCACTTCAGCTTATAATACTTCTATATTACTAACTCTTTATTTTATAAGCTTTGCTGCTGAAAATCTCATCTGTAGGAGTTGTGCATGAGAGGTGAGTAGCTGCTACAGTTAGGCTTAATTTCTTCTTAATTTCTTCTGTTAACAGATGCTGTTCTGTTAACATCAAGTCAGCCATGATCTGCCCTAGGCAGCCACTGCACAGGTTACCTGTTTTCTTTTCTGAGACTAGCAATCCATATGACCTGAAACCAGTTTGGAGAGAAGCATTCTTATCTCTTTTTGGCAGTATCCGTATTTTGACACAGATAGTTTTCAGCTTGATGGTGGGATTTTACCTTGCTTGAATATATAGGTTGTATGAAGGGGAAATGTGATTTAGCCCACCTCCAGAAACTTTGAAATTTAATCGGGTAAGGTCACAAGCAGAGCTGGAGACCATCCTTTGATGCTATGTTAATACAGAGGAACGCAGCAGTACTTAACATTTAGATTTCATTCATTTGGGTTTAATATAATTGCAATAATAATAATAATTTGAAAGGGACCTTGGAGGTCATCTAGTCCAACCCCCTGCTCAGGCAGGAAACCCTATACCATTTCAGACAAATGACCATCCAGTCTCTTCTTAAAAACTTCCAGTGTTGGAGCATTCACTGCTTCTGGAGGCAGGTTGTTCCACTGGTTAATTGTTCTAACTGTCAGGAAGTTTCTCCTTAGTTCTAGTAACAATAACAGTAAATTAAAAGTAAAAATGATGAAGAGTAGGTGGGAACTATGTAGAGGTTAGGGAGGTAAAATGTGAAAAGAAATGTGAGAATAGAATAGAATAGAATAGAATAGAATAGAATAGAATAGAATAGAATAGAATAGAATAGAATAGAATAGAATAGAATTCTTTATTGGCAAAGTGTGGTTGGACACACAAGGAATTTGTCTCCAGTGCATTATCAAATTAGCTTTATCAAATTCTCTGAATGAAAGAAGCTATGCCTTGCTGTGTGTAGAATAATTAGTTTGTAGAAGCCAGTCATATTCAAATTGGCCTTCAAATTCAAAAGAGACTAGGCTTTTAAAAATTGCAGACAGAACTCTCATCCTTTGATACAAATTAGGTGTAATGGAAGACATTAACATCATACTGTACATTGATATCCTGACCAGCTCAAAGTCGACTCAGCCTTCTTGAGCACTATGAAGCGATACATATGTGCTATTGCTATTGCTATAAACTGACTATAGAATCCCAGAAGTAGAATTCACATGACTAAACAATTATCAGTGAGTCTAGGAATATACTTATCATCTTTTTGACTGAGATAGTGAGAGAGCCCTTAAAATTTGAATTTTGTTCAGAAAAAGAGGAAAAAGTTGTTTAAGCACGGAGAACTGCCTGAGGACAGTTAATTGAGATATTGCTCCAATAAAGACTGAATCAAGCATACAAACCAAGGCAATAGTACAAAGAATGATTTACATCCTACAACAGTGATTAGTTTGATTGTGTATCTCTGGGTGTCAGCAGATAAATTGGAGATATTTCATGTTTTTTAGTGTCTAAAAAAATTAACTGAAGGCCAAGGAGTCCAATAACTCCTTTGTGCTCAGTTATAAATACCACTATCTGGTTTTCCTTTAATCTCCATAGTTTATTTTACATTAATTTCAGTTTTGTTACAGCCGTGACAAAAGTATTTTCCAGCACAAGTCAGTTCCATTATCATCCGCTGTGTTTTCACAAACTGAACAACACTGCATGAGACATCCTGCCTCTACAGTCCACCACCTCCTAGTCCAGTGGTTCTCAACCTTTCTAATGCCGCGACCCCATAATACAGTTCCCCATGTTGTGGTGACCCCCAACCACTTATACATCACCGGGTGCCAGGGGCATGGCCAAAGAAAAGGGGGAAAAATGGCGGACAGCCTTGTTTGGCGACCCCCATGAAATGGTCATTCGACCCCAAATGGGGTCCCGACCCACAGGTTGAGAACCACTGTCCTAGTCTGTATTTGTACTGGACCTTTTTGGACATGCAAAAAGAGACAATTGTAGAGGCATTTCCCATAATCCTTCCTATCGATCATCATTTTGCTTTTAATCTAGAAAAAAAAAAGATAAACGAGTCCCTGTGGATTTTACTCCACTAGTCCAACTATAAGGGGTGATGCTCATCTCCATTTCAAGGCCATTGAGCCAGTGCTGTCTGAAAATGTTTCCGTAGTCATGCGGCCACCATGATATCATGGAGCGCTGTTACCTTCCCACCAAAGTGATACCTATTTATCTGCTTGCATTTGCATGCTTTCAAACTGTTAGGTTGGCAGGAGCTGGGGTGAGAACAGGAGCTCACTCTGTCACATGGTGCTCAGGCCTTAAGCCTGGACTACCAGCTTTTCAGCCAACAAGCCCAGCATCTTAACCACTGAGCCTCTGTGCCACCTTTTAATCTAGAAGTGAGCATGAAAAAAAATCATCTGCTGACAATTGTTTCCAGTATCCTTGTTCGAGAATGATACCTGGGCCTCAACTGGAGAAATTGTTTATAGCTTTCTCTGGTAAGGTGAAGGGAGGGAAAAGTTAATTATCTCTGACAGAGTTCAGCATCTGTCAAGAACAAAAATGCTTTTATATAGTACAAAATTTCAGATAATTAACATGAGATTATGTTGCAGGGGCTAAAGGGTTGTACAATGGTATCTGTCCTTATAATACTGAAATAGATTATATCTAATAAATTGGGAGAAAGAAATGTTGTGAGTATATTGTATCAGAGATTTTCATCCTGAGTTACCACCACAAGTAGAATTTAGTTGACAGTAGATGATACCCCAGCTATCTCTGTAGCTAATTCTCTTTCCCCACCCCAAACACACATAAAAATATTTTTTTAAAAACTTACGTTTTTAACCAATGATCAATGCTGAAAAGTGGGACATTATTATTAACAGTAAAGCTGCACTCAATAGTCTCTTTGTGTATTTTGTTTTCATTACTGTTATCATGCGTTCAAGTTGGTAATTGCCCAAAACATGCATGCAACTTAAGACTTGCACCTCTGAATTTAAGATTACCAAATCAGCTTCTTTTAGTCCTGCATCCTACATCAGATTGGCCACCATCTATGCTATTTGATTGATGTTTTATGCTTTAATGCTTCTGTATTAATGTTTTCCTGGGAAAACATAATATGGTAGTTTTCAGTGCTTACTGCTACATTGCGGTATGAATTCATTTTATTCCCATCACCGTAGATGCCATTATAACTGTTCTGGACTCTGTTACTGTCGTTGCTACTGGTAGAATACCTGCTTTCTATGTGGCAGATGGTTATTTACTGGCAAAATTAGGTCACCAAATGACAACGTTGTCCTTGGGTATAGGTAGCATTTTTTTTCAGCTCAGTAACAATTCTTGCTATTATATACAAACATCTCAATATTTTAGAGAGAATAAAATCAACATTTTGCCAAGCCAAATGCAGAAAATTGCTGTGAGCTTGCAGAAAGTTTAGGAAGAGAGAAAAAAAAGAATCAGCATTGCCCATAAACCCAGGGGACAATGCAAAATGGTCTGTGTTCCATATTCATCAATTTACTTTCAGAATTTGGACAGCTGTAGAGATGGATGGAAAAAAATGACAAATGACTTTTCTATGTCATTTTTGCAGGTTTCTTAGTTCCACTTGTACAAGAGAATTAACATTTTTTTAATGTTCATTTCTGAAATTTTGCAAATAGGATTTCTTTATTTTAGGCAAAAAAATTCTGTATGTTTTTTTTTTCCAAATCCAAACCTTTTTTTCTTTTGTCTTTTCATTTCACTCATTCGCAAATTCTGACAGGAAGAAAACAAAGCCACACTGATGGAGAACAGCACTACTCATTGGCAATTGATAGACTGGATGAGCGTCTTTTTAATCCTTTAGAAGAACCCCTTCTTTTAGGTAACTACCTACTGCGTATCCATTTGTAACATTCATTTATACCTAATTTTTTTTGTAATATATTTTATTGATTTTTTAAAAAACATAAATCACAATAATTGGTGAACTGTGTGTTGTCTGGATTACATTTGTAAAACAATCATTAACAATTGATTTCTATAATCCATAATCCACATAATGGTTTTAGTTGATTTCCTTTTTTCCCAAAATATCCTCTGTTGCAAACATTCAGTTAATACAATTCTTATTGTTTTGATAGATAACAATTGAATATGTAATTTTTTCCCAATATTCCTAAAAATAATAATCACATCAATATAATATTTCTTTTCTATCCAATCATTCTGGTTGCCTTATCATAGATCCTGTTACAGTCGTTATTTTGATTTGTTTCTCCCACCAAATTCTAGATATTCTTACTGCTTAAGATTTTCTCAAAAATTTAACTCTATTTTTCCATATGAACCATCTCACACTTTTACATTTCTTAAGGAATAGATAAAACTGGAAAAAAAGAAAGGAGAGCAAGAGTAAAGAAATATAAAAAATAACATACTACTTAAAATATATATCCCTCCTAAGCTAATATATATTTATTTCCTAAATTTCTTATTCTTTTTAACCATAATTAAAAATATGTTTAATCTTTAAACATTCCATTTAATATATCTAGTCATCTAGTCCTTTTATTCAAAACATTTTTTATCCATTATAATTTTCTTAAATAAAATCACATTTAAGTATCAAACATTTCCTTTATCTAAATCATTTCAACTTAGTCATTTCAACTCATATCAAGAAAGAGAACAAAAAAGGGAAAAAAGCATACTATATTATTTAGGGAATTCATCCTTCTTAGAATGACATATATATTCCAAAACTTTTCTATTTCTTTAACCATATTCAAACAAATGTTTCTTTTTTAAGTATTCTCTCTGGTAAGTCCCATCATCTATTTTCTTAGTTTCCACTTTAATCTTTTTCCTTTGCCCAGTATCTTTCTTAATCAATGTATTTTGCTGAATCAAAAAGTTTTTCCATATGTTCGTAAATGTTGCTGTAGATATTAAAAGTAAAGGTGAAGGTGAAGTGTCTTTGTACGGGGCTTCTGCCTTTCCACGTTTGTTGAAAATCTTTTCTTTTTTTTCTCTCTCTCTGCTTCTCTTATCATTTTCTTTCTCTCTGATGTTCCTGACATCTCTACAGTCCATTTTATCCAATCTGTTTTCTTGTCCTCAGATTTATTTTGTAGTCTTAAGGGATAAGTTGTTTTTTCCAATTCTTGTGAATTTTTTTCCATAGGATTAAAACATGTTTCCTTGTTTTGTTTAGTTTCATCTTTAAGTCTCTATTCTCAATTCTATATCCCAGTGATGGTGAACCTTTTAGAGACTGAGTACCCAAACTGTAACCCAAAACCCACTTATGCATCGTCGGGTGCCGGGTGGGTGTGGCCCATTGGCTGGGCGTGGCTGTGGTGGTAACGGCAGACTGGGTGGGACTAAAAAATTCAATCAATCATTTCCAACTTTACAAGTTTTTTTTCAGGCAAGAAGTTGAAATTGACTGATTGATTGAACCTTTTTTTTGTACACGGCAGCGGAGGCCTAAAGCGAAAAGGTTTTATGAAACCCAGCGATGGCACGCATGCCCACAGAGAGGGCTCTGAGTGCCACCTCTGGCACCCGTGCCATAGGTTTGCCACCACTGCTATATCCATTTATATGTTTTATCTGCTCCTTCTCTGTTGTTGTTTTCTGGGTATTGTTTTGGTAGAGTTAACTTAGAAATAGATTGATTAATATTTTCAAAGTTATTTTGGATTTCTTTGTGGTTTAAAGTCATTGTTATTTGAATTAGTTGCAGCATACTGTACATCTCCTCCTGTGAAGTATTTATGTTTTCTTGATATGTTCTTTACATGTCTCTGATCCATGAGGGCCAGGAATTTGAGTTTTTCTCTTCTTTTCTTTTCTCTGCAAATAGCTTTAGAGTCCCAATTAAATAGATATTTGTAATCCAAATAGTTCAAAAAAGATTTTTTTTCCAGAAATGTATAATTCTTTCTTTGTCTACAGCCCAGGATATTGTCTTTTTTATTTGTCACAGCTGTTCTTTGTTGTTAAAACTTTGAAGATCACAAACACAGATTAGCTTTTTCCAGGTTTTGCCAAGTCTTATATTAAAGTCATAGCTGTCATAGTCTTCATCCACCACTAGGTGTCAGCAACTATTTGTTTTTCAACTTCCAAAATAAAGAATTATCTTTGAAATGAGAGTCTTTCAAACAATTTTAGATTTATCCAGATTTAAGTTTTAAATTTCAGGTTTTATATTTATTTCACTTCCATATATTTTTGATCCTCCATAAAAAGATTAATTTGCCGCTTCCATTAGTATAAGGGTGGGGCGGAAAACCCCCTCCTTCCCTTTTGGAGGTATTTTGCTTCTTGGGGATCTTTTCCAGGAAATTAAATGTAGCATAGAAAAGAGAAGATCGAATTCCTCACCCAGTTTCAAGCATGCTGTTCACAGTTGTGCTGGTTAATGCTTTTGGACTTCAGTTGCTAGTAGGTTGGGCTGGTCGATCCAATATGGCCAGCCTTTCTCCTGTCGGGTTAGAAGGCTTTCCCCAAGTCGAACGGAATGGCTGCTGCTGTTCCAGAATTGCTGGAGCACCCTTCTTTCTTCGTCGCCTCTCCAGGGCGACATAGACCGATTTAGGGTCACCAGGCAGGGCAAAATTAGCTGTGGGGGTGCGGAGAATCCGCAAGCTCACAACTGGTCACTACTGTGCAAAACCAGAAAACCTCATTTATAACTAATTTATTGCTAAGATTTCTTCTCATAGCAAACTTATTATTCTCATAATGCTAAATCCAGCATAATGACTGACATAATACTAAATCTAGGCATCGGAAATAAAGCAGCTTTTTAAGAATAGGATAATTCTTAAATTAATATTTTCTCATATTCAGCCGTATTTCCTGATTTCCTTGGCATAAATAGTCTTGTGGATAATATGTGGGTAGAACTGTAAAGAATACGCCTACTGTAATGCTCATTCACCCTTAGAATTTATGACTTTTTGTCCTGGAGCAATAACATTATGATATATATATATATATATATATATATATATATATATATATATATATATATATGTAGGTCTTCGGTTGTTCGGGTTTTCTCCCGCGTAAAATTGGAAGTGTCTTGGCGACGTTTCGACGAAGTCCCATTCGTCATCTTCAGGCTGGTGTTTTCAGCTTCATGCTTTGAAGATGACGAATGGGACTTCGTCGAAACATCGCCAAGACACTTCCAATTTTGCGCGGGAGAAACCCGAACAACCAAAGACCTACATACAAATACCCGCGAAAACCTCAAAAACATATATATATATGCTGCTCAAAGCATGAAGCTGAAAACACCAGCCTGAAGATGACGAATGGGACTTCGTCGAAATGTCGCCAAGACACTTCCAATTTTACGCGGGAGAAAACCCGAACAACCAAAGACCTACATATATATATATATATATATATATATATATATATATATATATATATATATATATATATATATATATATAAAATAAAACACGATCACCGGGAAAGTTGAAGTAAAAATACTTTACTAAAAGTATATTAACACTAAAAAGTTGCCAAGCTTTCGCTGGGGGAACTCCCCAGCATCGTCAGGGCTAAAAGGCCATTGCAATAAAGGTGGTTTAAGTAGGTTCAAGTAACGTTTGCGCACGGCTCTTAGATCGTGTTACTGGCCCTGATTGGCCAGCTAAGAGCCAAGATGTGTCTATAACATTATGTTCTTTTCTTCGGATGCCCTTCCCTATCCCTCCACTATTGGTCTTTAGAGGCGTTAGTAACCTTACATCCCTTCCTCTTCCGATAATACCAACGTCTGCCGTGTCGGGGGGAGGACTTGATCTGATGCTTTCCTGTGTTTTACAATGGGGATAGGGCTCCACTAACTGTGGGTTAATATCCCTTCCCAATTGTGTATCTCTCTCCTTTGTCATGTTAACAGCTCCTATCTGGGTATGGTATGCCTCAACAATCAAATCTTTATTCCCCACCTCAGTCTTCCTTACATATGTTCCCTCCCATTGTTTGGCACTCAAACCGCTCTCATTACTCCTCCCTTGCTGATCGAGCGGGTTGTCATTCTATGCTTTCTCTCCCCTCTCCACATGGGACGCTCTCTTCATTGCTATGGGCAACCGCACACTCCGAGATTTTAGCACTAAGTCTTCTAGGTGTTCCGGCTCCATTAATATCGCTCCCTCCCTCCTGGGGGTGTGTGAGGCTCACATGGGGTTGTTGGGTGGTGCATGGATCGGGAACCCCCTCCCTTTCTTTCTCCGTGTGCGGGGAGCCCTGACGATGCTGGGGAGTTCCCCCAGCGAAAGCTTGGCAACTTTTTAGTATTAATATATTTTTAGTAAAGTATTTTTACTTCAACTCTCCCGGTGATCGTGTTTTATTCTTTTATTTATAATTATGCCCGGGAGTCGTATTTTTACCAATATTCTTGAATATATATATATATATATATATATATATATATATATATATATATATATATATATATATATATATATATATATATAAAAAATTTGGATTGCTAGCAAAGAATTAAGAGAGAACTGGAATAGCTATTATTATATACATTTAGAAATGTATATGATGTCACAGTTGTGACTGCTGCCTGTGGATGGCTCTAGTTTGAGCTGATACAAGGCAAAAGATTTCTCTCTCCCATATTTGGGCAACAGGGTGTAACATACAGCATTCTAGATATATATATATATATATATATATATATATATATATAGGAAGTTTTTCAGACAGATGTCTAATTGATTACACCTTGACATTTTATTTATTTATTTATTTATTTTAACTGCTATACTGCAGTTTTACTTTTTACAATCTCTTTTGCCTTGCAGCCCCCAACTAGGGGCGTTAAGCAGGCTCAAGTCGCAACTGCGAAACATTACAAATCCAAATTTCTTTATCTGACAAAGAATTAAAGAATTAAATTGGGAGACTAAGATGGCCATTTCGAGCTCATTCTGCTCTCTTCAGTTAGCCACACCCTTTATGGGATTCGAACCTGGGCAGTTTACATACTAGGCAGTGATTTAACCACCAAGCCACAGGCTCTCCTCCCTCTTTGCCAGCTGAGTCAAGGGAGTTTATGCAGGAAGTTTTTCAGACAGATGTCTAATTGATTACACCTTGAATTTTTTTTTTTTAACTGCTATACTGCAGTTTTACTTTTTACAATCTCTTTTGCCTTGCAGCCCCCAACTAGGGGCGTTAAGCAGGCTCAAGTCGCAACTGCGAAACATTACAAATCCCCCCCCCCAAAAAAAAGAAATTTGGATATATATGTGTGTGTGTGTGTGTGTGTGTGTGTGTGTGTGAATAGCAGACAGTTTTCAGGATCTGACTGTGGTCCCTGAATTGGGACCATAATACAAGGCAAAAAAGTTAAGCATTCATTGCCTCCTGCTTGAATTTCAGTCTGGATCAGAACTCCCATACCTTTCTGTTGTTTCCTTTTCCAAAATTATTGATTTATATGAACTGAACTATGTCATGTTTGAATCAATGTTTATTGCTTACATTTTTATAGAGATGACTTAATTTTGTTAAAAAGAAGTGATGTGAACTTAAACCCAGCTTACAGATGCCTCCCTCCAATGAGGAGGCTACTGAAATACATATACTTCTCAAAGTAGCTCCAGTTCAAGGATCTGGTTTTTTGGTTCAAAAAAGCCAGTGTATGCAATATTTTGTTTATTTGTTTATTTATTCTGGTGAAATTGATGGAACTTTATTAGGATTCCACCACTTTCCTTTTTTTTTTTTTACTTGATCTGCTAAACAAAGCTGCTATCACAAATTCACTTTTGCTGATTTTTTTAAAATTTGGTTTAAGTTGGAATCAAACTATGAAGACCTGAAGATCCAGAGCATACATTTGCTCTAAATTTTTTGTTTTTTAACCCATCTGCATATCAGCAAATTCAGAATCTTACATGATATTCAGGCTTGTCCAATCCAATGCCCTCTTAAGGTAGCCATTCTGGCTAAAATTTCATTGGAAAAGGAATCAAAAATAAAAGAGAGCTTTAAATGGAGCAAAAAATGAAGCAATTCTGATCCAAAGCTCCCCACAATGTTCACTGCTGCTTCATTGCCAGAAGTGACAGAGCCATTAAATCCATTGAAATGCTATATATTGTGATCTGAAAGCTGGTGAAAACTTTTGGGCAAGAGAAAATAGAGTTGCACAGTTACATATGTGGTTTACTGGAAAGGCATTTTTAAAGTGAAAGCTACAGTAATGCATGAAGATATCCACATCTGCATCACTGAGATACTTAATACTAAAAATGAAAAATTATTAGTAACATTCCCCAGACGGGAAAGGAATTAGTAGGAAATGTGGCTGTTGCTACATTGTCTGGAAAATATTTTTTTACTATAAAAGTTTTTTTACAGTATTTTTATATATATTACACACATTTTGTATAGTTTTAACATTGTACGCCACCCAGAACTGCCCTGTTATAAGATGGGCCAATAAATTTAACAAACAAACAGACTAGTGAGAAATCAAAAAGTGGAGCTGGCCAAACAATGATGCTTTTTCTTTTTATTATGGACAAGTTGTGTGAATATGGTCTGGGAAAGAAAGTGAAGTTGACATGCTGGTCACAGTTCTGAATGGTTTTTTTTTCTAATAATAGCGGAAACACCTGTCAATCTCTGGTGGTTTACAACCTGTGGGGCTAGTGGGCCTCGAGGACCAACTCAAACACAGTGTGATAGCACTTATCACAACACCAATATATCAGTGACTGTGGAAAAAGAGGGACATCTACGAGGGGTACAAATCTGGAAAGTGCCAGCGTCAAACCGATATACGTGAGTATCAGTGTGATGAGGTGAGGAAATAAGAATGTGTAAGAGCCATGGTGGCGCAGTGGTTAGAAGGCAGCCCTGCTGGCTACTTCTGCTGACTCCCGGCTGCCAGCAGTTCAGCAGTTCGATTCTCACCAGCTCAGGGTTGAGTCAGCCTTCCATCCTTCTGAGGTCGGTAAAATGAGGACCCAGATTGTTGGGGGCAATATGCTGACTCTGTAAACTGCTTAGACAAGGCTGTAAAGCACTGTGAAGCAGTATATAAGTCTAAGTGCTATTGCTATTCAGGTAGTCCTTCTCGACTTACAACAGTTTGTTTAGTGACCATTCAAAGTTGCAATGGCACTGAAAAAGTGACTTATGATTGCTTTTCATAGTTATGGCCTTTGCAGCATCCCCATGGTCAGGTGACGAAAATTCAGACGCTTGGCAACTGGTTCATATTTATGACGGTTGCAGTGTCCCGAGGTCATGCGATCACTTTTTGAGACCTTCTGACAAACAAAGTCAATAGGGAAGCCAGATTCACTTAACAACTGGGCTACTAACTTAACAACTGCAGTGTTTCCCTTAACAACTGAGGCGAGAAAAGTCATAAAATGCGACAAAGCTCACTTAACAAATGTCTCAAGAACAGAAATTTTGTGTTCAATTATGGCCATAAGTCGAGGACTACTGACTGTTTATTTAGTAACTTTTAAGCCAAGAAATCTAATGGCATCTCCCATGAGTCCCGATCAATATGAACAGCGGTCCAAGATGTGCTGAGAGGTATAGTCCGGATATATCTGGAATAGAGGCAAGATGGGCAGCAAACAAATTCAAAGAATTATAATAATTCTCACCTTCACCCTCTTTATTTCAATACAATAGCCATGTAATCCTTTCATTCAGGTAGGGCAGTATTGTTATTCCTACATTAAAGATTTTATATTTTCTAACAGTGTGTTTTTTTAAAAAATGCATAAAATCTTTAATGCAGGGATGAAAGATTTTAAATGTTATATAATGAAGAATGTGGAAAGAAAGAGAAGAAGAAGCCAATTAGCAGGGGGGCATTAAACCGGTGAAGAATGAAGTATTGGGAACCTGAAAGCACAGGTTAGGAACAGATCCTCATGGAGAAAATCCTTGCAGTTGGTAAGGGTCAATAATCTTAATGGCATACAATCCATCAATCACATTAAAGATGGACTGGATGTTTGTTTGTTTATTATTTTGTTAAATTTATTTGCTGCCTATCTCACCATGGAGCTATCTAGGCAGCTTAATTAAGATTATAAAAGGTAGAAAAATGAAAGGGCATGTAAAATAATAAAACAATAAAGTAAACAGTGCCAAAGAAACACAATGAGAATATGTCAATATGGTAAAAAAAAAAATGAATGGATGGATGGAGAGCAAAGAACAAGGGGGGGAAGTTCCAGTGGTGGGATTCAAATATGTGAACAACCAGTTCTCTGTGTGGATGCCACTTCTGGAAGTCCATTCTGGGCCTGGGCAACAAAAAATTAGCTACCGGTTCTGCTGAACTGGTGTGAACTGGCTGAATCCCACCACTGGGAAGGTCTAGCAGCCACCTCCGGCGTGGAACTCCCCCATCTGGCAGGGCCACGTCTTCAGGCTCCTGCAGAAGGGTGGGGGTAGATTTTACCTTAGAAGATAATATTGTTCCAAAGGGTGGATGCTGCAGCAGAGAAGGCTCTTCTTCTGGGTCCCGCTAGTTGGAGTTCTTTGACCAACGGGATCCTAAGTAGGCCCTCTCTGCTGGCACAAGTAAAACGGGCTTGTCCTAGCGGGACAAGACAGTTGAGCTGGACATCACCTGAATGCTCTTTGAAGACAGGATTGTGGCTGTGAAGAGTTCATGGTCGCAGTCACTTTGGAGCCTCGTTTTGAGCTGTAGAGTTTCTTCCTAATTGCTGTTACTTTTCTTCAGGATTTCAGCCTATGGAGCCGCTGGAGGGAAAGGAGCCAAGAACCACAACAAACGGTCTCATGGGATTTTTATCTCTGCTAACTTCCATCTGGAAAAAGATGAGCTCCTCTACCTGTTGGTGGGGCAACAAGGGGAAGATGCCTGCCTAAGGGTGAGGCGTGCACACTTTCTACTTCAAGCGCTTGGTGCACTTTGAGATTGTGACAAAAGGTTGATTGGGATATTTCAGGAGTCAATCTTCTCAATAATGATAGCTCCAAAATAAGAAATAGGGCACAAAGGATTGCAAAGAGGGGTTGTTGTTTTTTTTTTGGCTAGCTTGAAATTTTGTCATTCTTTCTGTTGAGTTTTCAATCAAGGTCTTCTTTAGTGAACCTTTGAACAATAAATACCATGTAGTATAGACTGTTTTGAAACCTAATATTGATCAGCTCTGAATGTATTTTAAACTACTGTAACTAATACATTTGGGGGGGGGGAATCCTAGTATATAAACAGAAGAGAGAAAATGTTAAAAGTGGCATTTTCGCCTAATGCAGGGGTGTCAAACTGCCAGTCTGTGGGCCGGATGCATCATGCGGAAACCGCACCCACCCCAGTTCCGGGAAGGGGAAAAGAGTTGCGATATGTTGCGACACGTTATGTGATGCGGCAAGTTTGACACCCCTGGCCTAATGTGAAGAATAAGTAAGCGTGATCTGTGTTCAGGATTTTCAAAAAGTGCATATTCTCTGCAATAGTAAATATGCGCAATCTATCATTCATTGATCACAAACATTGAAACAGATTAATATCATTTTGGAACAGGATCCCTAACCCACGGGCTGTGGCCCACTAGTGGGCCACAGAACTGGTCCATGGAAGCAGCGGGCAAGCGCACACATGCATCCCCACTTGCATGAGCAGTGAGTGAGCACGTGTGCATGTGCGGCATTTGCATGAGCCACAGGTGTGTGTGCCCGCTGCTCATGCAAATGGAGCTGCGCACGTGCACGTAGAACCATCCCCTCTTCCCCCCCCCCAGAAGGGTTGGGGAACTCTGTTTTAGAAGAATTGAGACTATAATTAACATGTTGGATTAGTTCTGATGAAACCTGGGTTCAGGTCCATATACAGTCACTGAAGCTCATTGGTTGATTTGGATCAGGCGACATGCTCAGTCTTCCAGCTACATGCACAAGTAATTCCTGGCACTTTAACCCCAGTCTGGGTTTTCTCCCACTTTATCCTCATTATCTGCAGATGTCTACCATAGTTTTTCATTCTGAAGGGAGCATCTGCAGTTAATCATTGCTCAGCATGGCATTGTGATACAATTAAAAAATGAGTTCCAGAACTATTACACTGAGCTCCTGGAATAAGGACAAAATCTAAATCTATCAACCAAAGAGATCAAAGATTCAAGGAGAAATATTTTCAGTTATCTGCGTATTTAAGTAGAAATGTTCTTCAGGTTTTAATTCTTTTTCTCCTCTCTGCTCTTTTCAGATTAACTATCACACTAAGCAGATTTGCCTGGGGGAATCCTCAGAAATTGAAGAAGAATACAAAAAAGCAAAGCGACTGACCGAATGGGCTGGAGGAGGGGGTGGGGGCGGAGGAGCCACCTATGTGTTTCGAGTAAGTGTTCATGTTCTTTTGCAAGCAGTTACTAAGGACCGCTAGCAATGATTTAGCACTAGCTAGCTATAGTTAGCAATATTTAAGGGCCAGTTGAAGCAGCTTCCCATCTGGAGAATATTTAAACATAGTGGTACAAACATGATGGAGCTCTGGGCAATCGAGAGAGTCATTGCAACAGGGGGATATCAAAATGTTCACTGCTGAAATGCTTAACAGCTGATAAATGATGAAGCCCCAGATTGAAACCTCCACCATGCAGTCCTAAAACAGCCCAGGACAATTTGAATTATGAATGACCCCTAAGTTAACACTGCATTCATTCCTGCCCTTTTTTTTTCTCCTTCTCTATATTGATGGGTTTGAATCGTTACCATTGCTGTTCAAAAGAATAGAGGCAATGGATAGCATACCAGTTTCATTGACATGGTTTCCTTCAAAGATTTCTGGGAACTGTGGTTTGCTGAAAATGCCGAGGAATGTTCAATATCGCACTTTAGTGTCTTTAATGCTGTTAAGAGTTCCTCAGGCAGAATTTTTTTTTTAAGCCATTTCAGTCAGTTCAGACAACTTTTAGTCCCGCAGCAGCTGAAAGACCCTCGCTTTTCCTGGCCCTTCCTAAACTATGCTCTAGAAAGCTTGAAATTATGTGATCCGGCTCTCCCGATTTTAGCGTCTGGTGTAAGAAGGTTCAAGAATTACTGGCAACACTGCTTCCCTCTCCAGCCAAAGAATGTCAGCTATTGCAGTCAGAGTTTTTATTTCTGTTTGGCGCTTGACTTTGAACCTTCGATGTTTCCTTAATGTTTCCTTGTGTTTATGTGTGTGTGTATGTGTGTGTGTGATTTCTTGAGCAGCAGAAGGATGGAGCTTTTGAACCTTTGCTTGTTGCGGCAGGGGGTGGAGGAAAGGCTTATCTGAAGGCGCAGGAGAGCTCCCTGGACGATGCATTCTTGGAACAGTATGTGAACAGTTCGGCAATACCTGGGGTCAATGGGAGAACTGGAGCAGCAGGTGAGGATCTGCTCTTGATAAGGGGCCAGCAGCTGAGAAAACAACATCTGCTGAAATTATGTAAAGAGAAGATACTTCACAGGAAATGAATTAGCATGACACTTATATACCGTATGCTAATTTTACATTTGGGGATGCAAACGTAGACCAGTTAGAACTTAATTTCACCTGGCGGTCTTTCTTGAAAAACTACAGATAGTCCTCAATTTACTAAACTAAACTTTAGCCTAAAATTTATGTTGCTAAGTGAGACATTTGTTAAATGATTTTTGCCCCGTTTTACGCCCTTTCTTGCCACAGTTGTTAAGGGAATCTGACTTCCTCATTGACTTTGCTTGTCAGAAGGTCGCAAGAGGTGATCACATGATCCCAGAACCTGCAAATGTCATAAACATGAGCCAGTTGCCAAACATCCGAATTTTGATCATGTGACCATGGGGATGCTGCAATGGTTGTAAGTGTGAAAAACGACACTTTTTTCAGTGTCGTAACTTTGAACGGTCACTAAATGAACTGTTGTAAGTCGAAGACTACCTGTATTTTGAAAAGAATACAAAGATACCAGACTGAATTTTAAGCCTTTGAAGTACACTCTATTAAGGGTAAGATTTCTTGTGGGTTACAATATGTGCAACTGTGCATGCTGAATCAATATTTTTAATAACCTGAAAGTTTTTGCAAGCAAAGGTATGCTTAGTAGTCTTTAAGATGCTTGTGAGTTCTTTTTAATGTCATGGTCCTTTCCATATCACTCTGAAATTGCCTCTAGGCATTATTTCCAGCTCTTTTCCCAGACTGGTTTCCAACTTTTGTGTTTGTGTGTGCCCAAGAAGGCTTCCTGTTTGCCATTCTTTGTGAAAATCCTGGTACCTTAGCTTTTTTTTTTTTTTAGCTAAAACTTTGTCCTGCTTTTTCTACGGGAATCCAAGGTAGCATCCAAAGGTATCTACCCATTATTTTTGCCCCACAGCAAGACCCCATGAAGTAGGTTGGGACAAATATCTATGTAGATCCTCGGTCATGGTTGTCCAGTGGTGGGATTCAAATATGTGAACAACCGGTTCTCTGTGTGGATGCCACTTCCGAAAGTCCATTCTGGGCCTGGGCAGCAAAAAATTAGCTACCGGTTCTGCCGAAGTGGTGCAAACCGGCTGAATCCCACCACTGTAGTTGTACCAAAGGTGCTTTTTCAAAAGGCAACTGGACTTGCTTTGTGTTGTCTTTGAAGATGTTTTGCTTCTCATCCAACAAGCTTCTTCAGTTCTGACTGAATGATGGAGAACGGAAAGATTTATATTCCCTGCAGGGAAATGACTGCAGGGAATATAAATCCTTCCATTCTCCACCATTCAATCAGAACTGAAGAAGCTTGTTGGATGAGAAGCAAAACATCCTCAAAGACAAAACAAAGCAAGTCCAGTTGTCTTTTGAATAAAGCACCTTTAGGTTGGAACAAGAGAAAATGACTGGCTCCATTACCCCGTGAATGCAACGCGTAGGAGAGGATTTTCCAAATGAAATTCAATGCATTGATTGTTCTCTGTCTGTAAAATCCTTTTTCAGAGCATTAATATACTAACCCAAGTTTTCTGTTCTTCACCATTGTCCTGGAAAGTTTTCTCCTCGCTGGGCAATTAAACTTAGAAAAACAAGCTTCCTTCAGCACCAAAGAAAGCATTTCTTTAGCTTTGTGTGAGAAAGAAAACATTCAGGGGCCATCACAGCACACAGGGAACTAGAGACGAACTCTTCACTCTCTGTCTGAAAATTCCTCACATTAGATTGCAAGGAAACTTAGAAAAACAACTTCTTAAAGCTATGTTTATTTCCCTGTGCTTTATTACTCTTGTTAATGTGCAGTTTAGCTTTGCTACATTGGGATTTTCTGAGGCTTGCAGCACTGGGGAAAGATGATTGACCTTGACCAGTATAACAGCAGTTGTCCAAAACAAGAATTAAGCTTTTAAAAAAGGTCTTGGAGTTTTGGAAGTAGATTCAAGGAATAAGGCCATTTGGATGCTTGGCAACCTTGATGATAGTTGGTGTTTGGCATTGGAAATTGGAGGAACAACTAGCCCCACTATATCTATACTATAAAATCCAATTGATTGTGAAATGACACTAGACAGATACACATCTACAGATATAAAATTTAAAAAAATTTTAGTGCCCTTAGTGGTCATTCAGATATTTGCAGCCTAGATGAGGTAGCCCTAAGGAACAATAGCCATGCCTAAAACGTTCAGAGGTAATCCATAGAAGTTTTAGGCATGGAAATAAATAAGTTGGGTAAGATTTGGAAAACTAAGTTAAATATATATGTAAGTTCAAATTGGTATACACACACACACACACATATTAAACCATTTCTATAATGTGACATTATATATATATATATATATATATATATGTGTGTGTGTGTGTGTGTGTGTGTGTGTGTGTGTGTGTGTGTGTGTTTTTCTGAGGTTTTCGCGGGTATTTGTATGTAGGTCTTTGGTTGTTCGGGTTTTCTCCCGCGTAAAATTGGAAGTGTCTTGGCAATGTTTCAACGAAGTCTCATTCATCATCTTCAGGCTGGTGCTTTCGGCTTCGTGCTTCTAGGAGCACGAAACGTTGCCAAGACACTTCCAATTTTACGTGGGAGAAAACCCGAATAACCAAAGACCTACATACAAACACCTGCGAAAACCTCAGAAAACAAATATATATAGTGTGTATATGTGATATATATATGTTTGTGTGTGAGAGAGATATACATATACACATACACATATACGTGTGTGTGTGTGTGTGTGTGTGTGTGTGTGTGTACTTATATATACTTATAATACAAGACTCTCTCTGACCTCTCTTGGGACAGATAAGGTCCCGTGCAATTTAGGAGAGATTAAGCCTTAGGTCTCCTAAGGCTAATTCCCCACTTGATCCCTCCTTCTTGCCTGGCTGGTAATTGTCCAACAAATGGAACCCCATAATTTATGGCACAGGAATTGCATAATAGCAAAATATTGGAAATAGGTTATAAATGTTTACATTAATGCTTATTAATTTGTTTTTAAAGTATATGTATTTGTATCTATTTGTGAGTTCTAACTGATTTGCAATTTCTATCTGTGAATGTTATTATCTTTCTCTTCACACTATATAGGGGGAGGTGGTGGTTGGGAAGGTATCACCCATTTTCCCTGGGCTGGAAAATCACTTCTGGAAGGTGGAGAAGGTGGTGAGGCCTGCCAACAAGCATTAGAGAAACTCCAGTGGACCACGTCTGGTGGTTTTGGTGGCGGAGGAGGAGCTTGTACATCTGGTGGTGGTGGAGGAGGCTATAAAGGTATAAAGCCTAGTTTTATGTTATCAACCTGCATAGCATTATTGAGTTCTCATCATTGCTACTATCACAGTAAACAGTGCATATCTGTATTCATAGTCAATGTACTTTCTGTTTCTGATAAACAGTTAAAAGGATATTCCCAGCAGTGTTTCATCATCTGAGAAAATCAAACCCATAAAATTTGAGGGTATAGCAAAGAATCTAAATATATATAGCCACATTGGTCCAGGATCTCAAATAATGCATCTAGAATGAAGATACAACTTTTCTACTAAAGGCTATTCTGAAACATAGAATAAAAACCATTTCCAGCAAATTTCAGGGGGGGGGGAACAGCACTGGGACTTCAATACAAAGATTCTCCTTTAATTCTTTCAATTTGGATCACTTGGCAACTAGATAACCTATGGATCCTTGTATCTTGTTAAATGTGTCTCTTTGGGTTTTTTTGTTTTTGTTTTTTGTAGGTGGAGATGCTTCTGAAACAGATGACATTACAGCTGATGGACAGCATGGTGTTTCCTTTGTGAATCCAATTGGGGAGATCTTCTTGAGCCCTCTAGCAGGTCAGATAAATGACAAGATATCATTTATCTTGTCCCTCAGGTATATTGATCTATTCGCATGTTCCTTCTGTATCCACTCTTTGGACAAAAGGAGGATTAGGGGGATTAAGGGAAGCCTGGAGATTCAAGACCACATAAGAACGATGCCATTTATCTGTGAACTCTGCTATAATGGAATCATTTTTGATGGCATTATCCAAACAGATTAAAAATACTTTCAAGTTCTTCTGACACATTAATATGCCACAGCATGTTTGAAGTTCAAATTCAGTCACCTCAGAAACTGCTTATGCAGCTTTGCCCCAGTGTGGCAGGTCTGAGGTAGCAAGTGCTGGCATGCACAAATATTCCAGAATTGGAATTATTTTCCATAGTAAATATATTTTCCAAAGGTTGGGAAAATACACATTTTGATTTAGTAAAAAATAAGGTAGTATTCCATGCTTAATGACTGAAAGCTTTGTGTATGGCACAATTTTTTTTAATTAGAATCCACTTTAGAATGCTCTTCAGTTAATGAAACTTACTGCTATAATTAATATGTTTATATTTAAGAGGCCACAAGCTTTTTTTGCCCTGTTGGAATCATGGAAAGCCAGTATGGAATGTTAGCTAAGGAATTCCGGGAGCTGAAATCCGTACATCTTTACAATGCTGAGGTTGAGCAACATTACAGTATATTAAAGTATCTGTGACAGATGACCATCCACCCCCTTCTTGATGATCTTTAAAGAAAGAGAACTCACCCCACCATGTGGCAGCCTGTTCTATGATTGATAGCGCGTATAGTCAGTAATCAAAGCAAATGTGTTTGCCTACCATATTTGGTTCTGTCTTGAAAAGATAATCTTCTGTTAGCCTTCAAGCTATGTGGCTATAATTTATCAGATGCTGGGCCAAAGTCTGATATTTATGATTGGAAAAAATATACAGATAGAAGATCTACTGAGGAAATGTCCCTTCTTCCTTAGCAGATGACACCTGTACCTCTTTTTAGAAATGTGCTTTTTAAAGAAACATTTGAACTATAATTTCCATCCCTTTCTTCTTTAGTTATGGAAAGTCATGGTGAAATAGCCATTGAAGTCTATGTGAATTGCAGCCATTGTCAATCAGGTATCTGCAAACAAGAACCTGGCAGTCACCTACCTGTCTGTATTTGTGCAGCTGGAGCCATCTTGGCTAATGACAATGTTTCCTGCACAGGTAAAATACGAAAAAGGGATTGCAAATAAAATGTTCCATTTCTTGCTTTCCCACCAAGCTTCACCAGGATTAGATCAAAGAAATAATTAGCTGGTTTAACAGCCATCTTTTTTTGCCTCTAAAATTGTACACTAAAACTGTTCATTTTGTTTTATTTGTGTTTTGTTGTATGTGTTTATTATTAATTAAATTTAATTTAAATGGAAAGTTATTTCAACAAGTGACTGCACATTTTGAACTGAGAGAGAGTATGATTCTGTATTGTTGCCATTCTAATTGTTGTAAACTACTTGTGGCTTTGAAGAAGTAGCATCTAAATTTTAAAAATAACAAGTATAGACCTTTACTATATTTCTTTAAAAATGTGTGGTAAAACTATGTAGTTTAAAGATCCCTTGGCAACCCCATTACACTAAATTCCCTAGGATTTGAGGGTGAACATTGAGGTTAACAATATGGCCTGTTCATAATATCTGCATTATGTGCTTTTCTCCAGTCCATGAAGCAGCATTAAAGTATGCTGCTATATTTTTCACTGGTCTATTGCTAAGCGTGTTGTCTTTGCAACCAGGACAGCTATTGGTGTTCTCCTCAAAGCTTTAATCTGGAACATTTAAGAAAAGAAGTTATTGAACTCCTGTGGTATCACCTGCCAGCAGGAAAAAAACAACCAGTCACTGCTTTTAATAGAAGAGGCAAGTTTTGATACTTGGTTAGACCAACAACTCCTAGAAACTCACCTGCTTTACTGGGCAGGATTCACCCCTGTAATGCTGCTGCTCTCTCCCACCACCTTCCCATCCCCTTTCTTGCCAGCCCTGCCAGTTGGAAGAGACATTGGAGGTCTTCTAGTCCAACTCTCTGTTCAAGCAGGAGACTCCATACCAGTGGTTCTCAACCTTTTTAATGCCACGACCCCCAACCGGTTGTAAGTCGAGGACTACTCAACTGGTGCAGCACCGTTTGCAGAATGGGACTTTTGGCGGGCTCAGCAGGGCAGAGACAGCCTGGACAATTCCTATTGGCTTTTGAAAGCCAATAGAATTAGACTCTATTCAAGAGAGTCTATTCTATTGGCTTTCAAAAGCCAATAGAATAAAAGGGACCAGCACAGCTAAGGAAAAGGGGGGCAAAATGGCAGACTGCGTTGTTTGGCGACCCCCATGAAATGGTCGTTCGACCCCAAATGGGGTCCCAACCCACAGGTTGAGAACTGCTGCTCTATACCATTTCAGACAAATGGCTATCCAGTCTCTTCTTTAAAACCTTCAGTGTTGAAACACCCACAATTTCTGAAGGCAAGCCATTCCACTGGTCAATCGTTCTCACTGTTAGGAAATTTCTCCTTAGTTCTAGTTCGCTTGTCTCCTTGATCTATTGCTTCTTGTCCTGCCTTCTGGTGCTTTGGAGAATAGCTTGACTTCCTCTTCTTTGTGGCAACCCCTGAGGTATTGGAACACTGCCACCATGTCACCCTTTAGTAATTCTTTTCCCTGAACTAGACAAACCCAATTGTCTTAATTCAGTGGTGGCAAACCTATGGCATGCGTGCCAGAAGCGGCACTCAGAGCCCTCTCTATGGGCACGCGTGCCATGCCCCAGAGATAGCAACAGTCCCTCTTCAACCAACCACCTGCTAACTCGCTGAGGTCCCATGTGGCCATCCCTCCTGGCCTCACATGCTCTCCTTTTCCCGGGCACGACCCACTGCATTGCCTCCTCAGCTGTCAGCTGGTCATCCAGCTCACAGGTGGCTTCTCTGAACTGCTAGTGGAGGGCTACGGAGCCCCAGAGTGTGCCAGTTGAGGGGCCGGCAGGCTATGGCTACTGACAGACACTGTTGCCCCCATGCACTCGCTGGCCTCTGTGTATGGGGGCTGATAGTGTCAGGCAGCAGCCACCCCGGCCCCTGCCTCGCCTTGCCCTGCGACAATGGCACCCTCGCTCTGCCTCGCCTTGCCTTGCCTCACCCTGTAGGACAAGCCTCCTGCCCTCTGCCCCACCTGCCAGAGACCCCCTGGATCTCCCCCAACCCTGCCAGCCCCCCACAGGCATCCCTCCCCATGAGCAACATCAAGGTGACCACGCCCACCTTGGCCACACCCACCCAGTCTGCAATGACCACCACAGCCACGCCCACCCAGTGGGCCACGCCCACCTGGCACCCAGCGATAAATAAGTGGGTTTTGGGTTGCAATTTGGGCACTCGGTCTCTAAAAGGTTCGCCATCACGGTCTTAATTTATTATAAAATAATATAGCATAATAAATAATTATTTATTATAATTAATTTATAAATGTATTTATACTATTGTTAGTTCATCTACATCCCATCCTTTTCCTCTGCATTATATCTAGTAATTTGGGTACACATTTGTGCCCTCAATCTTTCTTCTTTCAGTTTTCTATCACAAGGAATTGGCCACATTCTGTTTATGAACTTCTTAGATGTTAGGGTGGAAAGGAGTTGCTTGGGCTTTTTAAGAAACCCTGTTTAAAGTCTAAACTGAAATCTAAATGCTTACATGTCATGTTTTGTCTAGTTATCCGGGAACCCATTCCAGAAGAGCACTTGCCTCTCCCATTCCTCTTGACAGTGATTACTGTGATGGTGCTTGTTATGATTTTCATTTGTGGTAGCCTACCAATTGGTAAGTTGCATCTGCTGTATTTTGGGCATATCTGAATTCATTTGTTCACATCTCTGGCCCCTTTCAAGGATTTATTGATGTTCTTGGGAAGGAAGGTTGGAAACTGCTGACGGTCTGTAAAACAGTGCTTTGGATCCAGATTAATGCTTACTAATGTTTTGTGTTGGAGGATGTGACCTGTGGGGGGACAATTTTGTAGGTTTTTTTTCCTTCCTGTGAAGACTGCTGTGGCTTCCTGAATAGTTTCTTCAGAGGACCATTAGAACCGGAATGGAGATAGTGGGACAGAATGCAGAAAAAGAATCAGAATGTAAAAACTCTATTCCCTTGCACCCACAGGGGGTTCCCACTGGATCTCATGTTCTTTTCATGTTTGAAAGCAAATTTGAATCCACCTATTGCAATTGTGGGAGAATAACATGAACACTTTAAGGGAGCGTGATCACCTTGCTTTCACATGGGGCTGCAGTCTCATTGAACTACTTGATGAAAATAGTAACCGTGGATAAAGGATTTCTAAAAACACTAAACTGATTGAATAAAGATACACATAGGTTTATATATGAAACGTTTTAATTCATTAAAATGATTTTACTTATTTACTTTGTAATTTCTACATTTTCATTATAAGAGATGATACTAATGGGATTTCCAGTTTTATATGCCAAAATAGTTGGCTTTTTATCCCTGTGCAGTTTGATTTGAATCCAGGAGGTGTTGTTCATTGCATCATGCAGTGGGTGGTAAAGAATTGCCTTGCTTTTTATTTTAATATTATAAAAAAAAATGTCCAGTGAATCAAGTTGATATATTATTGTTCCATTTGGGATGAATGTCATTCCAAACCATGTGGGGAAACACGGCTTGATTTGCCAGCTAATCCAAAGCAAAGAGACTCAACATTTCAGTAGATGTAGAAGTCAGTAAGACAACAGCTGTGATATATAATATTTGTGTCTGTGTCTCTTTCTCTCTCTTTGTATGTTTCACACTGATGAGATTTTTTTATCTTACACATCTTTTTTTGATGAATAAGGGAAATAATTCAGTCCATCTGTAGTTAACATCTCATTTTTGGCTTTCAAGCCTAGGCAAAAGTTTTAAAAGAGCTTTCTGATTAAATAAGCAAACGTGCTTTTCTTCTAAAAGGAGCTACTTAATGCTTAAATCCATTCGTAGCCATGTATGCATTTCTGTGTGGTATATTTAATCCACCATCTGCAGCACAGTCCCCTTTCAAGCCACTCCTGAGAGTTGTGTTTGCTAAGACTAAATGTTGAATATAATGGGTTTTTTTTATTTTCCTAAATTTTTTGCTTCACCCTGAGAGAAAAAGGCTTGTATTTTGAAGCTTGCCATTGTACCATATTACACGAATTTCTAAAGCAATCATGAATCCACAGCTTGCTTGTATTAGAACTCATTAAAAAGTGTAATATTTCAGGAATTGGGGTTATTCCTCTCACCAATATGACTGTATCTGCTCTTGACCAAGGCACATTCTAAAAGTGTTTGCCTGATCAGTTAAAAAAGCTAACTTGTAATTCTGCAAAAATATAGTAACAAAATTTAAAAATGCTAGCAAAGAGAAATAAGTCTAAACATTTTGAGACAGACTTCCTGGAATGTTATATCTGTTGTTTGCGCGGCTTAATTTCTCTTTTCTTCTCAGATTCTCGTTCATGTTTTCTTTTCAGTTTATCATCGAAAGAAAAAGAGGCTAGAAGGAACCAGAGCCCATCTGCAGAATCCAGATTATAACCTAAGCAAAATCCGTACTTCTACTATCATGACAGATTATAATCCCAACTACAGCTTTGCAGGAAAGATGGCCACTCTCAGTGAACTTAAAGAGATCCCACGAAAGAATATTTCTCTACTTCAGTAAGACTTAGCTGCCCTGCGTTCTTGCTAATTTAGAAGGGGGAATTATAACCTGAGTCACCAGGAGTGGGAAATTGCACTAATTCTGACTCTTCCAGTTTTGAATCTCAGTATCTTAACAGGAAGGCATAGAATTCTGCAAAACTTAGTGATTTATTATTGATAAAAAATAATCTATAATTGGCCACTAGTTTGCCTAAACTAAGACTTTACATATCCAATTATCATGAGTGGCTAGGATTTGGGCAACATATAAATTTAATATATTATCATTGTTGTTAATAATAAAATTTTATTAGAATGTTAAATTCAGGAAAAAAAATGAGAACTAATATTTAGAATGAAGAAAAAGGAAAAGAAAGAAGAGCAAAGATAAAAGTGCAGAAATCAAAGAAAATGGAAAAAAAGAATTATAAAGTGACCCGGATTTTTTTTCAGCAGTTATAAGTATAGATATAAATTAACCTCTTATTCTATGGTTACGGCAGCGTTTATATTTTCTCTACAGTCTATTGTTTTTATTCTAATCCTCAAAACCATATATCTTTACTTCATTTTTTTTCTGTTTACCCCACAAATGACAAAAGGATTTTTCAATCATTATTAAACTTAGACAATGTCTTATATTGAATTAAAGCAGTCAGCTTGGCCATTTCAGCAAGTTCATTCTCTATTCATTCCTCCGTTAAGTGTAGTATGTCTATGTCTTCTAGTTGTACAATTTATTTTTATTTGAATATCTTTTTTTATGAATTTGGGCGACGGTAAATAGGAATTTAAAGTACTACACCCAGCCCTAAAAAGATTGCCAAGTAAGTCCAAGACAGAATTTGGAGAGGGTAGACTAAGCTTTGTTGAATACCTTCTGGTTCACAAAAAGGCTAATTCTAGATCAGCAAAACCCCCTGCAGGTACCAGGTGTGATGCCTTCAACAGTGGTTTACAAATAAAATGCTATTTCTTATTATCATTATTCCACTATCCATCCCCATGGATATTCTTCATAACCTCAACCTCATCCCAAAGACCTGATTAATTGATTGATTAATTATGTGTCGTGAAGTCATTTTTGACTCCTAGCAACCAAATAGATAGATTTTCTCTGACAATTAATCCCTAACTTGTTCTTTTAAATCGCCCAAGAGTGCAATAATCAGCACCGAAACTGAGTCCATCCCACCCTGCCTCTGGTTGTTCTCTTCTTCTTTAAGCCCAAGCATGGTTTTAATAAAATATTAGATGCACACAGTCATTTCTTTTGTTGAGAACATTCATGCTAGCCAGACTGATGCTTAAGCAAACAAAAAAGTGTAATAGAATGGGGGTTGGGATTTGACTTAGTCTCAACTCCTGTTGATCATGTGCTCAAGTCCATATAGTTTTCTTGGTAGCATTTTCAGAAGAAGTCCTTGCCCTCTTCTCAGTCCTGAGAGATGGAATCTGGCCAAAAGTCATTCATGCCTGTGGCAGAAATAGAATTCATAGCCTTATGCTAAGTAGCCTTTAGCCACTTCAACTAACTACCTCTTAACGCAACACCATTGCCCAGGGGATGCTTTAGGAGGCTCCTTTCATGTCCCTGATATTTTTCCACTGAAGTGGTACCTATTTATCCATTGGCATTTGCATGCTTTCAAACTGCTAGGTAGGCAGGAACTGGGACAAATAGATGGGAGTTCATTCTGTCATGCAGTTGAAAACCCGAGAGCAAGCTGTATGGCGGAATGAACTCCCATCTATTTGTTCCAATGACTGCCCACCTAGCAGTTCAAAAGCATGCAAATGCAAGTAGATAAATAGGTACCACTTTGGTGAGAAAACACTGGGGACATGAATGGAGAAGAAAGAACCTCCGTAGGTGCTTCTGACATGAAGGTGGTAGTAGTAACACTCACTAAAATTGTACATGTTATTATTTTGCTGTAATGGTACAGACATGGGTAAGAATAGTTTGGCTATTTTTGTCTCTTCTTTGTGATGTGTTCCTGAACCTACTGTAACAGGAATGCTGTTGTGGTCTGACAAATGAAGAGATGGTTGCATTTATAAAATGCTCATCTCTTCACAGGTGCTAATATTTCTAAACTTGGCTAAGAGTAAGAATTTCCCTTCCCTTGTGGAATGCATGTTGAACATAGCATTTGGACACACATTTATAATTGTAGTGCAGGAAAGAGAGCCTGAGTTTAGTTAGAGAGCTCTAAATCCAAGCAATTGTTTTGTGGGAAAATGCTAATGAAAAACTACCGCTATTTGCACGCATATTTCATCAACAATGCTTAATTTGTATATTAACAACCTAATATAATGGACACTTCCAACGGTTCCTGGATCTTTCAACATTTTGTAATCAGAAGTATTTACTTGGTGTAGATATAGGAAGGGTACAAAGTAACTGAATGTGTGTTTTTGTTTTCTCCCTCCCTTTAGGGAACTTGGACATGGGGCATTTGGTGAAGTTTACAAAGGAACAGTGGTGGGAATCACAGGAGATCCTAGTCCTCTACAGGTGGCTATCAAGGTTAGTGTCTTCAGCTAACATTAACTGAGTCTGACTCTAAATAACTTTACGGACTCTTGATTACTTTGGGTACCTATTGCCTTCTTCTGGAATTTTTCAAAACTTTTTAACATGGTCTTTAGTCATGAGATTTCATGGAGGATGTCTTATCCAGGAACTAACAATATCTGATTCTGCTTAGTTTTATTTCAAGATCAGTCAACATTAGCTAGACAGTATATCAGACAGTATCTATCATCACAACTAATGAATTTTACGTTCTTTTTGTTTTCTTTATTTCTGAAATGTTATCTGATGTTTCCATTATAACAAACGTCTGAGCAGCTTACAAGTAACCATAGCACGGTGCACCAAAAAAGCAATTCACATTTTCCTAAACAGTTAAAAGAACTGAGGCAATGGAAGCTAACGAGTACGTTTGATCAAAGGTATGGATAAGCAGAGCATGCTTAGCCTGACATCAAAAAGATATAAAATGTAAGGCCAATGAATTGTTTAAAGAGGACATTTCCAAATCAGAATGGCATCACCAAAAAGATTCTCTGTTCCCACTCAACTCTATTTTTCCCCTTTAATTACTCAATCTCCTGTATCTATACTGCTGTGCTTTGAATTGGAAGGTAAATGGGGGCAGACAATGAGCATCTCTGTGTGTTATATTGTCCATATCAGAGGCTTTGATTGACATCAATGCTATAATCATGTTTTCAGGATTTGTTTTAAATGGTTTATTCAAAGTTTTCAACTTTGTTAGTTTTCAGGGTGAGAAGCAGTATAAAAATGAAACACAACCAAAATGTTGTTTAAGAGTTCTGCCTTCCCATTTTCCTCCTGCTAGTAATCTTCCTTTGCAATTGATTCATTTTTTTTCCTTTTCATTTCAACAGACATTGCCCGAAATCTCTTCAGAGCAGGATGAGATGGATTTCCTAATGGAAGCACTGATAATCAGGTGCATTTTAAAACTTTCTTCTTAGACAGGATTGTAGTTAACATGGTGAACAAGACATAACTAAAAATCTGTCTCAAGAGACTTTATTTGCATTTGATTTTAGCAGCACCAATTTTAAAAAGACAGCAATAAGGTATGCATTATACAAGCCACATATCCCTAATTCTGTTCCAGAAACTGCCAATTGATAGTAGAGCTTTTAAGAGTGTTTCTGTAAAAATTCTAATTTCACGGTGTCCTGAAAGAAGCTAGTGAGCAAAAGCTTGCAGGCTGCTGAAATCTGGTTTTTATATATTGACAGTGCAATTCAGACTTACACTCATTCAAAGTATGTACATGCTGAGGACTTCTAGTGAGGACAAGGCAAATTACACATCTCCAAAGGAGTACAGGTGGCATTGCGGCAAAATTGGTGACTGGATATGTTTTTTCTGGTCAGCCAAACCTCTCTGAGTAACGTGGTAAAAGGCTATTGTTTTGACTTCTTTAAAGAAGATGTGATAGGAGAGCAATTTGAACCTAGGACACTAGAGGAAACCAAAAGGAAATAAAGATTACAATTAAAGAGGAAGAATATTTAATTTGTCTTACACAGAATGGAGCAAGACACTTTAATATTGGATGTATTGGAGGATATTTTTGAATACTGGACCAGAAATTAATTTTAAGAATATCTGCCTCTATAGATAAACTATGTTTAAAGGATGTTATGGAAGAGGAACAAGTTTTACTGGACAAGATTGAGACCAATCTGAAAGTGGATTCAAAAATGACAAGCTGTAAGAATAATATGGGAAAAGATACTATACTGTATTTGCAAATGAAACCAGCTAATGTCTTAATAATTTCAAGAGATATACAAAAGCAAACCCAAAGACTGATTTGGATGACTCTCCTGTACTGGATTTACAGAAGAGACTTTTCAAAGTTCTGAAGGGTTTGCGAAAAGGGACAAAGAAAAAATGAAAAGTAAACAAAGTCTAGAACATGATTTGAAGGGATTAAAAATCAAGACTGTTAAAAATAAAAGGAAGGAATATAAAGTGGATTTATTTGATCAAAGTTAAAACTGATATCTTGCTATTTCTGATAACTTTCATGGATTTTTGCTGATTGAAACTGAAGGATGAGTTTTGAAGGATCTATTCATAGATAAGAGATGAGATATGCAAGGTGATAAGTTCTTAAAATTGTTTATACTTTTGTGATGGGGAAGTCTTTCTTTATATGCTGTATTTCTTTTCTTTTTCTTTGTTATACTTTCACTGTTATATGTTTTCCGTTCTATTTTTCTTTCTTTCTCTCTGTGCACTTTCCATTTTTTCCATTTCACTTTACTTTTTGTAGTTTGTATTAGTTTTTATTGTATTAGTACAATCTTCAGTACAAGTATTATTAAAAATCAAAATATGTACATACCATCTCTTATCTCCAGTGTATGACTTTTAGATACTGGGCAAAAGTCGTCTGGGACTGAGGGATCCAGAGATATTATCAATATGACCACTACTAATATATTTCTTTTAAAAAGTCTAATGAAGTTCCATTGGGAACTTTAGCCAGCATTAGTAGAGGCCTAGCTAAGTAATTAGCTGGCCATCTTCTTCCTTTCTTTTTAAATTCAAAGTCCATTACTTTCATGTGCAATGACACGGGGAAGGATCACCTAGTTGATTTCAGGGCTTCATTGCGGCAATTCTTTTGGCAGCCTATAAATAGGTGTCTACATCAGAGTTGCAACGTAAACATCAATGCTCACACAAGACAGTGCCAGAACATGAGTCACTCCCAGGTAGATGTCACATGGCGGAGAACTATGCTGAATATACTCATGTAAAAGGATTGGACTGGTCAGCACTGAACACCTTCCTCATCTCTACATGTTGTTAGTTACATGTCGCTTGCTTTTTAATCACTGTGTATTCAGGTCTCCCTTTAATTGGACTCAAGATTCAGTGAGTGCCCATATAGTTTTGTTGCCAATATTAAATATTTTGTCACTGCTTTCTTTTAAGATTTTTAGATCTTTAACTTCCCAATTCCTGGTTGTCTCATATCCAAATATTGTCTATATGTGACTTTGCTTACCTTTTCAAGGTCAGATACATATTCTCCACCTAGGGAATATTATTTCTGTGGCTCTTATGGTGTGAAGGAAGAGTCAGAAAATGGGCTATAAACACTACTATTTGCAGATCTCCTGACTGGGAATTGTTGGATCTATAGACCAACATATCTTCAGGTTCTGACTACAGTATTTCCAATTAAAATTGGATAATAACTTTTAAAAAAAGAGGTGCTTCAGCATCCCAGGAGAACCCAAAGACTGAGTTGATTCTTCATGACAGGCAGTTTCAACAGTGTATTACACACACACACACACACACACACACACACACACACACAAACATTTTTTAATAGAAATGAGACACACCTTAGGAAAATTTTCAGCAGGTTTCTGCACATCAGAAAAGTACCTTGATTTATAACTAGGCGCTGATCAGCTGTAATTACTATCTGTCTCTCCCTAAATGCTTGGCATGAAAAACATTCCTAGAGCCATTTGTAAGAGATTGCTTCCCTCTTCAACTCCAACAAGTGGCTGAGGTCCAATCAGACATGACTGCATCCCTCCCAAACTCAGGGACCTCTGAGTAGGCATCCATGCATGTTTGCATTTTTTAAACATCTGTCCATTGGATACTTTCAAATATGTTCTTATGGTTGGCTCTTTCCACCATTCAAGAAAATGAGATATTACCCAATGAAGTGGCAGTGGAATATTTCTTTAATTATTCCATGCTGAGAAAGTGTAGTGTATGTTATTTTTAAAAAATAATACTTTTTAAAGTTCCCAAGTTTGAAGTACAAATCCCTAAGCCTAGAATATACAGGATGCATTTATTGAAGGCAGGTCATGCCAGCTGCAAGGAGGGGAAGCTTCAGAAATCAAAACAAGATTGGACGATGAAATTCCTCCTTATGTTTTTTCCTTTGTTTTTCTCAGGACTCTTCTCCCAAAATATTTCTGACTGTGTCTTTGTCAGCCTGTGTTTTCTTTTCCCCTCTTCACCATCTCTCCAAATAAACCTGGTGTATTTCTAGAAGGACTATCTAAGAGCACTTCTAGATAGCTGGTTTCATGTGCCATCCTGCAGTCCACAAAGTACCCCAGAATAAACTTGATCTGTCCCCATAACCCTTCTTAACACTGCTTCATGAATGAAGGTCTGAGGGTTGATGTCTTAACAGTTTACTGCAGCAAAAGGTGAGCTGCATGATTAAGTTCCCCTGTTAGCAAGAAAAACTTTCCTGAAAACCTCCTCAGTGTGGGCTGGACCTAATGAGGAGGGAAGTTCTGCCAGATGGCTAGAGTGGTGGGTTTAGTAGGCTGCCAGAACCTGATCTATGGGGTGGCTGGGGGATTTTTGCTTTTGCCTTACTGATAAGACCCTCCCCATCCCTGCAGTGCCTGCCTGATCCATGAGGGTGAGATGATGGAGATTGACACAGCAATACTGACTGTCGAGAGGTGAAAGTATGACTTCAGTCATGCTCTGTCCTCCCAGATCCCCCATGTAACAAGCTTACACACTGCTCTGGGGGTGCAGAAGGATGCTCTCCCACCAACAAGCATTTCTCCTCTGTGCAACCTGCCAAAGTTTTGCACAGAGGATATAGGTTGGAAGAGTAAACATTACTTCAAAGGGTCATAAGACCAGGCATCCTGTTTGTCAACCCCTACCCACTGTGGATGACTGCAGGGGATGGAGTGTGCCTTATAGGAGCTGAGCAGATCCTACTTGGTATTGCATTGTCAGCTCAATTGCAGCTGAATCACTATACAGTACATCCTGCAGATCAGAAGACTCCATTTTCAGAAAAAAACACATTAGCTAAGGATTGGAGATGAGAAAAAGCTGCATGATATATGGGTGTCCTTCAAGAATTTCAAACTGAAGCTGGAGAGATTGTGGACAAGCCCTAAGAGGAAATTCAGCCAACTCTAAGACCTCTGCAACCATTTGCTAAACTATAGTCTCCTGAAATCTTTTTTGGCTAAGTCCTTCAGTTAAAGACACAATTATAGTTGATAAGTGAGCTGACCTCCTATAATCTTAAAAAGCTCTATGGGTTGGAGACCTGAAAAGCAGGTGTGATGAAGAGGGCTCCTTCCATCAAGAAGCAACTTCTGTCACTGGGATGCATTTTCAATGAATTTTTTGAATTAAAATCCTATACACACCATTGTTCACACACCCAAAGCTACAGTAATACAAACTAATATAAAGTAAGGAATTAAAAAAGAAAGAGAAAGCAAAGAGAAAGCAAAAAAAGTTCAAGAGAAAAAAAAGTGAAGAAAAATAAGGAAAAAAGATATTAAAAAATAGCTTCCAGTATTCCTCACAACAATTATAACTACAATTATAAGCTTTCTAGAGTTACATAATACTATTTTTCTTTCTTTAATCTATCCCATCTAATCATCAAAGCATAAATCACAAGTTTACTTTTTTCATGCAAAAAAAAAATCTATTAGAAGCTTCTAGTTACCAATAAATGTAGCTTGAGAACTTTCTCTAATCAAAGTTGATGTTTCCATCTCAGCAAACTGGGATGCTTTCTATTGCCTGAACTAGGGAGGAGGCAGTAACATTTGCCATTCCTATTTCCTGAAAATAATCCAGCAATAATCCAAAAAGATGTTTGTCAGGGATGCTCCCAAAGGGTGAATGAAAAATCTGGACTCAATCCTAGCATAGCTTGCATATTGGGCTGCATGTAGTTCTTCTGGTTTTGACATTGCGGCGATGCAGATGCAGGAAGACGGGGCTCCGTCTTTCACATTTGGTTTCATCCTGCTGGGGGACCCTGGAAAGGGTCAAAAGTTGCCGTGTAAAGGCGGCAAGCAAGGAGGGGACTTTTGTTGATCGGGGGGGTGGCAGCCCTCCTGTTTGATCCAAGGAAGCCCTCCAAACGAGCTGGGGAAAGACTGGCTGCATTCGTGTAGCCAGTCCAAAGCTGCTGACAACGGAAGTTAACAAGCATTACCAAGCAACTTTACAGCAATGTAAATGAAACTGGGTCCTGATCCTTTCTTTATGATTTTAAGACCTCTTCCTGAAATTCTGCCCAAAGCACTCCCCCCAATGAAATAGGGAAAGGGAATTTCTGCCCCATTCCCTCAGAAAAGAAAAGCGGCAAATTAATTACTTGGGGAAAATGGCGAAACCTATAAGACTTATTTGGAATTAATATATACATACAGCTTGAAAATTTGGGGACTAAAAGTATTTTTAAGACCTTTTTTTAAAAAAAAGACTTGACAAGTTTACAATATAAGTTTTGGATTTAAAAACTGGAAAGCGGCGTTGATGACATCTAGTGGTGAATTATGGCACTACAACTTATTTATGCCTAAAAGAAACCCGGCTTGAAGTCCAGAACTAGATAAGACTTTGGCTGGCCTTGGAAGCTTTTACTATTGAGAATTGCAGCTAAGAAAAAAGAAACAGGCTTGGGGGCTTCTTATCTGTGTGGCAGAGATGATAACAAATATTCTAAATTTGGCCTATCTGAATTTTGAACATAAATATTGACTTTCAGAACTGTATTGTGGATTTATTTTCTTGTAGAAGAAACATATGGAACCCTTTGGATTATAAATCTTGATTGTTAAACAACCTTCAATGGTTCTTTTTTTCTCCCTGGACAGAAAGGATATGTTTCTTACTGGACAGAAAAATTTGAATTTTACTTATATCTGCTTAGGGGAGATTCAGGAATGGACAGTTGGTTGGATAAATCTACAAATGCAACTTACAAAAAAAATAAAATGGATGTTTCATACTCAGCTTTAAATAGTAAAACACCATCTTTAAAATCTGTTCCCAGTAGCCTTCACTTGCCATATCACCAAGAAATTACTGATGAAATACAGAAAGAAATTCTCTCCATGTTGAAATTAATACAAAAAACAATTACTTTAGCTTGTGAGCAGGTTAAAAATAATACAAAAGAGGTAAAAGAACAATTTTCTAATTTAAATCTACAAACTCAAAAAACAACTACAGAGAAGGAACAAGCAACCCAGAAAATAGAAGAAAAACTAGAGAATGCTGACACAAACATTGACGATCCAAAGGAAGAAACTAATGACCAGACTCAGATAAATGAAAACTCAGAAGACACAACGATAATATTGGAAACGGAAAAGACATTTTATAAACCAACATCGAACATACTGGATGACAAGGAAGGAGAGCTGATGAAATGGAAGATAAAGTCATTAACAGAACTGTGGGGAACTGGAGAAGGAGGGAGGTGGTTTAATGAATAGCAATAGGCTAGCTCTTCCAAAAATACTTTAACCAAATTGTTTCTCTTGTTTCAAATAATATATACAAAAATAGAAGAATTATTTGATGATCCAAAAGCACTGACTTAGAAAGTTAGTTGGTAAAGAAAGAAAGCTGGAGTAATATTGAAGGAAACAGAAGATTTGATCTATTAGAGGGGATGCTATATTATTAATTAGAGGTTTGAATATGGTTAAGAATAGACTGTTAGAAATAGAAGTATTATTATAACTAGATAGGATTTGTAATCAGAATATTATATCTTGGTATGAAAAGGGAAATAAGAATATGTTAAGAACTTTGAATTTTGGCTGCCCAAATATAACTTGTTTTGAAATTATAAATGATTGGGATATTTTGAACATGGATGGGAAATTAAAATTGAAAAAAGTGAAAATAGGAAATGGATTAAATAAGTGGAAATTGGGTGCAAATGCAATTAAGCTATGCTTTGGCTAGAAAAGACATTTTAAACTGATATTATTGATATTATTAGAAAAATGTAACAAATGTTGATATGCAATTGTAGGTTTACTAACAATAAGAATTATATTTGCTTAATGCGGAAAAATGGTTATTACCAGAACAAGAGAGGATGTACTGGCGGGTATTATAGTTGGAAGAAACTTATATGTACCATAGAATCACTAATGGACTCACTAATGGACTCAGTCATCACGTTGTCTATTGAGCACTTGTTTGTGAAAATAGAAAATTAATAAAACATTTATTTAAAAAATCAAATATTAGTAAATAACCCATAAAACAGTTCAGCTACGTCACAATTCTAATTATTGATAAATATATGAGATTGTTATATATTCATGGACATCCTTTCAGTTGGGTAACTATTGCCTCTTTGTAGAAAAGAACTTCAAAAAATAATTTAATCCTTTTCGAACAAGAAGCAGGGAGAGTTGTTTTGATTAATTATAAATTATACTTTAATTATTCAAATAATTGAATTATAAGTATTTATGTTTCAAGTTGAGGGATGTATGTTTTTACTTTTTACAACATAGGAAAAGTATTTAAGGCTCTCCACACCCAGAATTCATAAGAATCCTGGTCTGAAGGCCAAAACAAACAAAACATTAAATACATTGATTGTCCAAACAGCAATAATGAGTTGGTTGCCCAGAACCGTCTGTTTATGTGTGTCATTTAATGTCATGAAATGATTGTTTTGCCATGGATAAGTTAAATATACTGTAGCCGATGTGGTTTCATCTGCAAATTTATTTACACAGAAGGAAAGGGCTTTAAAATTTATTTTAAAGTTTGATTGAATTTCAAAGAGTGTTAAGTCCTGTTCTTTCCTCAGTGGTATTATTTTTCTACAAGAAGTTTACTAGCAATTTAACACTGTGGATTATAATGAGAGACCAAATCGTATCAACAGTTCATGCTTTATGTACTCACATCAGCATTTCTTCACTGAGAAACCTAATTATACATATGTACAGATGGCATCCATCTTGGGATCATTATTTTTAAGAATGTGATGATACAAGCATTTTCCATCTAAGTATGGAAATCATATCTGCTTTTTCCTGTTATCAATCCTGGGGATATGGGAAGCAGGTGTGGGCTAAAAAGGTATCAGCATCATGGCAATTAGGAGAAGCTTAAATCTAGTGGTTTTGGCAGAGATTGTTCCATTTCAATTTCAACAGCATTATTTTTGGGGGTCTCATTTATTTATCATATCCATAGCAACAGTTTCTTTGATAAATCTAAGTGATTTACATGGTAATCATCCCTCATTTTATCCCCATAGTAACCTTGAGAGGGAAAGTGAACTGAGAGAAAATGGGATTGGCCCAAAGTCAACCAGTGAGTTCCATGGTTGAAGAGAGTTTAACCTGAGTCTCCCTGGTCCAAATAACATAACTGCTGTGCCATTCTGAAATGAGGAATGAGACTGTTTTTAGCTAAGTTATACTCTCAAGCACATAGATAAGATCAGTCACCTATTTTTGCATCTAATAATTACCATATGTTCTCCCCTTTGCCATCTTAAAGACAGGGAAGGTGCTATGGAGAGAGAAGTTTCCATAATAGTTTAGAACAGGTTCAGGCCATATTTTGCACCAAGCAGTTGTCTACTTTTTCCTGGTCACTGAACGGCACAGAGGACGTGCCAAGGATGTAGAATGGCCCAGCTGCAACCTGAGTCTGCTTTTTAGAAAACTAGGATTTTATTTTAGTAAAATAAGTGTCCAAAGTTTATCACAGCTTTAGTACTCCCATTTGACTGGTTATGTTTCTGGAAACAGTCAAGACTTCTATTGCCATAATTTGTTGCCAGATTTTAAGAATGGAATGTTGGTGAACTCCATGGATTACAAAAAAAAAAAAGCTTTGAAAATTTAACACATGTGAGAATCAATGTTCTACTCAAAATTAATCTTCTTATATAATTAATCATTGTCTATAGGCCTTTGGGGGGTGGGATCTGATTGGTCTAAAATCATTCACTGCATAGAGTTACAATTAATCAGAATTTAATGAGATATTAAATTTAAATTGCTATCAAAGCCAATATCATTTTTTCCTCTCCTCTGCTTTGCTGCTGTGTGGTGGCTAATCTGAAGTAAGTTCAGTCACCAGAATATAGTGCAGTGCATTGGGGTGAGCCTGCAAACGTTGCCTCGTTTTATCCTTTTGGAGCTGATGACTGGAGGAGATATGAAGAGCTTTCTACGGCAGAATCGGCCTCGGGAGGTGAGTCAGTTCTTCCTTTTCTCAACCTTCTCCCGCTCTGGCATGGCATCCAGTGAGCTGTTGAAACAGGGTTTATTTTCACACTATTGCACAGCTTGAATAAAGTAGCTGCCATATAGGCAGGTTTAGTGACTGTCTTGTTTAGTGATCATTTGCAGTTGTGATGGTGATGAAAAAGTAACTTTATGACCAATCTTTACATTTTTACACTTTGTAGGTCTGTAAAGCAAAAGAAAGCTGATGTAAGATGATAAGCATAGTCATGGTTTCACTTAGTGACAGTTTCATTTAACAATGAAGTTGCCAGTCCCAGTTGCGGTCGTTTAGCAAGTACTGCCTGTACTCATGGATAAGGCAAGAATTTTAGTTACCAGAATACACCCTAATAAAGCAGAATATTTGTAGCTCCGGGTTGAAATGAGAGGTCCCTGGTGCTCTCTGAGCTTGGTTGTTTTCTTGCAGATGTTTCATTACCCAAATGAGGAAACAGCCTCAGTACTAGACCACTGCATTGACTAGCACTGATGATGTTACCTAGTTTGGATAATGAAAGGTCTGCAAGAAAATCACCAAGCTCAAAGAGCACCAGGAATCTCTCAGAATTCACCCCCAACATTGAGTTCATTTTAGCCACAGATGGGATTATCTGCAAGTATGTAAGGTATTTATACATGTTTTATAAAGACCTGGTTGAGTTTGGAAGTGTGGGTTGCCCTTTCTGACCAGGTTTCAAGTGTGGCTAGGCAAACTGAGATTTCAGTTTTACATTTGTCTTTTTATTTATTTATTTTTTTGTAAAATTTATTAGCCACCTATCTTGCGGCACAGTAATTCCTTTTTTTTTTTGTAAAAAATTTTTATTTTCAATTTTACAATACATTACATTCATAAAAATACTTCAGATAAAAAAATAAAACAAATTGATACACACAACTTTCGGTATTGCTCACCCATTTCCCCCCAAACCGCATCCACCCTCTAACCAACTTGCCTCTTTCCCTCTTCTTCCTCTTCCTCACTCTCCCCCTCTCCTCCTTCTCCTCAACCTTCCTACTTGCTTCTCCCCTTCTTCTATCTTCTCGCTCCGGATGCGGTCCAGGGGAAATGCCCGAGCAATTCCTCTCTCCAAATTAAAACATCAATATTATATACAATAAAACGATTTCTACTTATCTGAGCTACTTAAACTTCAACCCATCCTCCCCCACCCCCTGCGTAAATTTAACATTTAACATTTCTAATCCAAATTATCTCCCATAGGTCCAATGAAATCGGTTCCTGAATATTCTGGGCCCATTTAATCATACAATCTTTTACTAACTCTGTTTCCGAATCCAATTTTATTAACTCATTGTACATTCTTTTAATATGGGCATGTTTCTGATCCTTAATCTGAATTACCAAATTTTCATCTACGAAAGTAGCGGCACAGTAATTCTTTAATGCTTGCATCCTTCACCATCTTAGATATAAAGATTGATATGCTGTTCTCTGTTGTTTTAAAAATAAAAGATTTTATATAAATAATAAGAACTACATTTAAAGAAAGAAGAAAGAAAAACATTAGTAAAATAAATGTGTAAAAAAGAATAGAATAGAAAAGATAGAAAAAAAGAAAAAGAATATAAAAACCAGGAAACATGAAGTATATATATGTGTGTGTGGCTTCCTATCCTCGTTGGCAGTTATGCATACAACTCTAATCAAACCATTTTGTCCAACATTTCCTCGTAATTCCCTTCTCTCTATAACCTATTTTTTTCCAATCATCAACAAGATTGCCACGTTGTTTTAAAATTATCTCTTGCCACGGGTTGGCATGCTGCACAATCCTAGCTGACTTTCTACATGCATAACAAAGTTTGTGGGATTGACATTAGACACTCTGAGCCAAAAAAGAAAAACTTCAAAAGTCACATTGCCCTCTTACTTGAAACACTCACCCCAGGATATGGTGTATAATAAGCATGTAGTGCTTCAGAAAAATAACCGAAGAGATGTTTATTTTTTTTTTCTGGAAAGCACCATCTTTCTTGGCTTGAGCTGGCAGGGCAGAAGGCATAGTGAGAAGGGAGAGAGAGAGAGACAGCTTTTCCATTTTTAATTTGGTTCTGTTCCCTCTATTTTTATTCATTCCTTCAAATGGGAGAGAAACAAACTATGCTTCCATCTGAAAGGGACATCAATTCTGAGCTGAAGGAGATCACTGTACCTGACATTTCTAAGCAAGGTCAATATTTCCCTATCTCTTTTCAATTTCTGAAGCAGGAGAGGTTGACACTTCAAACAGGTCCTGGGCACAATTAAACAATGTAAATAGTTCTTTATGTCACTTCCATCTTGATTGGCAAGTGGTCCTCATTTAATGACCACAACTGGGACTGGCAACTCAGTCATTAAACAAAGGCGGTGGCTAAAGTGAAATTGCAATTGTGCTTAAGATCTTACTTCAACTTACTTTTGCTTTAAATTTATGAATTCAAGGATTGTGAAATTAATTTGTTCAATGATCATTGTAACTGTGAATGGTTGCTGAATGAGGCAGTTGCTAAACGAGGACTATCTGAATTTAATTTTCTTTGCCTTTTTCTTTTTCTCTCACAATGGCATGCCATACAGAATCAGCCATCTGCTTTAACCATGCTGGACTTGCTCAATATTGCCAGGGACATTGCTTGCGGTTGCAAATATCTTGAGGAGAACCACTTCATTCACCGGTAAGTAAAGTTCTTTCACATAATGATTGAGATGTGCTTTTTCCTTTGTTGGGTTCCCATGGATCTCTTTTTAAAAAAAAATCAGTGGCCCTGCATAAGGTTACATTGTCCAAGTTGTGTCACTTGAAAAAAAAAATCTTTTGCTTCCAATTTCTTATGACAGAACTATGGAAACTTGTGATTAGAGCATTTGCTGATCGTGCTGCTATTGTGCTGTTTCACTCAGGGGTTCCTTCATTAGTAATCACCTAATGCCTTCCTACACTTCATCTGTGTTGTTGTTTTCTTTACACAAGCATCCAGAAGGACAATAAGATGGAATAGCTGTTTACTGTGTACTAATATTGGGATGAGTACTTTTGGAGGCATCCAAAGTGTTTCTGGCAGATCTGCTTCAAAACAGATAAAACTTTGTTCCATGGAACAAGTTATGAGTTGAAGAATCATGACTTTCTAAAAATCTCAAGCAGAATTCTCATTGAAACTAACAGCAGCTACCTGCAGTAGCCTTACTTGGTGCTATTTCAAGTAACTTATGTAATCACAGTTTGATCTATATTTCTTTATTTACTATCCCAGAGCAATATTTTAAAAATATAATATTACAACATATCTAATATAAAATAATGATGTAAGGTAAATTATACAAAATAATAAACTAAAACTTATGTCAAAAAGCCAAATGCAGTTTTTATATTACCTTATGCTAACTTCAATCTTCCAGATTCCACTAGATGGCAATGTTGCCTCAGAAGACCAAGTTGGCATCTCTCCCTTCCACCTTGCCTGTTTCCAAAAAAGCTAAGCAGAACTGGATTTAGTACAAGGCAAACTACTTTCATATTACTGCTGAGAAAATTCAGCAGTGATATGGAAGGGAAGTGTTTTAATGTGACATCTGAAGGAAATTACTAGCTATCAGCAATGTACAAAGTATGAGCCACATCTCAGTAATGCAGCTATAAAGAGGTTGTCTATAAATATGATAAAGATACTAATACTGAATTGACTACACTCCTATATTTGGAGATGACAGATTTTTGCAATGTGGGGCCTTATAGAAGATTTTAGCCTCCCAAAACTTACAACTAGCAAGGCAGGTTTAAAAATATGGTTAGACTACACTTGGTGTCTTTCTTCAGTGTTCTGTACGTTGGATGGGGCTGACACGTGTTGGAATTTCATGGTATCTGGAGGAATACATGTTACCCATCTCTTCTTTAAATTATAAAATCTGTATTGGCCATGTATTGACTGATTTATCACAGGATGGCAAAGAAGGACCAAGCTTTTCTCTCCATTACCTGAGGCATCTGTCATAAGCAGGGGGTCAGACTTGTAATGAAATGAAGCCATTTCATATAAATCCTGTTTTCCTTCCTTCCAATTTCCTTTGCAATATAGCTTTAGAAAATGAGCATTTATCAAACTTTTTTTAAAAACAAAAATGCTCACCGTATTTGCTGTTAATACTGACAGTTTTGAGATTATAATTATTGGGATTAGGCGAGTAGATCGCCCATGGGGGGGGGGTGAATAAAGATTCTGAATTATTCAGCACTTTAAAAAAATGTACTTAAAGCAGTGAGTGCAAAAAGTGTATCTGAGCAATTGCAAAATTTGTTTAATGAGGGGTATATATCTCTTGAAAGCTAAAAGTGAGTCTTCAGAACTGTGAGTTCCACAGCCTACTGAAAATCTTCAGAAACATTTTGCATATTTCTGGTATCTAGATGTCACATTAAAAAATACTTCCCTTGGATCCAGCTCAACACCATGTACCAATAAAGGAGAATATTTGTAGCTCAGGATTGAAATGAAGGATCCTTGGTGCTCTCTGAGCTTGGTTGTTTCTGGCAGACATTTAATTACCAAACTATTACCACAGCCAAGCAGAGAGAGCCCCAAGAACCCCTCAACAGCATGTAGTTTTCTCAGCAATAACATGGAGATGATTTGCCTTATACTAAATCCAATCCTGCTTTGGCACCAGGAAGAATGGATATATTGCTGAGACTAGTCACATTGCAAACTATATTTCTATGGTGGATTTTGCACCCTATGAAACAGGCTTTTCAGGGGAAACAGTATTTGACTGTTTGAATGTAACAAGGCAGTGGTGGCGAACCTATGGCACGCGTGCCAGAGGTGGCAGAGCCCTCTCTGTGGGTACATGCACCGTCACCCCAGCCCCACCTTCCCCCACGGCCCCCTCCTCCTCACCAGCACCCCCCCAGAGGAAAGTTGCCCCCAAGCACGGTCCACGCAGAGCAGCACAGCCCAGGGCATGGCAGCCAGGCAGCGGGGGCAAGACTCTGCCCTCGCGCCCTGTCACACGCTGCTGATGCTGCAGGGCATGTGTGGAGGGCGTGGTCACCATGGCGCTGCTGGGCTGCCTGAGCGATCTGCTGCAGTGTGCTATGGAGGTGGGGGTGGCCATGCGGGTGGGCTTGGCGCAGAGCGGGGATTGGCGGGGAGGTGGGGGCGGGTTTCAGGCACTGGGTCTCTAAAAGGTTCACCATCACTGTAATAAGGTGTTAGAAGAACAACAGAGCTGTTCTTGTAAAAGTGAGCAATTATCTAATTCTGAAGTCTTTTAAAATGACTAACTTCCACTTTGTACACTTGTGGCTCTTTTTAAAAGGGATATAGCTGCAAGGAATTGCCTTTTGACCTGTTCTGGTCCTGGACGAGTAGCCAAAATTGGTGACTTTGGAATGGCCCGAGATATCTACAGGTAAGGAGAAGGGAAGAGAGATTACTAAAAGTTGACTTGAGTGTGAAGAAAACGTGTCCATGTCTAAAAATATTGAATTGAGAGAGCAATCGACAGCACTTTTACTTGATTATGCAGCAGTGGAGACATTATCCATTGAACAATCCATGGAATAGAAGGAAAGTAGAATGATAGGCGATTTATTTATTGATGCTAGTGAATGTTTAATTTTAGGAATAGACGTTCAGACTTACTTGTGTGAAATGCAGTCTTGCGGAGAAAATGCAGGGAAGAAAGAAAGAGTGGCTCTTTTTGCTGCCTTACAAAGCATCTTCTTTTTCTTACTTGGCCAGGGCAAGCTATTATCGCAAAGGTGGGCGAGCCATGCTTCCGGTCAAGTGGATGCCTCCAGAAGCTTTCCTGGAAGGCATCTTCACTTCCAAGACAGACACCTGGTAAATAACTTTGCTTGAATCTTGGCCTGTGGAATTGGCTTCATAACTGCTGAGAAGTCCATTCAAAGCATTCGGGAGACTTATTCCCAGCTAACTGCAGATAGGACTACAGGCTAAATCACTTTTTCAGGATGAATAGAAGTGGTTGGGACTGTTGTGGCGGAAACAATATTTTGCTAGCTCCTGTCCACAAATAATGGAAGGGTGGTTGGGAATCAATGGAAGAGACTGGGGTAAAGAGCTTTGAAGGTGCTAACCTGAAGGATAAATACTCTGAATTCATTCATGTTAGGTCCTTTGGAGTGCTGCTTTGGGAGATTTTCTCTTTGGGCTATATGCCTTATCCATGCAAAACCAACCAGGAAGTATTAGAGTTTGTTACCAGTGGAGGAAGAATGGACCCTCCCAAGAATTGTCCTGGACCTGTGTGAGTATGATGGCTTTATTCAATAAAAAGGGGGACATTCAGAAAACAGTTCAAGATTGTTTTTAATATGGCCAGCCACTCTTTAAAGTTTAGGATTATCAAAACCACACCAATTTAGATAAATGTTGTGCTTACTTCCTACCCACATTGGAGACTATGCAGACCACACACAGAGAGAGAGAGAGAGACATATACAGAAAGACACAAACAAATCAGCTTTATTTTCCTTAAATGCATTAAGGAAATGAGCAAGGAGAGAGTTAAAAAAAAAAAAGGAAGTTTGTGCCTGATCTCCTATTATAGTTGGTTGAAAAACTTCTGGCCCTACTTTTTGTCATAAAATTATGAACATGATCCCCATCTGAATATTTGCTTCTGACACGAGTGCTTGTGAATCATCTCAGAGGGAGATCTCATGAAGGCATGACCAGCATTATTTCACTGGACCCTTTTTGAAAGTCCCTGCTGGTGCTGAAACCTCACCTTTTCTAATAAAGGGGAAACCTTCCTCTCTTCATTTGTTTGAGGGAATTTATCCTTTTTTTCAATTTCTTCTCCAAGCTATCGGATCATGACACAATGCTGGCAGCACAGTCCTGAATACCGTCCAAATTTCTCTACAATCCTGGAAAGGATCAAGTACTGCACACAAGTAAGTGGTCTTCTTGTGCAAAAAAGCTGACTTATTCCTGCTTTATTCTTTAGAGTAAAGGTTCCTCCCAGCTCTATTCTGATTCAGGTTTTCTGAAGAATTAGAGAAATTTTTATGTTCAGAGACATAATTGATTGTAATCAGAAATTAAAATATATTTTCTTCACTTCTGGTAAACGTTAAGAGAAGAAAGTTGGGCACACATACACATCATGCTTACTACGTCAGTTAATCACCATCTCTCTTCCAGAGCATATGTGGAGAGATTCTCAATCATTCAGGTTATGGTTGTCCCAAAGATGCTTTTTCAAAAGGCAAGTGGACGTTATTGTTTTTTCCTTGAAGATGTTTCGCTTCTCATCCAAGAAGCAATTCACCATTCACCATTCACTATATTCACTTCACCATTCATTCAGAACTGAAGAAGCTTCTTGGATGAGAAATGAAATGTCTTCAAGGGAAAAAAAAGCAAGAAAGCTCACTTGCCTTTTGAAAAAAAGCAATCTTGGGACTTCCAGAGCATCATTTCTAAGTTAAGAAAGAACATGCATCTATGGATTTTGTTTAGTTTGGTCTTGTACAGTTCTGTGAGAGAGTGTTAGCTAAGTGCTTTAACAAAGAGGAGTACAAGAAATCCAACATCTTGATTTGTCTTTTAGGACCCCGACGTGATCCATACTGAATTACCCATTGAATGCAGCCCCACTCCCGAGGATGAAGGAAGCACTGTGCTACATACAAATAGCAACACAGGGATAGTTCCTTTGCTTGGGAATCAGTGCTCTCAGATAAACCACCAAGCATTTGAAGAACATGATTCTGGGAACAAATATGGACAATGTCCCCAAGAGTTATTAGTGGAGAACCTTAGTAACTGGAGAGCAAGAGGACCAAGCTTACCACCGTTCAACTATTCCAGCAGTGGGGCTTGGGCTCAACCAGTCTTAAACCAGAATTTGGATTCCACAAGTCAATCAGCACATAAGTTGAAGAACAAAACCAAAAACCTTTGGAACCCAACGTACGGATCCTGGGTCATGGAGAATAATTGCCAATCCAGTCCCAGGTCTAAACTCAACACAATGCAAGAGCGAGAAGATTCAGGATTTGATGGGAATTATAGTCCCTCCCCTAGTTCTCGGACATCACCTTCATCTCCAAGTCAGAACCATTCCCCTCACATTGATATTGGCGGTATTGAACTGGTGAAGCTGCAGAATTTCCCTTGTGGCAATGTGAATTATGCTTATGATGACCTCTGCTATGAAATAGGTCACCCTTCACCTTTGGCTGCAGAGCCAGCCACAGTCATGAGGAGTGGAAGTCTGCACAGTGATAGCAACCTTGTTTTCAAGACAGAGAAAACCTCAAGGGAGAGAGATTCTGGCCTCTCCTTGTCTGGTGATCTGAATGTTACTCCTATATAACGGGATGCTGAAGAATCAGACCTTCAACTATGGATACAGCTACAAGAGCAATTAAAACATCCTCCATCTCTATTCTTAAATTAGGTGAATTAATACCCTCCTTTCTTATGAATGCCCAATGAAGCAGTTCAAAATGTAACATTGATTCCAACCTATTAAATTTGTGGTTACAGAAAGAAACAATGTCCTTGTTACAATGGTTCAGGGTTTAGTTGGAAATGGTCATACCCAATCACCTCTAATAAAAATGATCTGTATCATAAAATAGAATATATACGAAATGGCAAAACCAATAATTACCAGTTTAGACCAGTGATCTGTAAATTATTGTACTTTCCAAATGATTTATCATAATACTGTATGGGCAATTAAATATATTTAGTTTAATATGTAAATGCAATATTGGAAAATTAATAAAAAAAAACTTGGACATGAAAAAAAATAAAATAAATATATTTAGTTTACTTAAGACACTAAGGCCCAAAATAAATGGTAACAAAAAAGCTAGCATTAAAGAAGTACAGAAATTATCTGTTTTCTGCAGAAAAAGCACAGAAAACAAATAAAAGGAGTGTGAAGGGGCAAACAGAACTGATGCCTTCCTTTTCATTACTGGAAATGGTTTTGCTTCACAAAGCCCAACTTAGGTCTCAGGACTCGGAATTATTCCTCCTTAGTTGTAGCGCAGTGGACTATATGCTTTTAATGGACCTCACAAAGCACCCCTAATGTACAAGCAGTCTGTGTTCAATAGTAGCAACTCATGCTTCAGTAGAGATCTTTTTTGTAGGAATACATATATAATGTAAACTCTTTGAAGGTGAACTATAGCCAAGTTAGATGCTTCAAACAGTATCAACAAAAAAGCATTTTAATTTTCAGGACAATCTTGCCTCATTAAGTAAACTTTGGTTTCAAATTTTATCCTCTAATAGCTGTTGGTGCTATTAAGGAGTAAAATTCCAGATCAAGTGCCAGCAACATTCTTGAAAATTAAGGAGTTATGATTTAAGCTTATTATTAGCAAGTTCAGTACAGGGTTGGGGGACAGAAAAGGACATTTAGAAGCAGCATGAATTTATTAAGCAATGTAACTCTTTAAATCATAAATCTTTATAGAAAATTCCCTTTCATGGATACATTTCTATTTTACACAAGGTAACTTCTAACCTAAGTATCTTTCACTGCAGGGAATTAATACACAGTTTAGAGCTGTCAATGCATTCAGAAGACTGTGTACAATATGTTCTTGTACCTGATGTATAAACTGAATAGATGCTCAAGAAACTTGTTCAAGGCTACATACTTTCCTCTTTTTTAGAATCAGTCTTTCTGTATCTTACAGTTCTCCAGGTGAAAGATAAGTCTTCAGAAGATGTTCAGTATTGTTCTATTGTTATCAGTTCTTGAGCTTAGCTAAGCTTTTCTCTTGGACTTGGTTTAGTGACCATGGTCTAGATAATAGATTTCCTGATGTTTCAGTGGCAACTGTGGCTGGGATTTTCAGAGGGTACACACACCACCTTGTCTCTGAAGATGCCAGCCACAAGTCCAAGTGAAACATCAGGAAATTGTCTAGACCACAGTTACTAAACCTTGAAATCCAACACTGCTCAACAGATACTGGCTGTGAAAGCTTACACTAGCATATTCTTGTCTTAAGAGTTTGGTGTAATGAGCAATTAATAGGTACATGTTATGTTTGCATGTCATTTTAATCACAATATCTGCCTTATTGGCAGTAATGGACTTCTTTCCATGAACTCCCAAAGTTTTTAAACCCCCAAAACATGGAAATCATGAAGTAAGACCTAAGTAATTCATTGGTTTGGCACAGAAACTTTTATTGAAGACCACTGTTAGAACTTTATTTAGCAAAATTAATTATTAAGAAACATTTCCCAAAAATATTTAATACCACTGTTTTAGAAAAATAAAGGCCTTACTGTTAGAGCACAGTGCTTTTACTTTGAATCTCTATAATCTGTATGGTTATACAACTTCTCACTGGATCCCAAGATCCTGGTTGCACTTCTTACTTTCTCACTACTTGTTATGGCTTGCAGTGCTACCTTAATAGTTTACTTTGATCTACCCTCCTGTTCCAACATTCCTTTTCTGCAGTAGTCTAGAAAAGAATTACTTACTTCATTCTTTTCAATTTTGTACCAAGGATCTGGGATTACCTTTAAGGATGGGAATGTTATTTACCATCTTACCCTTTAATGGTCATGCTTCTATGCAACTTTAAATCATATTAAGGTATACATCTATATGTAACAGAGGTATAAAGGCAGTCTAATAGACCTCTTTAGTCTTTATTATTCAGAACTATTTTTCATGAATGCCAAAGGATAAAATACTCCCCAAACTTGTAATTTCTCAGCAGATGTAGAGCCAATTCCAGATTCAGGTCTATTGAGGCATCTCTGTAATTGCAAGATCCAATCTGGGTCGGTGACCGGGACCAGAGGTTTAGTCTTCGGAGCTTTTGGACTCGTATTGGAGCCCATCCTCAGGGAACTTCTCTCTCGTCAGAATGTGTCACACATTATGGTGAGAGAGAAGTTCCCTGAGGATGGGCTCCAGCACAAGTCCAAAAATGCAGAAGACTAAACCTCTGGTCCCAGTGACCGACCCATATTGGATCCTGCAACATTATCCTGGGTCACGTATATTCATTATAATTACTATAATTATTTATTTGTAATTATTTCATCTCTTTCCAGCCTCTGAAGCGTTCTTTGGAAGGAAAATTATGGTAACAGTATGTATAGGATCAGAGGATTATAAATAGAAAAAAAATTCCATGCTAAGGCAAGACTATTCTGCAATAAAATACCCTCTAGTTATATTTAGAACAGAGCAACTACGTTACTTATGACATTAAGCTTACGTTAATTTAAATGAGATTCCTCTGCGATAAACCAAATTGCTATTTGGAAATAGCAGTATCAATCCCCCTACAATGCATGGAAGAGTACTATATGCTTTCATTGCTTTTTACTGATACAATAAAAGTAATTGTAAAAAGATAAATCCTTTCAGTTGCATCACTAGAACACACATATATTTCAGAGTGTATCTTGGCATTATGTTACAACTGAAGAATGGGAATGCTCAGTCACAAATGTTTATTATTTCATTGTTTTTTAAGAAAGAAAATGCCACTCCATTATTCATTCCACATAACATTTCCCATCACTTCAAAAAGAAAAAAATATTATTGAAACCATCTTATTAGCCTTGCCTATTTGCAATTAAGATATGTTAATGAGAACTCAGTTCATCAGTCCCCATAGCAGCTTTCATCTACATTTTAGAAAATATGGGTGATGCTGTCATCCCCAAAAGTAAACCAGGAAGTCAACTCCACAGGCATATTAAAACTACTTTTACTAAGATTGGCTATAAAAACAGAAACTTGCAAGACGATTGTTCTGTACCTCCTCCTCCTTCTAGTTCAGCGAATTAGGAAGGCACATGCCGGACTCGTTTCTTGAATGTCATCCCATCATGGACTTGAAAAACACGTCAATTCCGTTTGCCTAGGCCAGGGGTAGGCAACCTCCGCTCTTTTATGACTCATGGACTTCAACTCCCAGAATTCCTGAATCAGCTATGCTGGCTCAGGAATTCTGGGAGTTGAAGTCTATGAGTCATAAAAGAGCCAAGGTTGCCTACCCCTGGCCTAGGCCCTAGACCATTTTCTAAACTTTTTTCCTCTCTTGACATCTTCCCAGTTTTAAAAATTATGGAGAACACCTAAAGAGGTTTTGTTTGTATGGATCATATTTGATGATGATGATGAGGAGGAGGAGGAGGAGGATGATAAAGTTGGAGGGGACCTTGGAGGTCATCGAGTCCAACCTCCTGCTCAGGCAGGAACTCTACACCATTTCAGACAAATGGCTGTCCAGTCTCTTCTTAAAAACCTCCAGTGTTGGAGCATTCACAGCTTCTGGAGACAGGTTGTTCCATTGGTTAATTGTTCTGTCAGGAAGTTTCTCCTTAGTTCTAGGTTACTTCTCTCCATGATTAGTTTCCATCTGTTGCTTCTCGTCCTGCCTTCAGGCGCCTTGGGGAATAGTTTAACTCCCTCTTCTTTGTGGCAGCCCCTGAGATATTGAAATACTGCTATCATGTCCCCTCTCGTCCTTCTCTTCGTTAAACTAGACACAGTCATTTGAGGGGATTTTAATATTGTATTATTTTTCCATATAAGATGGCATATAAATTTGACCTTGTGGGACCCTTGAGAGGTCTTGGGGACTTCTAGAGGATCTCACTTTAACCAGCATTGGCTTAGGCTAGGCGATGTACCTTGCATATCTCCAGCAGGGACAGCTTTGTTACTCCCTATGGATTGGCCTGGTGTTTCAGGATATCATTTTAAACTATGCCAGAAGAGTGGGAGGGCATTTTTTGCATTCCAGACTGTTGGGGAGATACACTGATATGTCAGATTGCTCTTATCATCCCACCTCATTCCAAGAAAGGGAAAGCTCAACCTCCGCCCAAAAGTAGAGCAATAGTAAAGCATGTGCAGTTTCCAACACTCTTCTTAGCACCCCCACATTCTTATAGGGGAAAGGAGGTTAGATCAACTAGTAAGTTGGTCTCAATGCATATTTTTCCCTTGTAAAGATAAGGAGTGTTGTTTTCAAGAGAGAAAAAAAGAGGAAACAAAACAAGAAAATCTCTCTTGTGCTTCTGATAAGAGTTTTAGAATTTCAGGATTATTGTATCACTTCCTTTTTACAGTTCCCCTTCCCACCACTTATATCAATGGCAATATATTATTTCATTTAAAACAAATCTTGTATAATAGTATCTCCACTAATAATTAATAAAATCTTTCCTTCTCTACTATGGGTCTGAGGAAAATATTGTGAATCCCAGAGATTCGTTTTCTGAATACTACTACTGTGTATGCATTTATCTAATTTGACATTCATCTGTCCCCAGTAAAGAAAGAGACATGATATCAAGAATAAGAGGACATGTAATATAAAAGTTTAATGAACATATTTTTAATTATATTTATTTGTTATAGCATATCTTGAGTACCAGGTTCTTAAACCCATACAATTAGGACACCCAAATTCTTTGCAGTGTAGTGTTTGGCACATTGTCTATAAATGAAACGCTTTTTGTACGCTAGTAGTAATAAAACTAGAGTTGTAGTTAAAGTCAACCTGGCTATCCGAAAACATTATTTCTCATCATTAATGACTCATAGAATTCAACAGGAGAGGATCCAGTTTGAATATACCTTTTTTCATTTAAAATCCACAATTCTAAATTCTCAATGGATTGTAAAACTCTTTTTTAAGTACAAAATTATTTGCCATTCTCTATATTGCATTTTTCTTTTCAACTCTTAAGTAAATGCATTACAACATATGTAGTCTCACAGCAACCCTGTGTGAAAAGCATGTCTCAGTTACTTTTTAAAAATATAGAAAAATATTTCTTGGAAGGTGTAAGGAGAAGGAAATGTTTGTGGCCCTGAATTTGAAGTATTTTTCAGTGTGTCATTTTCCTCTCTGAAACGTATGGCAACCATTTCTTTTAAAATGGGATGGGAAACCAAAACATATTTCATAAAATTTCCTTGATTAGGATCTTTTTAAGAACTATCTCTTTCTCTTAGATAGTCCTAAGGACCACATTTTAATAAAACAGGTAAAAGGCACCAGAGAAGATAATTATGATCAAATATGGTAAGCCAATCCTACCACAGAGAGCTTGGAACAATCGGGATACAAAGAGGCAAAATTGGAAAAAACAAAAGCTATCCTTTGTGTATTTTTATGTCTATAACCTGAGCAATAACTAGTCAGAAATTACAGATTGTCTATCAGATCTAAGATGGAGAGGCAACCTAGCATGATGATGAAAATAAAATAGCAGAAGGCAACAGAAACTCAGTAAGCCTTTGAACAGGTAAGGGATTACCAGATGCAAAATTTATATATCTTAGGAAGAGGAGAGTCTCTATACATAACTATAGAGAAATACTTAAGTATTTCTAAACTCCCAAGACCAAAACCAGAGGTTAATTAAAACATTTTCTGGGGGGAAAGGTGGATCTATGGAGACTTCTTCTGCTTGCCTTTATAGTGTTATCTATCAAGATGAAATTTGACAAGATTCTATTTTAAACTCTTCCCTTGAAACCTCTACTAGGAATTGGTAATATAGTGACCATAGATGTTTTCAATCAAAACTCTTGTAACTTCCAGTTACCTGGAATTAACCAAGAATGTTGAAATGCATAATCTTAAAAAAACCTGGAGTGCACCAAGATACCATCTGCATATCCCTCTAACAATCTATCATTTAGAAAACCCTAAAGAAATTGAAAACAAAATTATTCCCAAGCCACTTTTGCTATCTAGTTCCATGAATTCCTACCTCATTATAGTGTTATAGCATATCTGCATCCGGACATGCCCTTGACATACAATCTGGCTGGGATGCATTTCAAACAACAACATTCCAAGTCTGGACTGCCATTTTTTTCCCAGAGGCAGCTAAAATGCAGATTTTATTCATTTATTTCATTCTTCACTCCTCAGTCGGAGAGCAGCTGCCTGCCATTCTCCTGCCTCATCCCCAAGAAAGACTTGCACTTGGGCTCATGATGGGACAAACTGAGGTGCTTTGGAGAAAGGATAGGCTTGGAATGCTTTGAAAATGGAATGGAAGGTCAGAAACAAAGTTTATTATAAAACTTTCTGGTGTTCTGATCTCTTTCTCAACATGTATAAGAAGCAGCAATATATAAATGAGTTGTTTTCATTAAAAAAAAACCTCAAAGAATGTTTGGGCTGAAATACATTTTTTATATAATTTTGTTCCAAATCATAATTTCCAATCCCGTGTCTAATTATCATACAAAATTCTACATCCATCTAATCCTGCATCAACTCTGTAAGATCTATTTCTTAAAAAATAAACTACATATATAAAAATATATTTAGTAGCCATTTTAAAAAAAATCTGGCAATTACAAGTTTAATTTAAAATTAGTTATTTCAGAAGGTTCTCACATTACACTCAGGGGTTGCTATTGAAGTTTAAAACTGTGAGCAGCAATTTTGAATTCTTCAACAAAATAGTGGTGGTGCTGCCTGGACAGCTTCAATTTATTTCTCAAGAACTTACCTATAAATAAGTGAGGATTTATTTTATTTATCTGCTTTTTAGTGTACATCAGAGCCTTCTACTTTTTGTGGGGGTTTTTTCAGCATGAAATAACAAAATGTTTATATCATCTCACCCATTCTGCAATTAGACCAAAAGAGATATGGAGATGAATGAACTGGAGTGACTGAAACTAACTTGTGAGTCTGCTGAAACTGACAAGCAAATGGCAGGTCATTTTTTTTAATTAATGCTCATCAGACTGCCTACACAGGAAGAGTGGAGAAAACACAAATGCTCTTAGCATTTACAGTAATGTGCAGTCTCCAGAATCTCTCAAAAGTGTGTGAGGCTGAATTTTTAGCCCATTTTTTAAATTTAATATTACCACTTAATATGCTCTCCTGCACCAACCAAAACATTAGGAAAGTATTATTTTTTCCCTAAAGTCTTCAGACTTTAAGGGGAGAAGCAGATGCCATTTCACTCTAAAACTGGAAAAGTGGGTCACATTTTCAACCTTGTCCATTTCACTAAGGATGAGAAAGCTTCTCTCTTACTGTTCTATGGAGAAAAAGATAATTAAATACTATGTCAAATGAAAATTGGCCTCAAATATTTGAAAAGCTGAAAAGTATTTTGGTAGCTCTAGCCCTTAAGATGACACTAACATGCTGTTGAATTGCAGAGATGGTCACAGAAATGTATGTAGAGGTATGTATGATGGTCACCCAATCGATACATAAGGACTACTTTTTATTCCTCTGTTATTGACAGAAGATACCTTCAGGTTTGCTATAGGTCTAAGAGAACTCCAAGCAAGCACACCCAAAGCCTTGAATCATAGTAGCATAGAGCAAAAAATGTTAGGTCACATTATCACTGAATTTATATGGCTATACCAGTGGTGGCGAACCTATGGAACACATGCCAGAGGCAGCACTCAGAGCCCTCTCTGTGGGCACATGTGCCATCGCCCCAGCCCCGCCTCCCCCCGCGGCCCCACTCACCAGCAGCCCCCCCAGAGAGTCGCCCTGAGCGTGGCCCGCATAGAGCAGCACAGCCAAGGACATGGCAGCCAAGCAGCGGGGACGAGACACTGCCCTTGAGCCCCATCGTGCGCAGATATTGCTGCAGGATGCGGGCGGAGGGCATAGCTGCCATGGCACTGCTGGGCTGCCTGGGCGATCTGCGGCGGGCGATGGAGGTGAATGGCTCTGCGGGTGGGTGGGTCGGGGCGGGGCGGGTGGGGCAGGGCAGGGACGGGACAGAGGCGGGGGCAGTTTTGGGGCACTCAGTGTCTAAAAGGTTCGCCATCACTGGTCTATACTGTAGCAAACAGGAGAATATACTCTGTAAAATCAGCCCATCTTAATTTTTGATCAGTGTGACTTTAAGGCTACTTCAAATCACAAGAATCAGGAATTAATATTGCAAAGTTTCTCTTTTGTTACATTCACTTCCTTATCCAAACAATCAATTAAATGTACCAGATTTAGCTGATCTATTGAGTGGATTTTTAACACAAAGCCTAGGCATCAAAAATCTGAAACACACACACTCCCAAACATCCGGCTTGATCATTTTTCCCTTACACCTCGCAAAAGCCTGCTAATAGACTCAAACAGAAATGCAAAGCGAGGAAGCCACTTTGTGATTAAACTGTTTTATCGCTGGATAACAAGGCTGCATTTAATGCAATTAGATGGGAACCAAAATCTTTGAGATGAGAACCAAAATTTTAGTTTTTACCATTGTTTTACCATCTCTACCAGAGAGAATCAATCACACAAAGACAGATACTCACTCAAGCCTAAATCTGAAACAGAATAAATATTCCAATTAATGTCCTTTGCATGAACTGATTTGATGTCAATTATACCCAGAGTTCTTTATATATGGCAATTTAAAAACCTATCTATACATAGATGTGAGCAAGTTAAACAGGTTAATTTGGTATGCAATATTTAGAAGGGGCAACTGTATTGACAAAGTGCATATTTTTGGAGGGACAGGATGGGGAAAAAAACTAATTCAAAGGAAATGTGGCCTAGCAAAGAAAGTTAGACAGAGTGTGGGTAGGATCAAGAACAAACTCTTGCATTGTCTATGAGAGGCCATTTGGTTTCTGAAGCTTCAGCAGCATTCTGTGCATATTTTCAATTTTTTTTCTGTACAAGAATAGAAACTAAAGTATTTGTGTTTTTTAAAAAAAGGAAAACTATGAATCTGTATATTCTGCACCAAGTTCCAAGATGTGTTGCACATATGTGAACACGGAAATATTTACAGTGTAAACGCTGGAAAAAGGAGGAAAACCTGCTTGTTAGTTCTGAAGATTTCTTCTTTGAAAAGGAGAGCTCTGATATATATTTTTTTTACTCTATGCCCAAGGTCAATAAACAGCAATACTGAATTAGTTGGTTCACATGTAAGCAAATGTTCTGATCATCATCCCAATGTTCACAATCATCCTATTTCTTGCATAAATCTTATGTTTGCTTGGTGCATTCAAAATTAGCTTCTGAACTGTTTAGGTTTCATGGCTTGTTAGGAATTACATCTTTTTTTGCTGGAGTATTCCATGTTCTGGACCCCCCAGAGTCTTGGAAGAATTTTAAAAGGCTTCGGAGGGAGCAATTCTAGAAAAGTTAGCAACTTCAAGTTAGTATTTCTCATCTCTCCAACATACTTTCTAAGATATCAATTAAATTGTCCAGTCCAAATAAATATCCATCTTCCCGGTTCCCTTCTTGCCAAGCAATCCTGTGGTCCAAGATTTGCCCATCTGGAAGAAAGGTAGTCTTTCCAAAATCAATGAGCCACACATTAGCACGTTCACTTTCATCGTGCACAAATAACAGTGAACTTCCAATTACCTACAGAAAACAGAAAGAGACAGAGATGAAGGCCAAAAGCTGATTTATTAAATTTCCTGAACCTGTTACACATAAATATTGACTGATGATTCTACTCTTCATATAGTTAGAACCAACACACTACTAGTTTATAAAGAAATGTGTGCATCCTTTGACTAATAAAACCCACAAATGTTCTACATGGTCTGTCCAACAAAGACTTATCTCGACAGAAAATTGGATTTTGTGGGATTGATTGATTTATCCAATTTATCCAACTTCTTAGCAACTTACAAACTAAAAAACACCCACCCTACAGAAAAAGAAATCATAGCCCACCAGAGAAACAATATAACTAACTATAAAACCAAATTTAAATAATGGGGACTCCACAACCAATGTATTCCCAGGGCTGTGAAAACAATCACGTTTTAGTGATTTCTTGAAAATCATTAGATTGGGATAAAATCACACACACACGTGTGTGTGTGTGTGTGTGTGTGTGTGTTGAGAAAAGTAGTTGAACAGTGGGATAAATATAAAAACAACTGTTTAATAAACTAACAACTGTTATTTATCCTGGTGTTCGACTACTTTTCTCAATATGAATATACCCGGGATTCGCATTTACTACTATAAAAGAGAAGGCACACTTCCTGGGTCTTTTAAGATAATATTGTTTATTGTACAGTAGGTAATAGTAGGCAACTGCTTAATTCATACATAAAACAGCCATAAACAATATTTACTAGGATTATTTTATATTCACTAGTTTAGTTTCAACTTCAAGATAAAAAAGGAGCATACAGTATAAATGGCATCTTTATAGCTTTCACCTGAATATTATAGACACAGAGCTAAATAGCTAACACTGTTGAAGGCAATGGGTTGAAGGCAATAGAGATCTTTCAATGTTTTGTTTTTTATATTAGATACAAGGAAGCTTATTCAGGCATACATTTCCATTTTTGAAGCCACGGCCATTAAGAGATTCTTGAATTGGCCCACCAATTTAGATTCCTTGCATATGTATCAGACATCTTTTGTAACAAGCAACAAGGCTTGGCTATACGCTGTTTCAGCATGTCATTCCCAGCTTTTTTTCCTAAGCTGCATCATAATTTGGTTTCAGGCTGATTCACAGAAAGAGAGGTTTTGTATTGGAAAAAGGCACTGGAACTAGATGGCCTTTGTGTTACATTTTAGCACATTTGTATTTAAAATTTCTTGTAATTATTGAATAGAAGCAGATAATATAAATGCATGTTTAATTAAATATACCTCTTCTTACTAGAGCAATCAGAGCAACTCACCTCGTGTTGTTTAAAGAAGACAGAAGACTCAAGGATGCCACGAATTTCACACAGACGCTTTAAATATTTTTTCTGTCCAAAATAGAACAGAAGCAGTGAATCATTTAAAAGTATTTCTGCCACATAGGCAAAAGGAAGATTAATACAATAGTGTGGGGGGAACATCAGAAATTATATTGTCATTGAGCCATCTGAGAAACAGTCTACCAACAATTTTGCAGAAACCTAATTCCTGACTGCCGAGCTAAAGTATTTGCTACCCATCCTAGAGCTGACAGAAAACTATAACAGAATGTCCACCCTGCCAATCCCTATGTTCTTTTTCTATCATCTCTTTTCCCATCTTTGATGCAATAGTATCTCTGCTGAACCTGCTAGCTGCTGTTAGCAGAGGCCTTACTGAGTGTAAGCAATATACTGCTGACATTTTACTTCAAATCTCCATAAACAATCTGATCCAGTATTTTCATATATAATAAAAGGGAATCTGCCGTTTCACAGCCTCATCTTCTGCACCTGCTCTTCAAGTAGTACTAGATCTTGCACAAAGGAGGATCAGGTAGCCAGGAAAAAAACCAGACCAAACAGTTAAACATCAACCTGGGAAGATCCTAGAAAAGATCATCAAAAAACAGATCTGCGAACAACTAGAAGCAAACAAACTAGTATATATAGTATATATAGTACTATAACTAGTAGCCAGTATGGGTTTGTTAAAACAGATCATGCCAAACCAATCTTATTTCATTCTTTGACAAAGTGACTAGTAGACCAGCGAAATGCTGTGGACATAGTATACTTAGATTTCAGTAAGGCATTTGATAAAGTAGACCACAACCTACTCCTTGGTAAGCTACAAAAAGGTGGAATAGACAATATCACCACCAGATAGATTTGTAGCTGGCTGGCAAACCGAACACAACGAGTAGTCCTCAACGGCACTACATCCACATGGAGAGAAGTAAGCAGTGGGGTACCACAAGGTTCCATCCTAGGTCCAGTACTCTTCAATATCTTCATTAATGACTTAAATGAGGGAATTGAAGGGGAACTCATCAAATTTGCAGATGATACCAAACTGACAGGAGTAGCCAACACCCCAGAAGACAAACTCAGGATGCAAAAAGATCTTGACAAACTTTGTTGGGCCCTATCCAACAAAATGAGTTTCAATGTGGAGAAAAGCAAAGTTTTACATTTAGGCAGGAAAAATCAAAAGGTACAAGTATAGATTGAGCGAGACCTGGCTTAAAAACAGTAACTGTGAAAGGGACCTTGGAGTCCTAGTAGACAATCACTTAACCATGAGCCAGCAATGTGCAGCAACAGCCAAAAAAGCAACCACACTGTACTCCTTCTGCTAACCTGCTCTTCATCTTTGGCAGCATCTCTCTTATTGCCTGCATCTAAGACAGATCAGACTACTCCATTCCACCCTGGTACGATACTGATTTAAAAGTCTATGGAGATATTCAGTCATCCAGGTCATGGTTGACCCAAACGTGCTTTTTCACAAGGCAACTTGGACTTACTCTTTTTCTTTCTTTCTTTCTTTCTTTCTTTCTTTCTTTCTTTCTTTCTTTCTTTCTTTCTTTCTTTCTTTCTCTCTCTCTCTTTCCTTCCTTCCTTCCTTCCTTCCTTCCTTCCTTCCTTTTCTTTCTTTTTCTTTTTTCTTTGAAGATGTTTTGCTTCTCATCCAAGAAGCTTCTTTAATTCTGACTGGATGGTGAGGAATGGAAGGATTTATATTCCTTGCAGACAGCTGGACATTTGCATTCTTTTAGAGAATCGTTGATGCCACCCAGAGGCTTATCTGTGTCATCAGGTCACCTAAGTAGTGCAAAAGGGTGTGGTGCCTTCTTGGAACCTTTGAAAGGACTGTGTTGTAGACTGAAGATGATGTCGTATCCTTCCCCCTCTGTTGAGAGGAGGCTGTTCAATTTTGACACAGATGGTCTCTTTGACCCCCCCCCCTTTCAAACCAGCAGTCCTCTCTGTCCAAAATGTGGACTTCGCTGTCTTCGATAGAATGGTCTTTTTCTTTTAAATGCAGATGGACTGCTGAATCTTGTCCTGATGGGTTTGTTCTCCTATGTTGTGCCATTCATTTATGAAGTGGTTGTTTTGTTTTCCCAATGTACAGATCTGCACATGGCTCACTGCACTGTACTACATATGCCACGTTGCTCAGTTTGTGTCTACGTGTTTTGTCCTTGGGTTGGACAAGCTTCTGCCTTAGTGTATTCTTGGATTTGAAGTGTGCATGTATGTTGTGTTGGCTGAAGATCCTTCTGAGCTTTTCTGATATTCCTGCAACGCGTGGAATGACTACATTGCTTCATTTATTGTTTTCTTCTTTGTCTGATAGGGAGGAGTTCCTGTTGGGTCTTTTTTTGGGATTTGATGAACGCCCACTTGGGATAGCCCCAAGTTCTGAGGGCTTCCTTGATATGTTTTAATTTTTTTGTTTTCTTTTCCATCTTTGCTGGTAGACAGACCTTCAGCTCAGTAGTGTAGGGTTCTTATAACTTCCATTTTGTGCTCCAGTGGGTAATAAGAATCAAAATGTAAATATTGATCTGTGTGTGGGGGTTTTCTGTAAATTTCATATATAAATCCTTCCATTCCCCACCATCCAGTCAGAGCTGAAGAAGCTTCTTGGATGAGAAGCAAAATGTCTTCAAAGGAAAAAAGAAAGAAGGAAAAAAAAAAGCCCAGTTGCCTCATGAAAAAACACATTTGAGATTCTGATTTAAAAGAAAAATCCGAAGAGACTTTTTTAAACAAATTCTTAAGATCTCTTTTGATGGTAATAATGGCATCCCGGCTCCTTGTAAAAAATTGTCCACAAAAATCCCACACCCGTTTGGCAATTCCTCTTTGTCAGCAAACCCTAATCAAGAATTAAAACTGTCATCCCAAACTTCCATGCTTAGCTTACCAATATAGTTGTGTTTCCCTTAATGAATTCCACAAAAACCTGGAAAACTTGTTCTCGTGTCTTTGTTGTCTTGAAGTTGGTATTACAAGTCCCATCAGCCTTCTGTAAATATTAAAAAGGTGGGGGGAGTCATTCTGCAGGCAGTGGAAAGAAGAAACCAGGAAAGAGACTAAAGAAAGGAGGAAGTCTCAAACAAGGTACTCAAACACTGGAGCCAAGAGATACCCAGGTGGAGAACTCTTCTTTTGACGCAACTTCAAGTAGCTCCACTAGTATGGCATAACTAGTTGTGTGTATTATCCACTAAAATCTACATCTAACAGCATAGCTGATTAGTAATCCTCCCAACTAAATAGAGAATCAGTTTGGTCAAGAGATTAAAGCATCAGGTTAGAAACCTGAAGACCATGAGTTCTAATCCCGTCTTAGGTCCAAAGTCAGCAGGATGACCTTGGCTAGTCATTCTCTCTTGGCCCTAGGAAGAATGAGGCAATGGCAACCCCTTTCTGAAATCTTGCCAATAAAACTTCAAGGACTTGTCCAGGCAATTGCCAGGAGTTAACACTGACTTGAAGGTGCACACAGACATATAGACATACACAGAGTCCTTTCTAGCTTGGCATCCTCCCAGTGCATATACTGACAGATGTAGCTGCAGTTCAGTTCTCCAGAAGATGGGGTTAAACTGTTGCACTGCAGACATCAAGTTCAAATTCACACTTATCATGAAACTCCCTGAAGACCCTGGCTCACTCACATACTCAGACTAATTTCTCTTGCAAAAGTGGGAACAGGGAAGGATGGGATTAAGAACCTAAGAAGAAAGACAAGAGACAAATGTCTTTTTGTGATACAAGATATATTTTGGAATAGTATTTTATTTCATTTTATTTTATTTATGTCGCCCATCTTGCTATCCAAAGTGATACTGATACCAAGTCAGTAATTACTCTGAGTCATGGTTAAAAGTTAATTCATTGGAATAATTGGTGGGATTCCTTTAGCCTGAACTTTTTCAAGTCCCATTTATTTCAATCATTTGCCCTTAAGTGTAACTCTGCATCCAGATCATTAGAAAGGGACTGGAACGACTGTTAGCATTTATAGAAAGAATACTGCAGCTTAAAACCATGTTTCTTACTATGAAATATGCAAGATCTTTTTTAAAAAATCACGCATCTGTATACATTTTAGCTTTTTCTGTAGGTGAATGTCCAGTGAAATTTGTTATTCTGTATATTCATACTGATGCAATTATATCTGAGTAAAATCTATGGTCGATGGCAGGCAGGCATCTACTACCCTCCCCTTTAATAGCTTCTTCTCCTTCAAAATAAACACTTTTGCTCCAATAGGGTGGGTGAGTCTGGCAAAGATCCAAATGCATATGCCTGACAAGACACAAGAACATTATGCAACGGCTGGGCGCATCGTGGGCAGAGAAATCTAGCAGAACTCTGATGAACTCAGTGAGTACAGTGAAAGAATTCTCTCTGCCTATTGCCAGATGGCACATTATCTATTACGTACCAGCATATAACTCATCGTAAGGAGAAAATCTGACAGAACCCTCCAAATGTTTTTGCTAACATCAAAACCTGAGATGCTGGGAAGATGCACAAAGAGAATCTTTCGGAAGTCTAAACCTATTCAACAGAATGAGAGCCAAAGTGCTAAGGGCCAGAGGGATACAGCATCAAGGGCCCCTGGGTTGGCCCCAGAGAGACCCAAGTTCTCTCCAGCACTAGCATACGTATATTTACATATAGTGTGTGATACGGAAACTTATTAATATCAAAGCTGACATTTTTAATTCAAGCTTCTAACAAGATTACTATTTCCCAGGCAAGAAACAACTGTATCCTTGTCTTTTGCTTCCCTTTTGATGGAGATGTTTGTTTTGTTGTTGTTGCTTTTATTAGCAACTAGTTCAGCTAGTTCATCTGATGCTCTATAAACTGTGCAGAATATCATTTTCATCAGCCTTGGTTGATAGCCAATATAGCCAATGGTAAGTAGCTGTAAAAACTGTAATCCAAACCAGCTAAATATGCTATCCTGCCATTGTATGTGTGTGTCTATCCTTGTGTGTGAGAGAGATAGGGTTATATATTCCAAGATACTTTCCTTGAGCGCACTGACATCAAGTACAAATCTACATGTTTCTATTTCCTGCTGGCTTCTCATCCAATAACCAACCAGGCTGTCCTACATAACTTCTGAGACCAGACACTGTCACCCAGGTGTGGCCATGAAGGACACGTAACTATGGAAGCTCCTGAAAAGCGCACCAGAACAAATGCTTCAAACAGGAAAGGCTAGGGAAGATTTCTTACCTTTATCCCTTCGATCCTGAAACCCTGGCTAGCACTGGAGCTGATGGTCTCCCTCCACTGCATGTACCGAGGTTTGGTCACTGCATGCTGAGCGTTTTCTTCAGCAGTGGGTGCCAAAGGATCCACGTCTATCATCTTCTTATACATATCTTTACGAAGCTTGGGTTTTTCTCGTGCTTTAGTCAATTCTTCCTCCAAGTATGTCCTACAAAAACAATGGGACGTTGAGCATTTCTCTAACTCCAGCAACTACAACAAAAGCTATTTCTTATTCCATGCTGTCTAGCTCATATAATGCACCATTCCAGTTACAGGCAAAATGAATTAGCAACCAAAGCAGAGTTCTCTTTTCAAGGTTATTTAGATTAAGATCAGGCCAGCTACAGTGTGGGAAAGAGGAAAAAGGGCATAGCCAACAGGATTTTAGTTTTTCTTCAAATCCAAGAAGATACCTTAAATCAAAAGCATCGGAATGATTTAAGATTTTAGGAGAGGGGTCCTTGGTGTTCTCCAAGCTTGGTTGTTTTCTTGCAGACATTTCATTTCCCCAAACTAAGTAACATCATTATTGGTTTTTCTCCCTTTCTTTTTAACAGGATAAGAGTTCTATACTGATTTTCTTTTAATTGTTTTAATTGATTTTCTAGATTGTAAATTGCTTTGAGACATTTATAGAAAAAAAATATATAGATGTACAGTATATGTTAAGTAATCTTAACAAGAATGCATTGGCCTCTTAGTATAGCCAATTGATCTCATTCAAAATGGAATACCATCTATGATATCTTATGACAGACTCAGACAGATCACAAAAACATATTGAAAAGAAAACTGATTACACACAGTTTTTTCCAAATATGAAACTATCCAGCTCTAGAAGTATAAAATCAGAAGAAAAAAAAGAAAAAAAATCAATTTATTTAACTGAGAAATGTATAGAGCAGTGGTGGCGAACCTATGGCACAGGTGCCAGAGGCGGCACTCAGAACCCTCTGTGGGCACGTGTGCCGTCGCCCCAGTCCTAGGCTTTCAGCTGGGTTTTATAAAATCTTTTTGCTTTAGGCCTCCGCTGCCGTGTGCAAAAAAAAAAAGTTCAATCAATCAATTTCAACTTCTCGCAGGAAAAAAAAAGATCTTGCAAAGTTGAAATTGATTGATTGAACTTTTTAGTCCCACCATTACCACCGCAGCCACGCTCACCCAATGGGCCACGCCCACCCAGCACCCGATGATACTTAAGTGGGTTTTGGGTTGTAGTTTGGGCACTCGGTCTCTAAAAGGTTCGCCATCACTGGTATAGAGGGTATATTCTAAAACTCTTTTGATTAAAGTTTTTTTTTTATCTATTTCAAAAGAAAAGAATTCTTCACTATTAACTTTTAGTCTTTAACTTGTTTGAGGAGTACTGATGGGGGTGGGAGAGAAACAATTTGATGAGAAATATTTAAATATATTTCAAAGAATTGTATAACTTTTCCAACGTTTTCAAACCACTTTTTGTTGACTAGGAGCATAAAATTTTGGACAGAGCAGTTGTCAAAAAAAGCTGTTATTTAGTATACGGTAGGAAGAAACAAGGCAACAATACATTTTCATCAGGACAATGTAAATATTTCTTTTAGATTCAAAACTTGCTATTATAAAATCTGAGTAACTTTTTATGGTAGGGAGGACAATTTTACAATGCAAAATAGACATATACTTAGAGATTTAATTTAATGAAATCCTGCTTCAAGTATATTCTAAAACCACATTCTGTGCATAGTGTTACTTATCCCAAAATAAGTAGTATGATGTGTTTGTATGTTGAACAAAAAAATCTCTAGAAACACAAAAGGGCAAGTTGTGACAATTCAGTTCTGCTTGTATTACCACACACATGCAATCAATTCATGTTCCTTTACCCAGTGCATAGTTCATAATTTGATTGTGAGACCTGACAGCAAGCTCAGAGATAATTCAGCTGCAACTTGACCAAAATGAAACAGTATCAATTCTTCTATTATTCTTGCTATGGATGTGTCCAAGCTGATTACATCTTGCTATAAAATGCCATTCACTTCCATGAATGAGTCCTATATGCAGTTCAGTTTCCAAAAATAATATGGGGTTTGGAAAGTGATGTTCTTTATAAAGAAAACATTGGCCATTTATGGATAGGCAGACGATCTGGACATACCCTTGTTTCAGGATTGTTTTTGGCAATAAAACTACAAAATTTAAAAATTGAAGCTATATTAATAACCCTAAAAGGAAAAACCAAGCAGCTTATAGGGGAGCTTAAATTACAGATGCTGATGCTGTTTCTTAAATAGTTATTTTTCAAAAATGTCCAGAACTAAGAATATAGTAGAAGGGATCTGCTATGAAGTTCTGTTGTTGACCTTCCATGAACACCCTAAGAATATCTAGCTTCCAAATTATCCAAATTATCAAACAAATTATCCACAATGAGATGGGAAGCTTTGTTTAAGATCTCCCACCTGACTCCCATTTTACAATCCATCACACAAGGCCCTTCAAAATTAGCTAGAAGATCATCCAACTGTAAATAGGACTCGCCATCTCTCTCCACCACACCATGGAATACAGGGACACAGGAACGTAGTGAATCTTTCATCAGCAGTTTAAAGCACTTCTCCTCATTCTCACAGTGGCGTTTCAGAATCGTCCCACCATCGGCTGCTTTGAAACTTCCTGCAGAAACAGAACCATGATGTCATGGAATTTTCAAAGGCCTCTCCCCACAGTTCAATTGCAGTATCCCCACTATCACTAAATAACCCAAGATAAAGAAAACCAGGCAATAAACAGCCTGTCAGGCCGAGGAAGCTGAGGGAACCAATCACAGACACCACCAGTCAAGGAAGAGTGTGGGGCAATGGGAGGTGAACCAGATCCCCACAATATCATCTTTGAACAAGCCTTCCAGAGGGATATGTTCAACCGACTCTGGGCCTGAGAAGCCCAAGAATGGCCAGCACCACCACCAGCAGCAGCCCAGCAGGCTGACGCAGCCTCCACAGCAACTGCTGATCCAGCTCCCACACTGCTAGCCCCACTGCAGCAGCTGGGAGCAACTCCAGCAATCCCAGTAGCACAGCCATCACCATCAGCTTGGGCTGCCCTTCCATGGAGGAGAAAACGCAGACCACTGGCCCTCAGGGTGAAATTCAATGGCAATCCAAAATAGCTGGCATTTTTCCTGACTCAGGTGTGGACGTACATGCAGGAATATGAGGCCGATCTGCAAACCGACCCGGCTAAAGTGAGAATTGTCACCACAGCATTAGAGGGTGAGGCAGCAGAATGGATGATGGCCCTGTACGATGACGATATGGCAGAGCTGCGCAAGTTTGACAGATTCATAACAGTCCTGAGGAAACCCTTTGAAGACCCCCCTGCCGACCAAAAAGCCAGGCCGAGAATCAAGACTATAAGGCAGGACAGATGATCCATTGCTGCCTATATTCAAGAGTTCCAGAGCCTGGCCTCTAAGCTAGTTGACTGACCAAAAGAACTGGCTTAATGTCAGGCCTATCCCAACTTGAGCATATAGGAAAGAAAAACCCTTGACTCCATTTGCAGAGAAAAGGTATACTTGTACTAAAGCCAAGTGCTTATAGCATAAGCAAAGCCAGATCTGAATATTCCTGCATAAATTTGGTGCTTTTCCCTTCTCCCAAGTCCTCTGCCTTGGTCATCTGGTCAATGTCCAACAGTATTCAAATTGTGGTAACAGTTCTAAGATTTGGCGCCTCTTTGGTGGGTGTTTGCATTCCATTCTAACACTAGTGTCCTTGGATCTCCCAACCATTGTCTCCGATTGGCACCTCTGGTTCCTGTCATCCCCCTCCCTATGTTCTCCTTTCTTCCTCCCCCCTCTTCATTTATGGCAGTGTCATCAATGTGAAGCGAAGTTGAAGCAGTGTATGGCAGATCTGATACAGCTCTTTCATAAAAAAACCTATGAAAAACATCCACTTGAAACATTTAAATATATGTAAGCCTAGATACATATGGCTGTACAAAAGCTTCACAGAACCAACCATGTAATGACTCAGGAGCCAGATCTGGTGATCAAAAATATCCTGTCATGATCTGAACTGACCATTACTGAAATAGCAGGTAACGGTATTGCAGACAAGAATTCAATACAGGAACAAACTTATGTTAATAGAATATATGCTGAAAGCTGATCTTTGGAATGCAGCATACATTTTGAATCAATTCAAAATTATTTGTTGAGGAAAGGTAGCCATTATGTTAGCATGTGTGCCAAATTCCCCAACTCCTACCCCAAAAGGTAGAAAGAACAACTGTGTAATCTCTACAAATTTTAAATTCAAAGCACGAATCATGTCTGGATAATTGAAAGATGGATGAGAATAAAATATGTTTTTAAATCACATGCCAATTAAATCATGGTGAATTTTGACAGTTTTTTTTTTTACAATTGCTTTTGTATTTAAAAAAGCAAGAAAACATGATGTTAGAAATCTGAGGTTTTAAGGTTCTTGTGAGATTTCAGTCATGCTGGAACCACCTCCATAGTCCCAAATAGCCCATAATTGAACTGCATGATTTACTGACCTATCTAATCTTTTAATAAAGTCCATCTTTATTTATGTCATTATTTAAATGTGCATTGTTGTTAACTCTCAAAATCCAGTACGGATTTTTAAAATAGGAATAATGTAAACACTCTCTTATCTTGCTTTGAATATTTAGAAATAAATGATCAGCTCAGCTCATAAGTATTGTTTTTGACTAGGGGTTCTGCCAGCAGATTCAACGTTTCCAACTTTATTCATAATTTTTAAGTACGTTCTACTATGGTAGACCAATTAAAGAAAGAAGGTTCTCACCAGTGTGACCGGCCAACTGCACCCAAGAATACCGTTTTTTGAAGGGACTGATGACTGGCAAATTGACAATTGTCTTTATTGTCTGCCATGCCTTTTTCTGAAACACAAAAAATAAAAGTTAAAAAATTGCATACAAACATCTAAATATTTTATGAAGAGGTGTAGCATTTAGTTATTGTTAAAAATCTCCTTCAATTTCCAAACTAGGCCCACCATTAGATAAATCAGATCCCCATTTAGAGATACTGATAATCCTAATAAATTTAGAAGGCATACTAGTTAAAAGCTAACAAGGCTTAGGACTTATTCATGTTATCTAAGATCCATCAATATAAAACTTGTTAACAAAATCCTGTTATAATGAAGCTCAGGCATGCTGCCCCTATGTGCATATGGAATTCTGCTTTCTATTTTTATGGATCACATTATCCTGACGCCTTAGCTTTTTTTTTCTTCCTTAAACATAAATAAGCAACAAATCCAGGCACTGCAGGGGCCAAATAAAATAAAAATAATTCCTTGAAAGATTGTAGAAGGATCACGCCTAATTTTGAATAGGCTCCCTTTCCGGGTCAAATTCAAAGGGTTATGTACTTTCTCCACTTTCATATAGACTAGAGAGACCCATGTGCTGAAACCCATTTCCATGCTGAGATTGCTATTCATGGCTATATGCCAGAAAAATTACCATGTATCATTCAATTCCTTACTCTAGAACAGTGATTCTCAACCTTTCTAATGCCGTGACCCCATAATACAGTTCCCCATGTTGTGGTGACCCCCAAATGGGTGTGGCCACCAATAAGAGGGAGTAGGACAGCTAGGGAAAAGGGAAAAAAATGGCGGACAGCGTGGTTTGGCGACCCCCGTGAAATGATCGTTCGACCCCAAATGGGGTCCCGACCCACAGGTTGAGAACCACTGCTCTAGAAGATTAGGCTAATATATTTTGGATGATCTTTGAATGGAAAAAAGGCACATTTTACTGTCATTAATTAGATTCAGTAATTGCTTATTTGATTTAAAAATATTTTGAGACAGAACAACGTAAGAAAAATGGCATGAGGCAGATGGATAAGCTTCGACTATTGAAGATTTTTTAAAAACATATTATTATTAGGAATGGGGAAGAAATCTTATCGCTTAGCCATCCTACACTGCTTAATTTTCACAACTCCTAGCATCTTTGTTTTTCTCAAACAAAAATTCAACTTGTTCATTTTAAATAAAATCATGCATTTTTTGTGTCCTGAATTTTCATACTCTACAGTATAAGCCTACGCATACCCACTAAGTGCTTTTATGATAATAAGAAACAAAATGGTTAAGACTAATTACCACTCGTCCTTTTCTCTCTTTTTTCCACTTTTGTACAACCTTAGAGAGGAGCTGATAATTCCAAGGTTCACTATGTTACAGCTAAATATATGCAGAATTTGTTATGTTGCCATAACATTTGGATCAAGTCTTATTTTAGCAGATCAGATTCATATGAGAAGTCAAACGGAAGACATGATTGTGGTTGTCTTTGGGAAAGCTGACTTTCCCAAACTGGTGCTATTGTGATGTAACGAACTAAACATTTCACCATATCCTCCAAGCCAGCATGCTACCTAGGGATAATGCAAATTGTAGAAATATACTCGAAGGTACCAAATTGAGAAAAGCGCAATATACCATTCATTGGACATAGAGAGTCCAGCTACACAAGATTTATCTGCTTAAAATGTCACTGCAGCTCAGCCTTTATAAGCTGGGGAGAAAATGACAAGAACTATTCTTGTTGTGCAATCTCAGGATTGATCAGGCAAGATACAACATGCAAACTTGTTCTCTGTGAACCATTCCAATTTCTTTGCTTTATTCTGAGGATATCAAGAGTAGGAAAAATTAGTTTCTCTGACATACTAACTTTTCAATTCAGATATCTAAGCAAACCCAATTCAACTAATGCATAAAAATAGGGCTATAGTTCCCCTCACCTTCTGTGTCTGCCTTTGGAAGAAGCAAATTATTTTATAACTTAACTGCTCTATAATCATTCCAGAGAATAATTACCTTTCTGCCAGCATCATTATTGTTTTTGTTAAAGAAGCTGTGCGCCTAGTCTAGAATGCAGCTGCTATTAAATTCCCAAAAGAGTTAATTAAAAACTCTAGGAAAACCTCAGCTGACAACCTTTTTACACCTAACAACACAGGAATTATCTTTCTGTCTTTTTTTTTTCTTTTTGCATATTTCACAGAGTAGACCTGTGAAATTCCATGCCGTGGCGTCTTCCTTGTATAGTGACACCCATGTCAATTCCTCTTTGGGCCTCTTCAGCAACCTAAGACTGCCTATGTGATTAGTAACCTCATCTTCCTTTTTCCTCTTTTCCTTTATATAATTTCAACTCTCCTCCAATTTCTTCTCATCAGCTTCTTAGTCCATTTCATCTCCTCCCTCCCCCTTTCATGTGACTGTGTTTAACTCTTTCATTCTGTCACAATTCTGCTAGCTGGCCAGCCTTAAGAGGGTCAGATCCTGACTACACAACTAGGTTATGAGATAAGATGATGACTCAATTAGTCCACTTTCTGGGTATGCATAATACAGTGAACTATAAATTAATCAAATAGGCTGGATATCATGCAAAACTACAAAACAAAAACAAATCCTATGCAAGCTTAATTCTAATCGCTGTGAAAATTCAGCTGCTAGTTCAACTGATTTTGTTTAGCATACTGTTTGTACACAAACAGTATGCTAGCATTTCTGTTTGTACAGAAATATATTAGTATGATTAGATTGGATTACCTGGTTTCCCAGATTTATATGCAATTTATTGTCATTGTCTTACAGTTTCCTGTATTCACCATTTGCTTTTGTAGATTTATTCAAATATTATACTTTTTTTAAAGATCAGAGAAAGGATTTCAAAGCACCATTCATTTCAAAAATATTGCTATGTACATACAGTACTAGAAACCATACAACTAAAAAGTAAGATTCAGCTCCATTTAATTCAGTTTTACTGATGTTTCTCCTAACAATGCTACCACTTTTAGGGATCCCAGACTTGCTAAACACAGGCAATTACCAGTGGCTTACTTGTAAGTAGAAAAACACATTATCTTTTTATGTGTCTATGTACTTATTTACTTAACAGGGATTGTACGTGTGATTATAGCAGGCAATGAGAACCTAAGATATATAATGTGGACAGTGGGCTGTGTCTCTGTTGCATAAAACTGGGTGCTGGCACCAAAGAGGTGGCATGTTAAATTTTGAAAGCTAAGTTAAAACAGGGCAGTTCATTATAAAGAAAAAAAAGCTTATCTTTTATTCATTGAAATATTTATTGGGAGGAAAAATTATATTTTATCTTAAGATCAAAACCACCACGTTTTACATGCTATATTCAGTTGTTTCGAAAGATGGAGTACTTATTATGTGAGTATTTCTTAAAAGGTATCTCTTTGCCAGCATCCTTCAGGTAAGGACTTCCCCTTCTGTATATCTACATTCACGTCCATATGAGGAAGACCTCAAGAGTGCCATTGTTCATGCTCTTCACCCAGAAAGGACAGTGCAGGATTCTTCTTTGAATGGAAGGCATGCAAGTACATTGTCCCATACAACTGTATGCAGAGATGTCAAGAAGACAATAATAAAATGTAAGCAACATGGGTGGGGATAGCCTATTAGTTTGTAAGGAACCTTCCTCTTTTCTGGGTAACTGTAGTGGACTATGACTCTACTACACATCCCTCTGAAAAAAGTCCACTTCCAATATCATATCTGACAATCAGGTAATCAACATTTGTTTAGGTGCCTTATGTTCTGATATCTCACTTTTGTTCTAACAAATTCCACAACACACTGGTATATAGCATAGAGATATTCAAAGGTCTACTTTTAAACCAATCTATTAGCAGCATGTTTTCTGTTAATTCTCCAGTCCAATTTCTAGCTGAAAATCAGCATGCCTATGTTGGCCTGTGCGTATCTACCTAAATGCACATACTCTTACACAAAAAACTGGGGAGTTGACATTACAGAAAAACTGGCTGTTTGCAAAGAAAGGTTACTCCAGCATGTATATAAGGAACAAAATGTGCAAAAAACAAGATGCCAAAAACATGTTTAAGTCACACCTTCCTAATTGTCTTCATTACGTGCTGCCTCTTTTCTTAGAATATGTAAGAACAAGGTACTTGAAGGCCAGGGGTAGGCAACCTCGGCTCTTTTATGACACATAGCTGACTCAGGAATTCTGGGAGTTGAAGTCCATGAGTCATAAAAGAGCCGAGGTTGCCTACCTTGAACCAGGCACTCAATACTGACTAGTAAGTAGTGATTTGAGTAACTGAAAAGGCAATTTATACTGGAGAAGGCCGGGTTAGAAGTCAAGAGACTATGATTTCTAGTCCCACTTCAGGCATGAAAGCTGGCTGGGTGACTGTGATCCAGTCACTCTTTTTTAGCCCAAAATGTCAGGCTTGTGTGACAAGCCAATCAGTCAAAACCAATGGATCAACCTCAGGTCATCTGAAAAAAGCAGACCCTGCATTTGTGGGAAGCCACTAGGAAGGAGAAAAAAGATACTCGGAGGAAAAACATGTCTTAAGTCCCTTCAACATTATCTTACCCAGGAAGCATTTGCTCCAAGGTAAACAGTCTCTCCTTCCCAATTTAGATATGACTCACCTGTTATCAGTGAAATTCTTCTTGGTAGGATGAGATAAGAGCAGGAACAACCCCAGAACAAGCAAGCCTTAACATGATACAACAATCACATTCACATACATTCTGGTGAATTGTGTGAGAAGAGGATCTGAATCTAAAAGCACCGGTCTTCATTAAATCACCTCACTTTTTTCTCTTCCGCATACTTAAGAACAACACTCTCTACTGATGGTAACAAGCTCCTACCTTGCTAGCAAAGCACAGATCCACTACAAATAGCCTGAAACAGTTGGAACAAGTGGGTCAGCCACTTTTTACTTGATTAGCCATCAAGAACTAAGGAGAGAACCAACCTAGAGCTAAGGGGGAATTTCCTGACAATTAGAACAATTAATCAGTGGAACAAGTTGCCTCCAGAAGTTGTGG